TTTCTTTGTTTCTTGTTTTTCTTTCTGTGTGTCTGTCTGTCTGTGTGTCTCTCTCTGTCTCTCTCTGTCTCTTCCTTCCTTCCTTCCTTCCTTCCTTCCTTCCTTCCTTCCTTCCTTCCTTCCTTTCTAGACAGGGTTTTACTACATAGCTCTGGCTAGCCTGGAACCTGCTATGTAGACCAGGAGCCTGGAACTTGCTATGTAGATCAGGATGGCCCCAAATCCACAATTCCCAGCTTCTACCAGACTTTTAAAGGAGACTTAACACCAATGCTTGAACTATTACATAAAATAGAAAAGAAGTGTTTCAGACTCAGAGAAAGACATAGCAGCAACACAATGAAGTCATAAGCCAATATCTTTAATGAGCATACATGCAAAAATATCAATCAAGTACTTACAAACTACAAACTAAATAGAAGAAAACATCAAAGAGATCATTCACTCTGGTCAAGGTGGCTTCATTCTAGAGATTCAAGGATGGTTCAACAGATGTGAATCAATAAATGTAGCACATAATACAAATGGGCTCAAGAATAGAAATCACATGATCATTTTAATAGATACAGAAAAGGCTTTTGACAAAATCTAACATCCATTTATCATAAAATCCTGAAGAGGCTACAATAGAAGGAACATTTGTCAACATAACAAAAATATATTTAATTAATTGTAGCATGAATTCTAACTGGTCTTAATAATAAAAACCTGGAGGCAGATATCAGGGTGAAAGCTGAAAGATCAGAGAAGTCGGGCAGACAGCCACTAGAGAGACTTCTTACCTCTACTGAATCCTCAGCCTGAAAGGGAACTGAACTCCTATCTCCTTGTGCCTTCTATTCCTTTTCTTCACACAGCCATAACACTTCCTGTCTCAACCTCCCTAGTGCTGGAATTAAAGGTGTGTGCCACCATTGCCTGGTTATGTTTCTCTTTTAAACTGGATCAAAATTTTGTGTAGCCTTGAACTCACAAAGATCGTCTGCCTCTATGGCTAACTAGTGGCTTAGCTCCATACTCTGATCTTCAGACAAGCTTTATTTGTTAGATCACAAACAAAGTATCACCACATCTAACATTATACTAAATAGGAAATACCTCCAGGCATTTCCACTAAAATCAAGGACAAGACAAGCATGTCCACTTTCTCTACTTTTATTCAATGTAGTGCTTGAAGTCTTAGAGAAAAAGAGACAAAAGAAAGAAATAAAAGTGATATAAATAGTAAAGAAAGAAGTCAAAGTTTCCAGATGACATGATTCTATGCATAAGAGACCCTAAGATTCTACTAGAAAACTTGTAGAGCTGGGAAACTCTTGCAGCAAAAACTCTTACACCAAATCATCAGCCTCTTGTGTACCAGTCACACATATGACAAGAAAGAAATCTGGAAAGCAGTTCTACTCACACCTGCCTCAAAAGATACTTTGGAATAAACCTAACCAATGAAGAGAAAGACCTCACCAATGAAAACTTTAGAACTGATGAAAGAAATCAAAGACAAAGATGGGAAGACTTCCTAGGCTCATAGATGGGAAGAAGTAACATTGTGAAAATGACTATCTTTAGAATATTTTTTACACTTTTTTGTTTTTAATCGGATAATCAGCCGATGTGAATGTCAAGCTTAGCTAGCGACCCTGTCTCAAGGGAAGAAGATGGAGTGTGAGCTAGAGCACCCTCTGCCATCATTTGTCTTCACATGTGTGCACACAGGCACATGCTCACATGTTCACACACACTGCAGACATATATATTCACAAACCAACAAAAAAAATAAAAATACCGATTTCAATCACTATCAAATGATACAACTAATTTTCATATGCTTGTGGTGTATTTGTCTATACATGTTCATGTGTGTGCATGCACATATGTGTGGCTGCATGTCTCTGTGTGTGAATGTATATTGTGCAGATCACAGATTGCTGTCCATGCCTTCCTTACTTGTTTTTCAGCATTTTTTATTTTATTTGTTGTTGTTCGTGTGTGTGTGTGTGTGTGTGTGTGTGTGTGTGTGTGTGTGTGTCTGTGGTTGGAGGTCAGAAGGAGAATCAATTATTTCCTTCAACCATGTGGGTTTTGGGGGTTATACTCATTTTTGTCAGGGTTGGCAGCAAGCACCTTTACTCACCGAGCCATTTTACTGACCCTTTACCTTACTTTTTGAGACAAGGTCTCTTTCTGAACCTGGAACTCATCAGCTTCAGTAGGCTGGTTGGCCAGGAAACTCCATACACCCCAGGGATATAATTATGGATGTGTGCCACTGTGTTCTACCGTCCACCTCATACAAGGTCTCACTGTATAGTCCTTGCTGGCCTGGAACTCACTATATAGACCGGGCTGGCCTTGAGCTCATAGAGATCCTCCTGCCTCTGCCTCTCAAGTGCGGGGATTAGAGGTGTGCACCATCATACCTGGCCACGTGCTGCTTTTTATGTGTTGTGTGTGATGCGCTTTACCCACTAATCATCTTCTCAGACCCTGTCTTAGGTAGGGTTTCTAGTGCTGTGAAGAGACACCATGAACCATGGCAACTCTTATAAGGAAAACATTTAACTGGGGCTTGCTTACAGTTTTAGAAGTTTAGTCCATTATCTTCATGGCGGGGAGCATGGTGGTGTGCAGACAGACATGGTACTGGCTACATCTTGATCAGAAGGCAACAAGAAGTAGACTGTCTCACTGGGAGTAGCTTGAGCATATATAAGACCTCAAAGCCCACTCCCACAGTGACACACTTCCTTCAACAAAGCCACACCTCCTAATAGTACCACCACAGTCCCCAAATGAATTAATTTTGGTTGATGTAATTTGAATAGCTTATTATTGTTTTCTTTGTGCTTTTCTCTTTTTATTTAAATATTTATTTTTATTATTTTAATTATGTGTATGTATGTGTGTGTGGGGGGGAGTATGTACACATGGATGTAAGTGCCCACAAAGGTCAGGGGTGTGAGATCCCCTGGAGCTGGGGTTACAGGTAGTTGTAAGTCACCTGATGTGGGTGCTAGGGAATCAAACTCTGGTCCTCAAGAAGAGCAGTATGTGCTCTTAGCCACTGAGCCATCTCCCCAGCCCTGGAACTTTTCTTTTTGTTTATTTTTTTAGGATAATAAAAGCTGGGCCTGGTGGTTCAGGGCCATAGTCATAGTTTTTGGGAAGTTAATATGAAGATTTAGGTTGACGTGGGGTACAGAGTATGACTCTATCTCAGAATGAAAAGGCCAAGGGCTGACCTGAGTGAGTAGCTGTTACTTTCTGGTGCTGGCAATGAAGCCCAGAGTCTTCCCAGGTAAATACCACACTACTGGCTTACATCCCCCAGCAGTCTGGAGCAGGAGAGATGGCTCTGTAGCATGAATCCTGATTGGTCTTAATAATAAAAACCTGGAGTCAGATTTGGGGTAAATGCGGAATGATCAGAGAAGCAGAGCAGCCAGCCACTAGTTCTTACCTCTACGAAATCTTCAGCCTAAAAGAGGCTGAGCTCCTGTCTCCTCCCACCCTATATTCCTCTCTCTGCCCAGCCATATCACTTGCTGTTTCCTCCTCCCAAGTGCTGGGATTAAAGGTGTGTGCCACCACTGCCTGGCCTCTAGTGGCTAGCTCCGTGCCCTGATCTCCAGGCAAGATCTATTTATTAAAGCACAAATAAAATATCACCACATGGTTCAGTGGTTAAAGTGTGTGTTGCTCCTGTAGACAGCCAGAACTTGGTTTCCTGTGTTCACACAGGAAGCTCCTGACTGCCTGGGACTTCAGCTTTGAAGGGTCTGATATCCTCTTTGGTTGCAGCAGGCGCTCAAATGCTTGTACACATACGATAATATACAAACACATGTAAACAACAGGAATCTGATTAAAAATATTTCATTTTTATTACAAAATTCATTTAATTTTGTATTTCTCTGATTTCTAGTGTGATCTGGAATCGTTTTATACACCATACTTTCTGTTTTGTCATCTAGTTCTAATTTTTTCCCATATTTGGTAGAGATTCTTTTAATATGTGTATGTGTGTGTGTCTGTGGAGTGTATGCATGTGTGCCTGTGCCCATGTGAGTGTGTGGAGACCAGCAACAGCAGACCCCATCCACCATTTATTTATCTATTTATTTATTTGGAGACAGTCTCACTGCGTAAGCTTGGCTGTGCTGAAACTTGCCTGTGTAGATCATGCTAGCTTTGAATTAACAGAGATCTGCCTGCTTCTGTTTCCTGAGTGCTGGGGTTAAATGGTGTGTACCCCCATGCTGCTGTTGCCATGTTCCTTTTCCTTTGAGACAGTGTCTCTCACTGTCCTGAGGCCTCCTGGGAAGGGTAGGCTGCCTGGCCGGTGCACCCAGGAATCCTGTCTCCCACTTCCAGGGGCTGGAATTGCACATTTGTTTCACATACCTGGCCTTTAAGGCCTGGGTTCTGGTGATCGAGGTGTGTGTGTGTGTGTGTGCATGCATGTGTGTGTATATTTTCTTAAGGCTTATTTTTATTTATGTGTATGTGCCTGTATGCCATGTCTAAGTATGGGTGCCAAGGAGGCCAGAAGTGAATGTCTGATCCTTTGGAGTTACAAGTGGTTTTGAACTGCCTGATGAGTGTGCTATGAACTAAACCCAGGTCCTCTGGAAGAGCCACAAGTGCTCTTAGCCATGAGCTGTCTCTCCAGCCCCTTCCTTTTGTTTTTTGAAACAAGGTCTCATATATCCTAGACTGGCCTCAATCTCTGTGTAGCTAAGGCTGATGTTGACTCCTGGCCTTCCTGGCTTTACCTCCCGGCTCTGGGACTATAGGTGTGTACCACCATGCCTGGCTTTGAGTTTTATTTTAATTAATTAATTAATTAATTTTAAATTACTGAGTCTTATATTTTACACAGTGACTTTACATCTGAACTTCTACAATAAATGAACAACTTTCCTGCAGGGGCATTGTCTTATGTGTCTTAGCTAAGAACTCTATGCAGGACCCATGACCTTCTCTTCTGTTCCCTCTAGGGCATCAATTGAAGAGAAATATGGCAAAGATCTGCTGAGTCTCTCCAGGAAGAAGCCATGTGGACAGTCCGAGATCAAGTAGGTACCAGTCAGTGTCTTTCTGAGTCCTAGGCTGGCTCACTGCCCAGTGCCCCATTGTTTCAGCAAGTACAATTGAGTAGCAGTCACAGTATATAAGAGTAAAAGAATTAATATTTCTTTCCTTTTTTCCAATTGTGAAAAGTCTGTGTCTTTTCATAGATCTTAACAGAACACAGAATTTGTGGTTCTAAGTTACCACAATTTTTTCAGTACAGACCCTTGCAGAAGAAACACAGTGAAATTGAACATTTAGTTCATAATGCACACGTACACACACACACACACACACACACACACACACACACACACACACAGTCACATACACACACAGGAACATACACAGGCACATACATGTGCATGTGCACACACACACACACAAAGGTTACTGTGACTACAATTCAACAATACAATAGATTGCAGAATTAGATGTACATAGATTTTTAGTGATGAACAGATCTAAAAAAACCCCCTCAATTATACAGACTATGTTTATAAAAGAGTGAATTAAAAGCTTAAGTGGGGAGATTTTTAGAAATGTCCTAGAAATTTTGTAAAAGGATCAAATAGGAAAATGAAATCTTCTGGGCTAGAGGGAAAAGACGATTTCAGAGCTGGGAGATGCCTCTGTGGTTGAAGTACTATCTGCACAAGCGTGATGGCCATAGTTCAGTTCCCCAGAACTGATGTCAACGCTGGATGATGTGGAAGCCTGTAATTCCAACCTTAGAAGGTGGAGTCAGGGGATCCCCAGAGTTAACTGGATAGATAGCATGGCTAGCCATATCAGTGAGCTCTGGGTTTGATTGAGAGACCCTGCCTCAGAGAATGAGTAGAAGACTGATAGAGAATGAGTCTTAGTATCAACTTCAACCTTGAGCCCTTACATACACGTGTGTATGCTCACATACATGCCCACACATGTGGAGACATGCATGTTCATACACACGTACAACACACATAAAAACGGAAAAGGAAAAAAAATGTTAAGGAGCTGGGTGGTGGTGGTACACACCTTTAATCCCAGCACTTGGGAGGCAGAGGCAGGTGGATCTCTGTGAGTTCAAGGCCAGCCTGGTCTACAGAGTGAGAGCCTGTCTCGAAAAACAAAACAAAACAAAACAAAAAGTTAAGGGTTTAGTTAGGAGAAATAAATTCAAGAGAAATATTATACAGCACTGTGATTGTAGTTAATAGCAATGCATTATTCTTAAAAAGAATTGAAAGTAGATTGTAAGTGTACCACTCCAAAACAGTGGTAAGGATGTGAGGTAATGGATATACTAATTGCTTTATTGAGCCATTCCACAATGCATACAGATTTCAAAATATCACGTTGCACATGGTAAAGATGCAATTAAAAGAAGGAAGCTGTAAAAAAGGAATAAGCTTGACCTATAGTTTCTGATCAGTAAGTATATGCTGAGTGTAGTGACCCACGCCTTCAGTCCCAGCACTTGGGAATCAGAGGCAGGTGGATCTCTCTGAGTTCGAGGTCAGTCTGGTCTACAAGGTGAGTTCCAGGACAGCCAGAGGTACAGAGACTCAATCTCAGAAAAAAAAAAAAAAAAAGCATGTGATGACTTTCTTGAAAAGGAGTCAGTTGAGAACCAGGGTTTGAGCTGGGGCATGGTGGGGAATGCCTGTAATCCTAGCACTTGGAAAGTGGAGGCAGGACAGTTAGGAATTTAAGGCTGGCTTCAGCTGCATAGCAAGCCCGGCTAGGTGAGATGCTGTCTCAGTTTGCACACCACCCCCCCCCCCCCCCCCCGACACTCACTGAAAGTGCACACTAGGATTGGAGCTCTCTCTTTATTTGCTTCGTTTTCATATTCAAATGACATGTTCTTATGAGAAAGGGATCAGATTCCTATATTATCACTGGGGAAGATAAAATGCAGAGTTTTTACATTTTGCTGTACCCAGGGCAGACAGTGCAGAACTGTTTATGCCAGGGATTGAGGAGGTCGGTCTTAAGAGGTTTTGGTCTTTCACTGTTTTCTGAGGCTCAAGGGTAAACGTGAATCTGGAGTCCCCAGGTGAAGACGTGGCAAAGAGAGGCACGTGAAAACATTGTGATAAAATTAGATAGATGATTTCCAGAGTTGAAATTGTATTGTGTGCTTGTTTTTCAGTACCTTGAAGAGAGCCCTCGAGGTCTTCAAGCAGCGTAAGTTAATTATTTAAAATTTTATTTTATTTTATATGTATGGGTGTTTTGCCTGCATGTATGCCTGTGTACCATGTGTGTGCCTGGTGCCCACAGAGGCCAGAAGAGGGCATCAGAAACCCTTGAACTGGAGTTACGGTGGCTGTCAATATCATGTAGGTGCTGGGAATTGAATATGGGTCCTCTGGAAGAGTAGCCAGTACTCTTACTGCTCAGCCATCACTCCAGTCCCTAGTGCAATCATTGGTAGGCTCTGTCTCTTTCTTCTAAGGTTAGTTCTATTTTGAACAGTAGTTAACATTGGGTAAAAAGATTTAACACAACCATAAGGTGAGAAATAGCTCTGCAGAGTAGAAATGAGCCAGACTCTTCACATCTACCTGTCACTTGGATAGTGTGGTTAGCACAGATTCATGGGCTCATCTGAGGTTCTGACTCAGGAGTTTGGAGTAGGGCCTGAGAGTCTGTGTGCTCTTAAGTTCCAAACAGGAATAACAGCACACAAGAACATTCTGTCCTGTGTTGTTTTTAACTCAGAGATATCGTTACATGAGTGCTTGTCTGTACCTTACTTGATTCTGACAGACTTACCCAGCCTCTCATATATCTTTGTGTAGCTTTTCGCTTCCCAGAGATAATTCTGCCGGACTTCAGTCACTGGGGCAATGTTGTAACTGTCTTGCCATTAAATTTTCAGACATTTTAAAAATCATTTTTATGCAGAAGAAATCTTTATTTTTTAGTGTGTGTATTTGTGTGTGTAAGGGTATGTGAGTGTAGAGGTCAGAGCACCACTTTGGGGGATCTTCACCTTTAACCTTGTTGAAGCAGGATCTCTCTTGTTTTCACTGCCGGCCTACTCCAGGCTAGCTGACCCCCAAGATTCTGGGACTTTCTCCAATCAGTGCCTCCCATCTCTCTGGGAGTACTAGATCTTAGATGTATGGCACACATCCGGCTTTTTTCATGGTTCTAGGAATCTAACTGAAGTCGTCAGACTTGCTTGGCCAGTGGTTTTACCTGATGGGATGGCCCCAGCTCTACCAGACATTTTAATTATGGCAGCCTTCAAAGAAATATATTACCTGGTCATTCTTTCCTCCTATTATAATCTGGCACGTGGTCCCACCTACCCCTCCCCAGACCTGCTCTTTTAATGGACACCAGCAATCTTTCTCTAGTTCAGAGTATGTCAGGCATCATGGGCTTTTCTCACCCACTTTGGCATGTTCATTGATGTTGGCCTAGTTTGGTTGTGAATCTGACCTGGAATTACACCAGCAGATTTTTATTAGTTACAGTAACGTGGAGACAATCAGGAGCTGGGAGGTCTGGGATGAGACCTGTCACGTTACTCTTCAGGGAGTCCTGCCCAGCTTAGTGTTCCTCAGGGTTTCTGCTTCTGGGGCTTTCTGTCCTTCCTTGTAGGGGATTTCCAGGTGAAGGGTGTCAAAGGGCACAGTGTGTATGACTGATGCTTGAAGTGTTTCTGTAGCTGGGTGAGTGCTCTTCCGTCAGAACCCCTGTTATCTGCTTCCTGTCATACTACAGTATGACTGTGTCCTAACACAGGAGACTTCTGACCCATCACATGAGAGAATTTCCCCCCACAACAACTAAGCAATCCCTTCCGCAATAGAAGCTAGCCAGTGTCCTCTAGTCCTGCTCAGATGTCACACTATCATCCTGGAGGTAATCAGATCCTGTACTCCGAAGGCTCAGTTCCCAATATAGTTACCTGTCCCAAGGCTCCTACCTGTGCCCACCAACAGGCTGAAGATCAGGTTCCCACAACCCCCATTTGGTTCAATACATTTACCCCAATAGCTCCCAGAACTTAGGGGAAGAATTACCCTTGCTGGTTTATAATGAAGGATATTGCAAAGGAAATGGGTTAAGGTGAGGGGGCAGAAGTGGGGTGTGTGTGAGGAACTTTTATGCCCTTTCTGAGCACACTGTGCAGGAATGGGTTCAGCAGGCTTCAGCCACACTGTTCTGTTGGGATGAGCAACACCCGGTAATCACCGCATGCTTAGCTATTAGGAAGCTCCCAAAGCTGTGTCTGTTTTGATTTTTATGGAGACCTCATTGGATAGGCACGCTTGTTAACAGACTGAGTGGGAAAGCCAGTTGGGAGCTTCAGAGACTTTCTGGCCTCTGGAGTACCATGTCTGCCTGCAGGACATGGGGTGAGACTCCTCTGGAGGGAACTGGGTCCTTTGACCCACTACCCGACAAAATAAAGAACACAAAGAAACCCTGTCTCAAAAAACAAAACAAAACAAAACAAAACATGAAAAGAATTTCTTTATGGTCCACTAAAGGCAGAGAGAGATCAGTTTTCACAGTCTTCCTTGGGCAGGGGTCACAAAAGCAGCAAGATGAATCAACGTTTCATATGTATTACACACTACAGGTGTACAAGATACATAAATAAATACTCCTCTCAATTTCTCCACTGACAGTGTCTTCTTTTCTCTTGAGTTCAGTGACGGACCTGCTTCTCATGGAGATGCAGTGTCCTTCCACGTTCCTTATTTACAATACACCGAGGAGCCAAGCGTGCTGGAGCAAAGAGCTTCCGCATAGCTCGGCTCGCCCCAGTAGTCCACTTTTTCACTCTTACTTGTTTTCCATCTCCCTCAAAAAACAGTGCGATTGTCTCTGTCGTGGTTGCACATGCTGGTAATCGGAGCACTCAGGAGGCAGAGACAGGAGGATCCTGAGTTCCATTAACAAGTTAAAATTGTTTTCTTAAAGAGCTGGGGGACTGGCTCAGTGGGTACTTGTCATGCAAGTGTCAGGACCTGAGTTCACATCCCAGGAGCACACATTAAAACCAGACACGGTAGTGCCCATCTGTCACCCCAGGCAGAAGCAGGAGAATTCTCAGACTCACTAGCTTGGTGTGCAGAGTGGGAAAACCGAAAGGAGAACCTGTCTCAAAGAAGGTGGAAGGCGAGAGCTGCCCTTCAGAAGTGTCCTCTGACCTCTACACATGTACTGTGACATGTGTGTTCCTGACTCATACAGGAAAATGCACCATGCACCATGACATATGTGTTCTTGAATCACACAGGAAAATGCACATATTGCACACAAGATTTAAAAAAAAGTAAAGGTTTCTTAGGTCAGCCTTTCTAGTTTTAACAGCATATTTCATATAATAATAATAATAATAATAATAATAATAATAATAATAATTATTATTATTTGAGACAGTTTCTCCCTAGGTAGCCCTGGAAGTCCTGGAACTCACTATGGAGATAAAGCTGGCCTCCCTTCTGCCTCTGCCTCCCAAGTGCTAAGATTAAAGGTGTGCACAAACCACACCCAGCCTAATTTGAGCAAAATACAAGTGTTTTTTTTCTTTCTATTATAAAGACAAATAACCTTCAGAGGTCAAAACATTGCACAAATGTTTGATACATGTTTATGCTCATGAGAGGCCAGAGATAGAAAGCACCTAGAGATCATGAAAAGAGGTAGAGAATCAAACTTAATGATTCTTTTTTATTTCTTATATTCATTGGTGTTTAACTTGCATGTGTGACTGTGTGAGAGTGTCAGATCCCCCGGAACTGGAGTTATAGACAATTGTGAGCTGCCATGTGGGTGCTAGGAATTGAACCCGAGTCCTCTGGAAGAGCAGCCAGTTATTAACCTCTGAGCCATCTCTCCAGCCCCAAGAATCAAATTTGAAATTCTGATGATCTTAGTAGCACTCTAGTTCTATTTCTCTTGCTCTGATAAAATATTGACAAGAGAAATTAGGGAGAAAGAGTTTATATTCAGCGTATAGTTCCAGTCACGGCCTATCACTCGAGGGAAGTCATCACACCCATGGGCAAGGCCAGAGAGTGATGATTATTATTACATGCATGCTCACTGGTTTGTTTGCTTGTGCTCAGCTGATTTTTCCACTGAGTTTTCAGGATCCCCTGACTGGGGAATGGTGCTGCCCCACAGTAGGTTGGATCTCCCCCATATCAATGAACTTGACAACACGCCCACAGGGTCTCAACCCTCATTGAGACTTTCTTTACAAGGTTGTGCCAAGTTGACAATCAAAGCTAACATCCCTCTCAGGATATAAGGTTGTTGACTGTAACCTTCACTGTGCCCTCCCCGCCCCCCAGCCTGGGGTGTACAACTGGGTTAGTAACAGTGGCTAGAGGCTAAGCTAAAGACTTAGCTTTGAGCTGGGCAGTGGTGGCCAGCACCTTTAATCACAGCACTTGAGACACAGAAGCAGGTGAATCTCTGAGTTTAAAGACAGCCTGGTCTACAGAGTTCAGGATAGCCAGGGCTACACAGAGAAACCTTGTCTCAAAAAAAAAAAGACCAAAAAACTGAAAACAAAAAACCCGACTTAACTTTGGTCTTGGTTGGGCACAAGAAGGACCTCAGTAAGTGTTGGTGACCAAGAGAATTATTCTTAATTTTGTTTCTTGCTCCAGATTTGGATGTTTAGTTTTGAATCATTGTGTATATTTGAATTTAGACGCATATGGACCTTGACTTTGTTTTATTAACACATTCTTTTTACAGAAGTAGACAATGTGGCCCAGTGTCACATCCAGCTTGCGCATACTCTGAGAGAAGAGGCCAGGAAGATGGAGGAATTCAGGGAAAAGCAAAAGCTGCAGCGGAAAAAGGTTAGTTTCGTGGATGTGTTACAGTATCACTTTCTTCTGCAGAGAAATCCCAGGCATGCCTGTTACTAAATTGCTCAATGTGCTGGGCATAGAGGCATGTTACAGTATCACTTTCTTCTGCAGAGAAATCCCAGGCATGCCTGTTACTAAATTGCTCAACGTGCTGGGCATAGTGGCACACTTTTAATCCCAGCACTCAGGAGGCAGAGGCAGGTGGAGCTCTGAGGTAGAGGCCAGCCTGGTCTACATAGTGAGTTCCCAGACAGCGAGAGCTACATAGTGTGACCCTGTCTCAAACAACAATAACACCCAAAACAACAACAACACCCAAAACAACAACAACAACAACAACAACAAAATCCCTGCACAACTTGGTTCCCACCCCTAATATAATCATAACCATTTTCTGGCCTGAAAAATGACATATTGGAGTCTTCATGTAGAGACTCAATATAGAAACATATACCCTGTACCCCAGGTCAGTCTTTCTTTAAAAGAACTTACAAGAGTGCTGGAGAAATAGTTCGAATGGTAAAATGCTTCCCATATAAGCATGAACCTGTGATTTTAGACACCAAGAACCTGGGCAAAATTCTTACAGGATTCAGTGGTTCTGTCTGCATGTCTCTTCTTTTCAGATCTGCTGCCCCTGTCAGACTTGTTTTTGTCAGACAAGACTGTGGCTGGAGATCTCTTTACTCCCATCAGCAGCATCTAGCACACCCTAGCTAGTGAGCTTCCGGATCACACTCCTCCTAAGCCAGGCAACAGGGGAAGGGTGAAGAACTGGGAAAGACTCACGCTTCCCTTGAAGTTCATAATGCCATGGCATAATCCCATTTTATAACTAGAGAAACTGGTCCTGGGAAATCCAAGTTGTTTTGTTTTCAAAGCAGCTCTGGAGGGGCCCTTTTTTATTTAAAGATGTACTAATTTTCATTTTATGTGTATGCATGTTTGCCTGTATGCATGTGTGTGCACTACATGTGTGCTGGTGCCTGTGGAGCCAGAAGAGGGTATCGAGTCCCTGAAACCGGAGTTACAGACTGTTGTGAACCATTGTGTGGGTGCTGGGAACTGAACCCAGGTCTGCTGGAAGAGTAGCCAGTGCTGTTAACTGCTGAGCCGTCTCTCCAGGACCCACAGGACTCTTTTTCTTTGACGGGGTTTATTCCACATACATGAAAGGTGATGGGAGTGAGTAAGAGTTATTATGGTAAATGTAGTCAGTGTTTGGGGACTTAGAAGAATCAAGAAATAAGCAGGCACAATTCTAGTTCTTTTTTATTTTGTTCCTGAAAAACTTGTATATGTAAGTTGACGCTTTAGCCAAGTAGAGCCCTTCAAGAATGTCTTTCAAGACTGGAAGGCTGACACCAAAGATTTCTATTCAGATCTCTGTGGACATTTGGGGACCTGTCATCCTTCCTGGAGGACTCTTTGGAATCCTTCCTGTATCCTAGTTTTTGATGGTATCTGATGTTGTTTCTATAGTCTGTGCATCCAACCAATGGCCAGTATTAAGGCTGATTCTATCCTAACCTCTCAAGAGGAGCAACTTTGCCTGCAGTTTTACGTTGGAGTCTGGGTTGGCACTGGTGTGTCCAGTTGCCTGCAGCATCTTAAAAACCTCCTTGTCTCACATCCACCATCATTTCATGTGCTGCATTTCCCTTTGTGTGTGTGAGACATGGTCTTATGAAGCCCAGGCCGGCCTCCAGCTCAGCATATGTATAGCTGAGTCTTCTGCCTCCACCTCTGAGTACTAGGACCATAGACGTGTGCTGCTGTGCCTGGCCTAAGAGCTGCTTTTTGCACACTGCTGCCTCTTCCCATTTCTCAGCTGGTTCCTGTGCAATCAATGTCTCTTAGCATGAAGGACAGATGCTGATGGTTAAAGAACACTGTATCAAATGGTTTCACTTGTTCTCTCAAGCTTGTGTGTCATTCTTGAGGTTTATCTATCCCAAAGCCCTTTTCCAAGCAGAAGTATTGTTCGTACTGAACCCATTGGATGGCAGATTCTTTTGTCTGACATTGCCCAGTCTGCCACTTCTTTAAGGAAATTACAGGTTGTTCTGGTTTTTGAGACAGGGTCTCCCTATGTAGCCCTGTAACTCTGTATCTCTAGGCTGGTCTCTAACTCATAGAGATCCCCCTGTCTCTGCCTCCCAATTGCTGGGATTAGAGGTGTGCACCACCGTACCTGACACCAGGTTTTTTTTAAAAGTACCTTTTATTTATCCATTTTTCTAATAATTTATTTATTTTCATGAGCACTGATGTTTTGCCTACATGTATGCCTATGTGAGGGTGTCGGATCCCCTGGAACTGGAGTTATAGACAGTTGTGAGCTGCATGTGGGTTCTGGGACTTGAACCCTGGTTTTCTGGGAGAGCAGCCAGTGCTCTTGACCACTGAGCCATCTCTCCAGCCCCTTACTTTTATTTCAATCTATTTTTAATTGAAATAAAATTGCATCACCTCCCTCTCTCCGTCTAGCCTCTCTTAGCTACCCACCTCCAGTCCCTCCCATGTTCCCCCTCCACAAAGAGTTATTTTTTTTATTTTTAAATATGTGTGTGTGTGTGTGTGTGTGTATTTGTGTATGTGTGTGTGGGTGTCCATGGAGGCCCGGGATCCATTGGAACTAGAGTTACAGGAGTTTGAGCCACCTGACATGGGTGCTGGGAACCAAACTTGGGTTCTCTTAACTGCTGAGTTATCTCTCCAGCCCTGAAATGACAATTTTCTTGTCTCTTCTCTCTTCTCACTCCCCCTCTCCCTCACCACTTCTTCAGGCAGGGTCTCTCTCTATAACCCTGGCTGTCCTGGAACTCAGTACATAGAGCCAACTGGCCTGGAACTCACAGAGATCCACTTGCTTCTGCTTCCTGAGTGCTGGGATTAGAGGCGTGCGCCACCATACCCAGCTGAAATGACAGCAAAAGAACTTGGAGGTTGGAAAGGTGGCTCCGCAGTTGAGTGTGTACTGCCCTTGCAGAGGATCTGAGTTCGGTTCTCAGCACCATGTGAGATGGCTGATGACCACCTGTAACTCAGCTCCAGGAGTATGCAGTCCTTCCAGCCTTCATGGGCACTGTATTCACATGTATGTGATCACACACAGACAGGCACAGACATACAATTAAAAAAATGTAAGCTGAGTGAGGTGGCAGATGCCTTTAACACCCCAGAGGCAGAGACAGGTAGATCTCTGCAAATTCAAGACCAAGCCTGGCTTATACAGTGAGTTCCAGGCCAGTGGGAATTACTTAATGTGGCCTTGTCTCCAAAAAAAAAGAATAATTAAAAAGTTAAGGAGATATCGTGTCTCATGTAGCATAGTTAAAAAAATAAAAGGAAGCATAATACCTTAGTCAACCGAGCTGTGCATCTATGACTCCACTAAAAAGGGCCATTTTCTGACATCCTCAGGTGTCTTTAGCAGCCCTGGCCCTTTCGGGGAGAGCTGTTAGCTCTGAAACTTTTCCGCTAACATTATGCACACCCAGTGAGTGGTTTAGGGTCAGAGGAGCAGCAGAGCAGCACATGCTCAATTCAAGTTCCCTTCTCAGCAGGAGATACTTTCAAAACATCCAAAAGCCAGAAGTTTATTTAGAAAGTGGTAGTTATGTGTTTCACAATGGACTCTGGGGTGACTTTGAGTACCTATTTTTTTTTTTTAAAGAACATGCTTTAGGGGAAAAAAAAAGATGTGTCAATGCTAACTTCCCTTTTTAAAATTGTCACACTGCATGCTCTGGTCTTCCACTTCTTGGAAATCGAGCTATTTACACTCATCAAAAGACCAGTTGCTTGCTTGTTTTTGTTTTTCTTCTCTTTCTTTTTCTGTTACACAACTGGGTGAACCCAGGACCTTGGTTGTGCTGTACAAGCACAGTATTGAGCTGTGTCTCCACATGTAAGTTACTGATTTATTTAAAAAAGCCTATAGGGGGCTGGAGAGATGGCTCAGAGGGTAAGAGCACTGATTACTCTTCCAGAGGTCCTGAGTTCAATTCCCATCAACCACATGGTGGCTTACAACCATCTGTAATGAGATCTGGTGCCCTCTTCTGGCCTGCAGTCATACATACTGTATACATAATAAATAAATAAACCTTAAAAAAAAAGCCTAATTAATTCTTAAATAGAATGTTTTCTGCCTTTAATTTTTTTTTTAAGATTTAACAAACTTTAATCCCAGCACTTGGAAGGCAGAGGCAGGCAGATCTCTATGAGTTCAAGGCCAGCCTGGTCTACATAGTAAGATCCAGGACAGCCAAGGCTACATAGTGAGACCCTGTCTCAAAAGACAAATGAACAAAACTTTATCTTGTATGTATGAGTGTTTTGTCTGCATATGTGTGCATATCATGTGAATGTCTGATGCCTGTGGAGGTTAGAAGGAGGTGTCAGAGATACCCCTGAACAAGGGTTGCTGATGTTATGAGCCACCATGTGGATACTGAGAATTGAACCCAGGTCCTTTTCAGGAGCAACAAGTGTTCTTAATTGATGAATCATCACTCTAGTCCTGTTTTCTTATTTTAAATTACATTTTTATTTTCTACATGTGTGAGTGTGTGAGCGTGTGCATGTATATGTGTTCATGCCATGGTGTATATGTGAAAATCAGAGGACAACTTGTAAGAGCTGGTTCTCTTCTCCCACTGTGTTGGTCCCAGGGATTGAATTCATGTTATCAGTCTTGGCAGCAAGTGTCCTTATCTACTGAGACATCTTACTGGTTCCATAATTGATTTCTTTAGTAGACTGGGGCAGGGGAAATGTGGGAGGGTGGCTGGTCAGATGTTTATAGCTGCTTACCTCTGCAAGTAGTGTTTTCTTGGGGATGAGCACCAAGATGGATATATTCTCCTTCCACTAATGACAGAACATAGTCAGACAGTCCGATGTGATATAGAATCAGGATAAATATGATGAGTCCTCTACAGTAAAGGAAAGGAAAGGAAGGTCTCATCTGAACACCTAGTAGGGACATACAACCTCACCTGGAGCTGGTGAAGCCTCCTGGAGGAAGTCACCTGTATAAACTGTTTGCTGTCCCACCCATTCCCAAATACCCAGAAGCCACTTCCCAAATAATTGACTCGGAGGCTTAATATAAATTATATAAATGCTCAGCCAATAGCTCAGGCTTATTACTAACTAGCTCTTACATTTTATATTTTTCGTTGTGAGCCTAGCCTTTAATGTCGGAGCTCTTTATTAGCAAGGCACATTAATCTCCTGCTCCCTCTGCATCTGGTTGCTGACTCTGGCCTTCTACTTCCCATCATTCTTAGTTTTGTCTCTCTGCCTATATTTCCTTTCTGGTTACTGGCCAATCAGTGTTTTATTAAACCAATTCGAGTGACAAATCTTTTCAGTGTACAGGAGGATTATTCCACAGCACATCTGTATGCTAAAGCCACTGTTAGAGGCCACTACTGAGGTAATGAGAACCAAGCCTGGCATTCCTGGGGGTAGGCAGGGTGAGGAGGGTGTGTGGATCTCATTCCCAGTAATCTGCCCCAGAATTACTTGGATCCTTCACAATCTCTTCTCCTTTTCCCTTCCTTCTCTTTGTTCCACTCTATAGATGAGATGGTTGAGTTTTTGCATACTTTGTGTTACCAGTAATAAAACACATCTGAGCAGAAAACCTGAATGCTAAAAGAGCGTCTCTCCCCAAAACACATGCAAGAGAATTTGAACTCACTGAGATCATCCTGAGTGGGTCACCCTGTGAGTGAGCATGGACACAAGAAGACTTAGGTCAAAGCTACTTAGCAGATAGAGATAGACCCAATGTGCCCCCACTAACTCCCTGAGTGGGCTTGAGCACTGCATGTCACCCCAGGGTCCAGAAATTACCCATGATTGCTTAGAGTCAATGGCTGCTCTTTAGGATCTTGACAACTATCAAATGCTGGTGTCCCTGTGAAGGCAGATGGGGAATGGCAGGAAGTGAAGAGGTAGTGTGAATCACTCAGCACCTGAGAAGGGCCTAAAGTAGATGCTACACAGAACTTGGAGATAAGGAGACATCTTGGCTATCAACTATAAACTAGTAGCAACCATCAACTGGATAAGTAGCAAAGTGTATATTTGGACTAAAAGGGCCATGGCAAAGCCAACACTGCTAATTGAGCTGGTCAAGTAGCCTAGGAAAATCAGCTGTTATTACTGAAGGAGTAAAACTAGTCATTTATGTGCGCTTCAACTCTCTGGCAACCGTGGCCAGGATCTGTCATGTGTCTTTCCGTGTGGGACTCATGTTGGAGCCCAGTCACTGTGTCTGCCTTATCTTCTTCATTAGCAGGCAAACAGCTACTTCCTGGTATCTCTGTTTTAGAGAAGGCTAGGAGGAAAATTCTGGGTTCTTTGACGCTCCTGTGAGGGAATTTCATTTATCCCACTTGAAGTGAGACCACCATAAGTATTTCATCCACATATCCTGAAAATCTATCCATGCTTCTCTGTATGGTAATACATAAAAACTTAAATTCTTTATGTATCCAGTAGGAGCTGCATTTGAATTTCACTTTCAGTAAGAAATAAGTAGGCTCATTGGTGCAAGTTTCAGCTTTCTTTATTTGCTGACTCTCTTAGTTGCTTTTCTGCTGCGGTGTAGACACGGTGAACTAAGCGACTCATAGAAGAAAAAGTTTATCGTTGTTTACAGTTGTAGAGGGTGATCCATGACCTCATGGCAGGGAACATGGCGACAGGCCGACAGGCATGGCCCTGGAGCAGTAGCTGAGTGCTTGGTGTTGAGACAATAACTAGGAGGCAGAGAGAAAGCTGGCTGGCAATGGCATGGGTTCAAATGCCACTCCCAGTGACACGCCTCCTCCAAACAAGGCCACACACATTTCCTAATCCTTACCCAAACAGTTCCACCAATGAGAAACCAAGCAAATATATGAGCCTCTGGGGGCCATCCTCATCCAAACCCACCACACTGACTTTGTTTCTTTGGGCTCATGAAGCTCATTGCCATCACGAAAGTGGAGATGTAGTACTTACAGAAATACTGCTATGATCATGGAGCTGCTTCACACAGAAGTGCTAGATTAATGGGAGCCAGAAAAATTGTGTCTAAGAGGTAGGTGTTTATTATAAGCGGCATAGTTTTGACTAATAAAAGTACCACCATCGCAACTCCAATGGAGACATTGTGCTCAAGGGAACTACGCGGTTTACCTCGCTGGGTTAGAGCAGTTTCTGTTAGCACTGCTATAGACACATCCTTCTTTCCCTGGCAACTTGTTGTAAAGCATATGTCATCGATGGGCCACAGAAGTGGAAGTGGAGTTCCTCATTTGCCTGTGCCGACATAGCTTCCAGAATAAAGTCGCTCTTAAAATACAAATGGTATTTTTAACAAAAATTTAAAATTCCTCCTTGAAACCAAAGTCCTTTGATTCTCGATTCACCAAAGAAAGCACTCCATGGTGATCAGTGAGTCCCTGGTGATGTTTTGAGCCTTCAGGACCTGGTGTGTGAGTGCCCAGGCTAAATAACAAGCAACATGTTTAACCAGTTGTGACTTCCTGAGCAAGGAGTTTAGTCTCTGTCTGTGCTGTCCTCATTTGTGATAACTCATTTAGCTTCTGGGTGACCTGAAAACTAAATCGGATAACCCACGTTGAACACTTAGTCCTCAAGACAAGCTGTTGTTAGTGGTCACTTACAGTTATTGACAGTGTTTGTATTCTCTCCACAGACAGAAACTATAATGGATGCTGCCCACAAACAAAAGAACTCTCAATTCAAGAAAACCATGGATGTAAGTCACACTTGCTGCTGCTGTTTTTGTAATAGAGGCATTATCAGAAATTCTGCACGTGAACATGCTCCTACTCAAATGATGTTTCAATGGTGTCATTTATCAGTGCGCTGCTAAGGAAAACACTTGGCTTTCCTTCCTGTGAAGGCCTGGGGATGCTTGAAATGGGAGAGTGTGGGTGCAGCAGTGCTCTTTTCGCTGGCGAGCTGGTGTAGAACTCTGTCCTCTGGGCATGGCGTGGCTATTGCCTTCTAAGTCAGAGTATCTGTGGCTACCAACACCCCGAGCAAGACTGGACCCTGTAACATTCTGTTCTGCAGGAGAGGGAGATCTACAGGGCAGCAAATAGTGGTCACAAGCAGGATAAGGGGCCTCCCAAGGCCACGCCTTCAACAAGGACATGGGTGGATAACAGCTCTGGGTAGGAGCAGACTTCTCTTGTGCGGTGAAGCTACCTATAAGTTGTCTATGCTTCTACGTGACCCTTCACCCTTGATCCTATAAATATCCACAGTCAAACTCATTAGTCCACCAAGGTGGACTTGAGTGGTCTTTTGGTACCTTTGGTCTGTTGGTCCCTGATGGGGGTGAGTAGGTGTTTGTTCATCTTTGCTGAAATAGTTAGCATGGCACCTGGAAAAATAAAACCAGCTCACTGAAATACTTTAGGACGTGATACAAAAGCATGCGATACACAAATGCACACACACAAATGTACACACACACACACACACACACACACACATACTCACACAAGTGTACACACACAGGCACACACACGTACACATAGAGAAACACACATAGAGACACATGGAGACACACACATACATACACACAGGTACATATATACACACATACAAATACACACATACATATACTATTTATCTTGTATTTGAACTTTCTACCCCATAGCAATTCTGAACCTTGATTGTTGTTCATTTTACTGAATGACCTTTTTGTGTTTTAAGATATCTGGAAATTATAAGAGCCCCCTTTCATTTAAGTGACTTATTAACAATCCCTAGCAAGCTAGGAAGAAGTTGTTACAGTTTCCATCCTAGCTTTTCATGAGTCTGTTAGTGCTCAATACAACATCTTCTTTTAGATACATACACACTGCTACATCTGTAGCGTGTGTGACTGTAATATGGTGTTGAAAGTATCACTCTGTGAAGAGCACATGCAGTCTATTCCTCTGCTTGCGCTGATTCTTGGAGGAAACCGCATCAAAGCATTTGGTCAGGAGGGAATGTTGATGTAGAGTGCTGAAATAGTGCCGGGAAGTGTGTGTGTGTATGCATGTGTGTGTGTGTGTGTGTGTGTGTGTGTGTGTGTGTGTGTGTGTGTGTGTGCGTTTGGAGAAATCTGGGGCAAGTTTCCTCACATTAAAGTGAATGACTTCTAAAGAAAATCTACATGTCTTGATTGTTTCCTGTACCTATACACAGACTGTTGATGGTGTTAACCCACTTTGTGTTGCAGCAAAAACGTCAGAGAAAACAACTTAAAATTTGGCAGGAAGGTTTGTTTTGGTTCACAGTTCCAGAGGCTTCTGTGTGTGGTTGTTTGGTCCTAAAGGGAGGCTGAGCATCATGGTGCAGGTTGGGTGGTAGAACAGAGCTGCCTGGGAAGCAGGAGACCACGAGGAAGGGTCTAGGGACAAGATACAGCCCCTGAGAACCCACCGCCTTTAAGCAGGCCCCACCTCCTAAGTTTCTACTGTCTTTCAATAGCCCATCAACGAACTCATCAATGGATTAACCCGATGATGGGGTCAGAGCACCTATGATTTAAGTGTTCTCTCTGACCACTGGTGAATTTGGATCAAGCATGAAGATCTGCACCAAAGCAAATATTATCGTTAATTATTTTGCTTCCACTAATATAGTAATTTAGGAAATTTAAGAGAAAATTTCAAAATTTTGAAAATTTGTATTTGACTTTTTCCCTCTCACTGTTATAGTTTCTACTATTCTCTCTAGGATAAAACACTTTGGCAAAGGTAATCCAAGGAAAAGAAGGTTTATTTTGTGTCAGTTTATAAGTCCATTCTGGTAGGGAAGTCAAAGCTGAGGAGCCTGGAATAGCTGGTCACAGAGCATGTGCAGTCAGGAGGAAGAGCAGCAAATGCCTGTGCTCAGAGCTCTCTCCTTTCTATAGCATCCCAGACCCACCCAGGGAATGGTGCCACCCATAGTGGGTGGGTGGCTCTTTCTGCCTCGCTTAACCCGATGAAAATAATCCCCAAGTGGCATGCCCAGAGGCCCATCTCCCCAGCAAGCCTGGATCTTATAAAATGGACAGTTGAGATTAACCATCACACTAACCATGTTACCTCCTTTTTATAATGTTCCATGGTTTCTTTTAGCATAGTTTCCTTTTGTTTAGAGAACTTTTTAGCTTTAGAATATGTCTTCCAGTGAACATTTTATTGAAAACACTTATTAGGGTTGTTTGCAGAAGCATGGGTGAAGGGTTATTCACAGGAGCATGGGCACCCGAGCAGTGGCCACACCACTGAAGAACATGTCTGTCTCTGCAGCAACCACTAACTGCTTATGGATCCTCAAAAGGTGAGGTCTTGTGAACTGCTCCCCACTCCATGATGGAATGAGCCCAGTCCTAGGCAGGCCTTGTTCAGGGAATCAAGGCTATCTTAACCATTTGTGAATGTCCAGCTCAGTGATATTAAGTATATTATAATGTAGTGCAAACACCATCACCATTCATCTTTGAAACTCTGTATCCTGTGAGCCTCAACTAACTCATGAAATTATAAGTAACCAGTGCCCCCACCTGAGCTCCCATCAGGGGCCACTCTACTACTGCTCTTCTCTTCATTCTTCTTTTCATTAGTGAACATTCATGGCACTAATGATGCTCTCATTTAAATATATCCAGGAACTTTGTAGCTAGAATGTTTCTCAGTCCTGCCCGGCCCGAGGTCCCACAGACGCTTACAAAATAATCACTTTGAGGCTTATATTAATTACAAACTGTATGGCCTATGGCTTCAGCTTCTGGCTAGCTAACTCTTTCATCTTAAATTAACCCATTCCTACTAATCTATATGTTGCCACATGGCCGTGGCATTCCCAGTCTGCTGGCATCTTGTTGCCCCTTTGACTGACACACATCTCTTCCGACTCTGCCCTCCTTCTCTCTGTATCTCTGCTTGGATTTAATTGGCTTGACTATAAGCTTAATTGCCATAGGCCCAAACAACTTTATTTATTATCCAATGGGAACCACATATATTTACATCCTGCAGAAACCACATTCACCCCCTATAAGCCCCCCTGTCAGATTTCTTCCTCTTCCCAAATTGTTCCTTCAACTTCCCTGTCACCCGCATGTCATACATAGTTTTCTTTCATCTAAGACTATTTTGAGGGCTGGAGAGAAGGGCTCAGTGGGTCAGGCGCCTCCTGCCACGCCTGATCACCTGAGTTTGATCCCTGGTCCCACATGGAAGAAGGAGAGAAGTGATTCCCATAGGTTGTCCTCTGTCCATGTCCATGGCATGCATTCCCTGGACCTACATAGCAGCTCGCAACCACCTGTAACTCCAGCTCATACTTAAAAATAATTTTTTTTTTTGAGGTCTGAGTGCTCTGCCTGCATGTAAGTCTGCATGCCAGAAGAGGGCATCAGACCCTATTATAGATGGTTATGAGCCACCATGTGGTTGCTGGGAATTGAACTCAGGACCTCAGGAAGAACAGCCAGCACTCTTAACCACTGAGCCATCTCTCCAGCCCTTAAAAATAAAATTAAAGAACATTTTGAATTTTCCATAAATATTTGTTTAAATTATTTTATTTTATGTGTATGAGCTTGTTTGTTTGTTTGTTTGGTTTTTCGAGACAGGGTTTCTCTGTGTAGTTTTGTTGCCTGTCCTGGAACTCACTCTGTAGACCAGGCTGGCCTCAAACTCACAGAGATCCACCTGCCTCTGCCTCCCAAGTGCTGGGGTTAAAGGCATGCGCCACCGCTGCCTGGCTGTTTTTTGTTTTTGCTTTTCAAGACAGGGTTTCTCTGTGTAACTGCCTTGGCTGTCCTGGAACTCGATTTGTAGACTAGGTTGGCCTCGAACTTACAGAGATCTTCCTCCCTAGTGCTGGGATTAAAAGAGTGAGCCACCATGCTGGCTGTGTATGAGCATTTTTCCCATACATATGTATGTCACTATGAGCATGCCAGAGAGGCCAGAAGCTGGAGTTACAGGTGGTTGGCTGTGAGCTGCTATTTAGGTGCTGGGGATCAGACCCAGGTCCTCTGAAAGAGCACCAGTGCACCTAACCACTGAGCCATCTCTCCAGCGTTTCTCCATAAATCTTAAAAAAAAAATGTGTGTGCATGTAGGGTGGGGGTGGGAGAGCACATACCATGGCACACCTGTGGAAGTCAGAGAACAGCTTTTGGTAGTTCATTCTCTCCTTCCGTTGTGTGGGTCTCAGGGATCCAGGTCAGGTTGGCAGCCTTGGCGGTAAGAACCTTAACTCTCTCTCCACAATCCCTTTTCTCTACTTTGTTTATTTCAGTGAAATACACATGACATGAGACTTCCATGGGAGAAAACCGTGCTTGTCTGAGTCTGGCTTATTTTGCTTGTTGTAATTCTCCAGCCCCGCCCAGTTTCCCGCCAATGACATGGTTTTATTCTTCCCTGAGAGTTGAGGAAAGCTCCTCTGTTGTACATGTCTACATTCTGTTTATCCACTCGTTTGCTGACTGACTGATCAGCAACTGTGGGATTACGGTTGACAGTTCTTTCCTTGGAGCATTTGAAGTTATTGTGTTTCTTCCTTTGGGTTCTTGTTCTTCCTAGAGAGAAACCAGTTGTTTGTTCTTTGAGACAAAATGTCATTACTGCCACTGCTTCAAGATATTTTCTTTGTTGTAGCCATTCCGTGATATGCCTTGGGTGCCCTTAGGATTCTCTTGTTTGGAGTTTAGTTAGTTTTAATCTGTAGGTTATATCTTTTTTTTTTTTAAAGATTTATTTATTTATTATGTATACAGTGTTCTGCATGCCGGAAGAGGGCACCAGATCCCATTGTAGATGGTTGTGAGCCACCATGGAATTGAACTCAGGACTCTGGAAGAGCAGCCTGTGCTCTTAACCTCTTAGCCATCTCTCCAGCCCCTGTAGGTTATGTCTTTTACCAAAATTGGGGTCGCCTCAGTTACTTCCTCACATGTAGTTTTAGCCTGTCTTCTCTGAGAGTATTCCAAGTCCACGAGGTATTGGTTTGCTTCTTTTTGTACTAAAGGTCCCCGGGGCTCTATTCAATTTTCTCAGCTGTTTTTTTGTCTTCAATGTTGGTTAATTTTGATTTTTGCTGATGTGATTGGATTAAAAATACCAGGGGCGTTAATGAAGCTCACCTGGGAGGTTTTCTGTGAGGTTCTTTCCCTAGAGGCTTAATTAAGGATGAGAGTCACACCCTGAATGTGGTGACACCAGCCTAGGCTCTGAGTCTGAATTAAAAAGGGAAAAAGGAAAAGGCCAGGTGAACTCCAGCATTTCCCGTTCTCTTCTTCCTGGTCCAATCCCGGAAGTGAGGAGTCCCAGGTTTCCGCTGTCATGGACTCCACCATACCTTCCCTGCCATGATGGACTGTGAACTAAAGTAAATCCTTCCTCCCACAAGCCGCCTCTTGATCACCGAGGTGAGGAAATACTAAATACACTCTTGGTCACACGAGGTGACGACACTTATCCTTCCTGTTGATTTAGTCCTCTGTCTCTTCGGTTCTTCATGCAGCTTTTGTTGTTTTCAAACTACTTTTCCATTCCGAGATTTCCTTTTATCTTCTGTTTCTTTGCTTAGCTTTTCTGTATCTTTGCCATGCTGTTTTGCTTTGGTTTGTTTCGGTGTGTCGTGGTTTGCCGAATGCTTTTGCAGTCTTTGTCAGGTAGTTCTAACATCTGTCATCTTGATGCTGGCATCTGCTGATTGCCATTGTCCATTCAGTTCGATGGTTTTTTTTTTCTAGCTCTTGGTTTGGGTGGTACTCCATCAATTTGGGTATTTAGGGTATTACAAGAAAGCTTTAGGGTATTTAAACCATGTTTCATCTGGTTTCCTGTGACTGTACGTCCACACGAGCTGGGGCAATTGCCTTATTACTGCTATCTGGGGTTAGGAGTTCAGGTTCCCCTCTGTCCTCATGGGAAGTTCTAATTTCCCACTACACTTCCTCTGCTACCACTCCAGCAGGGAAGGGACCTGACTATGGAAGGTCAGGCAGGTCAAGGGGGTCTATACTATACAGGTAGGTATATAACATACAGCATATAGGGAAAGCTTGTGAAGGGCTAGCAGTAGTTGAATTATGGAAACTTACTTATGAGAAATATAGGGGAGTATGTGTCACAGTAAACCCAAACCGCCTCTCCACCATCCTTTGGGGATCATCACACATCGAATTTTATGGGTTTTGTGGATTCAATTTCGCATGTCCTTGTGTAAAAGCTATAAAAGTACAGTTTATATCTTATTTTGTTTTCATATCCCTCTAGAGATAAATGTATAAGAATCCTTGCTTTATAGATGGGGAAACAAAGGCACAGAGACATAAAGTAATTTATTAAAAACAAAAGATACATAGATAAAAGCGAGGCTGGATTTGAACCTCTGCACTCTAGTTCCAGCACTTGATCTCTGTTTCACAGGCAGCTGCAGAGAAATAAACCAAGAGTTGTATTTTTGGTTGTGTACTTTGGTGGCTGAGCCATCTCTCCAGCCAAGAAATAACACCTCCATTCTTAGTCAAGTATAACTATCATATTGATTTATTCTCTAATTGTTTGATTCATAGCTTTTGTGTGTGTGTGTTGCTTAAATAAGCTAAGGCTTTGTTTCTAGACCTGAAACAAACTAATTTCCTTGATTCAACAATGATTAGAGTTTGTGAAATGATTCCATAATCCTGGTAGTAAGAGTGGTATAAGATATAGGCCGTTGGCTACTTTAAACTCTGTAGAGCTGAAGTCTTTACGAAGCATGACTATGCTAGAGTGGAAGAGACGGGGCACTGCTGTGCCCCTCATGGTGCGTGGCAGCGGCCAGGGACTCTAGATACATTTTAAGTCCCATTTCTTAGTCTTTCGAGCTCATGTGGAGCTTGAAACAAAGCTGGAGCTTTGTTCCAGCAAATGACAGTTATTACTTCCTTGGGCTGGGGGCCACTCTTGCCTAGTTTGGGAAAAGGCTGGAACTAGGGAGACTTCTCAGAGTGCAGTGAGAACCTCTTGTCTGTTGATTCCAGCACCATCTAGAGCTTATGCTGGGCCTGGACCTGGCCTGGAGGGCTGGGTCAGCCGATTTTCACACCGTATACCCTGCTCACCTGTCTCCACCCTCTGTTTGTAACAAAGGCCAAGAAGAATTATGAGCAGAAATGTCGGGACAAGGATGAGGCGGAGCAGGCTGTCCACCGCAGTGCCAATGTGGCCAACCCAAGGCAGCAGGAAAAGGTGCGTGGTGTGGTCTACAACCTAAAGAGGCAGAGATGCACTCATGTCTGTTTATAGGGGTTGGGCATGATACACATGGCTTGGTGTTCTAGTGCTCAGAAGGGTGAAGCAGGAGGGTCATGAGGTTAATGCCAGACTGGACTATGTAGTGAAACCCATCTCAAAAAAATAAAATTAAAGATTGCAAAACAAAACTTACTTTATTATTTTTTAAAAAAGATTTGTATCCCAAGTCTCTGGCAATAACTTCTTCAGCTTCTAATCTTCAGAAAAAAAAAAAAAGCCCTGGTAACATTTTTGAGGTTGGGGAAAGCATCAGAGAAGCACACCATTGGAGAACAGTGGGTGGAATAAGAGTCTTGATGTATTTTTTAAAAATGTCTTCAAAACTCAGCTCTTGTATTCTTTGTTGACAGAATGCTTCTTGTGGGTGAGACATTTAATCATATGGGCTGAAATAATATTAATAAAATAATATATTTAGTAATATGGCTGGGGCAATGGCTCAGCAGTTAAGAGCACTGACCGCTCTTCCAGGGGACCTGAGTTCAATTCTCAGAATCTACTTGGCAGCTCACAACCATCTATAACTCCAGTCCTAGGGTGTACAACGCCCTCTTCTGGCCTCTGCAGGTGGTACACAGACATACACTCAAGCAAAACACTCATACACACAAAATATAAAATAAAATAAATAAATAATATATAATATGAACATAATATTATCCACAGCTTGAGGGCAGGGAGATATATAGCGATAAATCCAAGGAAGTCTGCTTAAGGAGCATTAGAGAGTTTATTAGGATATAAATTGGGGAGAACAGCTCACTAAAAGGGATGAGGCAAAATCACCGCAGAGTCCTGGAAGGTTCATGGCCAGTCCCACGCGGCTTCTGCCACCTGAGTCAGTCCACACCATCCAAGCCCATAAGGGAGAGAAGAGAGCAAGGCCTATGTGCCCCTTAAGCTAGCCCTGAGGCCATGCCCTAGGGGCTGGTACCTCAAGGTGGAACAGGTACCCACTACAGAGATGTGTCTATAGGAAGACATAGGATGGCTGTTTTCCGATGCTGAGAAGACGAAGGAGTAAAGATGAAAGATCTGCTTCTAAGTTGGACTTGGAGCAGACCTTACTTCTCCATCGTTATTACTTTTACCCATGTTTGCCTGTGGAAGCCTGGTTCAGCTTTCCTAATACTTTCTGGTTTTGGTCCTCACAGCTTTTTGTGAAACTGGCAACTTCAAAGACCGCAGTAGAGGATTCAGGTGAGGGGCGGGATGCTCTGATACATGGGGAGGATTGGTTGGGGGCTGTTCACATTATTATGAATATGTTGGATCAACAGGCATTAAAGAGGAACAGCTACAATCCAATAAGCCTGTCTAGTTTCTAAATCAAACCCCCGCCCATTGCAGATAAATCGTACATGCTGCATATCAACATGCTAGAGAAGGTCCGGGAAGACTGGCAGAGTGAGCACGTGAAGGCCTGTGAGGTAGGTACCTGGGGCCGGAAGCAGCGTGGGACGGGAAGCAGTGTGGGACCCGAAGCAGTGTGGGACCGGAAGCAGTGTGGGACCGGAAGCAGCATGGGATGGAGCACGTCTTCCTCTTAGAACCTGAGAATCTGCTTTCATTCAGAGTACAAGGGCGAGTTAGAAATCGAGACTTTAAGTGAAGAACCAAAGGGACTGGAATAATTTCCTCCTAATGCTCATCTTTGTTTCCGCCCCACCCCAATCCTGACCTCACTGTCCAGCTCAATCCAGAGCTTTAGGCATGACGCAGCTGCATCAGTTAGTGGTGGGTTGAGACTAATCACTCTGAGAGTCAGGCCTATACTTGCTAGGTTCTAAGGAGAATACACAGGACTCCATAATTTTCAAGAGAAAACTTGAAGGACACAAGCTGGAAAGTTCCTCAGCTTTCTGATACCGGTTTTTAACAGCGTTCTTGGGCCGGCAGAACCAGCATTATCTGAGGCCTCTCCGCCCAGCCCGGGCCTTTGGAGTCAGAAACACTTAGGGCAGCAGCTGGCTGTCTCTGTGAATTCAAGAATTAGAACCGCTGATGCACAGCTTTCCTTAATTGGAAAGGAGCTGCTCCCTCCCCTGTCAAGGTCTTAGGCTGCCCAGCTGGCCTCTTTACACCATTTGGCACTGTCTCCTCCGTTTTGGCTGCGGGTGCACTCTCTCGCTCTGTCCCTGGCTCTGTCTCTCCTGATGTGTGCACGTGTGTGTGTGTGTATCATGCCTAGGACCTCACATTTGTATGTGTTCTACCATTGAAATATGTTTCCAGCACCAGCTACGTTTTTTGAAGTTGTTTGCAAGTTCCAAGTTCCAGCCTGTCTCAGCCTAAAGGTTACTGCCTACACCTCTTTCTCCTCGCTCATGGATACCAGGGATGCCCTTGGTGTGAGGTCCAGTGGGCCTTTGTGGTTTCTTTTTCCTTTGTGTGATGCTGGTGATCAAACCCAGAGCTTTATACATGCTAGGCAAGCACCAGTCCACGGAGCTGTACCCCCAGACCAACTTTGGTGATTTTTTTTAAAAAAAAATCTTATTTGATGACTCTCTACAATTTGATACTGTACACTAAGCACTTTCTTCTGCTTTCGTTTTTAAACTCCACCCCTCATCTTTACAAATGCATGTCCATGTCACTGTCGTTCTATAGGTGTTTGAGGCTCAAGAATGCGAGCGCATCAACTTCTTCCGGAACGCGTTGTGGTTACATGTCAATCAGCTGTCCCAGCAATGTGTCACAAATGATGAAGTAAGTCCGAAGCATGAACAGAGGACTGTGCCCTGCGTGTTAGAATCATCAGAGTAGAAAGAACCGTCAGTGCTCACTAGTTCGGTGCTCACTAGTCTATCCTCTCCCCACTTTCCTGCTTCCGTTTGAGGGACAGAGAGGTAGTGGCTTGAGCATTGCTGTCACCGGCCCGACTTCTGGTCCATTTTGCCGTCATGACTCTCTAAGAAACCGAGAGTTAGGGATGGAGAGCAGATAAGGAAACCCAAACACAGTTTAATGTGTGGAAGACAGAGATGTCACCAAAGAACGTGAGTCCCAAAGACAGCTCCAGCATAAAATGCCATCACTGCCTGCACCAAGTATTAGCAGACTGACCCATGGCAGGTTGATGGTCACCCCAGGGTGAAGGTTTGCTTCATGGTGCTTATCCCGAATTAATTTGTGTGCAGCAATAGTAACTGGGTCCCCAGCAATAGTAACCAGATGTGGTTATCACAGCCTTTGCTAAGAAATAGCCCCTCTCTCAGATGGGACATGGCTTTAGAGAATGATCAGGTGTCCAGGGAACCCATAGAATTGAACGGAAGAACTGATCCTCAAGTGAAGTAGTTTGTGTTTGCATTTGCGTGTGGCACTGAGACTTGGTCATGGGACTTGTATCACTGGACTTGGCATATAGTTTCTTTATTCTATCAATACTTTTAAAAAAATAACCAGAGTTTTGGTTGGACCTGAAAGAAATACTTCCTTGTATCTTAAAATTATTTATTTATTTAAAGAAGGCAATAGCACAGATATACTAGAAAGCTGCCCTTATGTGAGTCTTGGACTTAGGAATGTCTTCTACTTTCAAAACAAAAGTTGCAAAAGAGTCAGCTGCTCAAGAATTTTCCTTTCATATAGAGTGGTGCCGTAATTATCATCAATACACTTCTATATAATGCTTTATCTCGTGTTTATCAGATGTATGAACAAGTTCGTAAGAGTCTGGAAATGTGCAGCATTGAGAAGGACATCCAGTATTTTGTGAACCAGCGTAAAACTGGACAGACCCCACCAGGTGAGCCGGGTGGCATGGTGGGAGGGACAGTTAAGCCACAGGATTAGTGTTTCTTGTCATAGGTCACAGAGGATGTAAGATATTGTATTAGTCAGCTTCTGCTGCTGTAGCAAATACCTGTTGTAAACCAGCCAATAAGAGGAAGGTTTATTTTAGCTATAGTTTTCAAGGCTTTAGTCCAGCCAGTTGATACCATTGCTCTTGAGGCTGGAGCGAGGCAGCACACAATGATCGAGAGTGGCCCAGTGGACTGTTCCTCTTACAGCCAGGATGTGAAAGGGGAGGAGACGAGGGCATGCCTCCAGTGACCTGACTTGCTGTGTTCCTACTGAGTTATACTTCTTAAAGGTTCTATCACCTTCCATTAGCGCTAAGCTGGGGGATAAAGTCTCTAAAGGCTCTAGGGAGCAGTCGGGGTTTCTCCACCTTTTTTTTTTTAAATGTGTGTGTGACAGGGTCTCATGTATTCTAGGACAACCTTAATCTTACTGTGCAGCCTCGGATGACATTGAACTCAGATCTTTTTGTCTCCCTCTCCTGGGCACTGAGGTGACAGGCATGTGCACTCAGGCTTGTCTTATGTGGCCCTGGGTGACGAACCCAGGGCTTTGTGCGTGTTAGGCAAGTGCTCTGCCAGCTGTGACCCAACCCCAACCTTTACCTGTTTCTGATGTCTCATGTCTTAAAAATTGTAGCACCCATCATGTATGAGAATTTCTACTCTCCTCAGCGGAATGCAGCCCCACCGGGAAAGACCACAGGGCCCAATGTAGCAAGGTAATAACCAGCTGCTTTTCATGGGAAGAAAAGTATTTTAATAAATATTTATATTGTTAATGATCTAAGACATTACCTTTTGTTTTCAATTGACCAAATTTGCGTAATTTACCTAGTAAGAAGAAAACTTAATTTTTTGAAATAGCATTTTTAGAAAAATTATATAGCTTTTATTAGTTATAGTTTCTGGGGTGCTATAGCACACTTGAGTATGACTATTATTACTTGTTCAAGAATTCTGTGCCTTTCTATGGCTGGTAGAAAACAGGAATAAGCAAACTATGTCCCCCTTATGAGTCAGATAAGATTGACTAGTTTCCACAGGGCCTATGACTTAAGAAGGATTTCTCCCCCACCCCCTGTGAGTGTGTGTGTGTGTGTGTGTGTGTGTGTGTGTGTGTGTGTGTGTGTGTGTGTGTGTATTTGAGACAGGATCTCACTCTGTAGCTCAGACTAGCCTTAAACTCACAAAGATCTTCCTGCTCCAGCTTTTGAGGGCTAGGATTTCAGTCACGAGCCATTACACCGGACTTACATTTTTTTCCTTTATTTATTTTTTTAATTACACTCATGATATTAATTACATTTGTGGTATTCATTGATTACATTCACAGTATTCATTTAATAATTATATTTATGATATTCATTAATTACATTAATTGTATTGATTTATTAATTCATGATATTATGTCCTGATACAACTGTCCATTTGTGGGGCTTTTCCATCACACAAAACAGAGATTCTATACTTAGGAAATCATTGCTCTATATTCCTTTCTTCTCTATCTTGAGAGAACGTCTAATCTTTCTGTCTCTATGAATTTGTATATTCTGTATATTTCATGTAATACAATTCTATACTATTTGTCCTTTTTTTAAATGTAAAAACATTTTATGTACAACTGCAGGAGAAATAATACACAGATAACTTGAACATAAAAACAGGTTATAATTCAAAAGTCTGGGGTTATTTTAAACAGTAAAATATTATCTCTGTAGAAAATAGTAAAAATGATAACATTTCCCAATAAGCCCTTTTAAGCCAAATGATAGCTGAATTATACATATAAATATTGATTAGATTCTGGGATACAGAAGAAACCTATCTTCATCTGTTCAGAGAGCTATGTTTTACTTAAGTTGTGTAAGTGAGATTCCTATTCATCTTCCCCTTTACTGTTTGATTTATGGCAGACATTTTTCTATAGGCTAATCTATAATCTAAAAAGATTTTAGTCTCCCCTCCTGAAAGTACAGTCAGCATTTTCTTTCATCAGCTTGATACAGTACAAATTCTTCTTCTAATAGTAAAATGTTTCACTAAAGCTTGCCCAGTGATTGGGCAAAACCAAAACTTATTATAAGCCACTGTCATCCTAGGGTCCCCCTTGCTAGGTAGCCTCTCTGGATCTGTGGGTTGCCATTACACCGGACTTACACTTTTTTAAAATTTATTTTTATCTATGCATATGTGTGTCTGTCTGTGTCATTGCATGCTGTGTGTCTGTGAATGCCCATGGAGGCCAAGAGGGCGTCCGATTCCCTGGAGCTCGAGTTACAGGTGGTTGTTACTGGGAACTGACCTTGGGTCTCCCAAAAGAGCGGCGAGCACATCTCCCCAGCCCTGGCTTATCTTTTCAAACAATTGGAAAACAGAAGGATACCCTTGAATGATGTGGAAATTATACAGTCAGGTTTTGGTGTTCATATAGAAAGCTATTGGAGCACACCAGCCAGTGGGTCACTCTTTGTATCTGGCTGTTTTCCTACTAGACCTGAGCAGAGGTGCACCAGAGACACGGTGGCCAGCAAAGCCGCTCCCACTGAGCCCATTGCACAGAAAATGTGCTGCTTCTACTATAAAGGATCTTGAGGGAAAAGAAACTTTTACTTCACACCAACCCTGTGGGAGTGGGGTGGGGTGGGGGTGAGTTCTCATCCGCTGAGCTTTCCATCCAGTTTTAGGAAAAGTGGAGAGTGTGTGTGTGGGAGAGAGATCAGTGCATCCTGTCCATAGTAAGGACCATTCAGAACAGTTAATATGAATGAGCTGACTTGATTCTCACAGAGAGTGGAGAGCTGCTTGTGTTTCTGATTCTGTGATGCACCAGGAGATTAGTAAATTTTGTTCCAACGCTAAGATGACAGTCCTGCCAGTGGGCCCGGGCAGAACTCCGCACCCCTGGTTATTGTGTGTTCTCCCCGTCGGCTTCAATCGTGCCTGCACTTTGGGTTTCTGCCAATCATTGGCTTCAGCTGAGCCTTCTTGACGCTCTAGGCTAGAAGCCAGTTGATTCCAGTGTGGTATGTTTGCAGCACGCAGGAGAAAGATATAAAAATAATAAGAACTCACCTGAAAGACTTTGATTTTCATCTTTTATAGGAGAGGACCTCTCCCAGTTCCTAAACGTCTACCAGGTATGTCGCCAGGAAAAGCCTCTTGGAATTTTTAGGGCAGATCTTCTTTAAGATTGAATAGTTAGAATGTGAGAATAAGAACCAGGCATATCTGACTTGTTGACATTATCACATGGCTCCATCATCTACAGACTCTGTACTTGAGAACAGTGCAGTTTAGTTACCAAAAAAAAAAAAGTGTTTTAGTTAAGTTTTTGAGTTTGTGTTGGGCCACATTCATAGCTATCCTGGGCTGCGTGCGACCCGTGGATGGTGGATTGGACATGTCTGATAGGATCGAGTTCCTAAGTAAGAGATTGTGCCTGTATTTGAATCTTACTATAAGACTTTTCTTTTTGAGGTAGGGTCTTACTGTGTAGCCTTGAATTAAAATGTCGCACACTGCCTAAAAAGGAATTGTTTTCAGATTTTGCTGATCTCCTTTTTTCTCTGCAGTACTGCAGAGAGAGCCACACAGAGTGACATTTTTGTCAGTTATATTCTCTAGTTAATTCCAACACTTTTGAAGAGAAGCATTTTGCCTTCTCCTGTCCTCTCAAACCCTTAGCATAGTACTAGCTGCATAAGCAGTGCTTAAAAATTTACCATTTTGGACAGAAACCGTTTAAGTAGCTGTCTTCAGTGGGGACGGAGGGAAGAGTTGACTGAGGCTGATTTGGCATCTCAGTAAAAGTTTAATGACAAACAGACAAATTTTGGGCCGACAGTATGGCTGAGAGGGTAAAGGTGCTTGCCATCAAGGTGGACACCCAGAACCCACTTGGTGGAAGGGAAAGAACTGGCCCTCACCAGTTATCCTCGGACTTCTGTATGTGTGCTGACCTCTTGAGCATGTACACAGATATGCACAATAAATAAATACTAAAAAAAATTAAAAAATAGTGATTAAAATCATGTATTTAAATAATAAGTTATTTTACTTCTTGTTGCCTTATAATTACCATTTAATAATGAGTGACTTCATTTTTGTCCATTCTTGATGATGACTGTACCATGGATGCTAATGTGGGCATGAATGAAAAAGAGCAAAGTCCTAAAAATAGCTTCTAGAATGTTCTCTTGTTTGTTGTACTCATGACTATCAATTATGGGCTTTGGTGCCCATATTTTGTATTTTGATGTTTTTAGTCATTTCAAAAAGGCAGTTGCCTGAATCTTGAAGTGGACTGCTTCAGTTTGAGAAGGGCTGAGTCATTAAGTGGTTCTCAACCTTCCTAATGCTGTGACTCTTTAATACAGTTCCTCATGTTGTGATGACCCCCAACCATAAAGTTATGTTTTAAAATTAAATTAAAAATTTTTATTGCTACTTCATAACTGTAATGTTGCTACTGTTGTGAATTGTAATGTAAATTCTGGTATGAAGTATATCTGACTGATATGAGACTCCTGTAAAAGGATTGTTTGACACCCCCCCACAAAGGAGTTGTGACCTACAGGTTGAAAAACACTGGGCTAAGATCTTATCAAGGAAAACGATGAGCTTAATTCTGTCCCGTGTTCTCTTTGCAGATGACCCTGATTATTCCTTGGTTGAGGACTACACTTTGCTCTATCAGTAGCACCCGTGGTGGTAAGAGTCTTTAGCTTTCCTTTAATCCTGTTGATTTGCATTTCTGAAGCCTTCGGATCTTTTTCTGAACATTGCTGAGAGGCCTGGGGCCAGCATCCTGGTGGGCGTGGACTCCGTCCCTTCAGGCTCACCTCTGGAGCCCACCACTTCAAGATGACGGGAAACTTGATGGAATGAGGACATTTCCCCTTTTCTTTAGTCTGTGACTCTCTGAATTCGCTTAGCTCTTCTTGCAGCTTTTATACACCCACGTTTCAGCATCCCCAGAAGCAAAACACACACGACTCTCATTCCTTAATGAATTCCTTATTCCCTGAAAGAGGAGAGGTCAGTGGAAACCACGTAAGCGCCATCACACTCACCAAACACAGGAGGATCGTGGGAGTCAGCCTGTACCCGGCCACAGGTTGTCATTAGTTGAACTAGCACATCACAAGGATTCTTGGAGGAGAACTCAGCCCTGCTAACCAGACAGAGCTACAAAGGGGACCACACAGGGGCTGGTTCTCTGGGTGTTCAGGCAGTTGGCACATTTTCACAATGTGAAAAGTGCCTCGGAAGCCAAAAACAATACTAAATGAAACTCCTTGTACAGTGTCCTGCTTGCCTGGCAGGGTGAGCCTGCGAAGGAACTGTATGGGATTTCAGCAGCGAAGAAGAAGGAGGGATCTATTTCCAAGTAACTATTTCCATTTCCAGTCTGTCTTAGTTTCTCAACAGGAGAGCGGGTGGATGGATGCAGGAAGCGACCTAGACAAGTGTCACCTCTGCTCTTCCTGGTCTTGATGACACTTGCTGTCAGTTATGAAGCAGGACAGGTTTCAGAAGTGCTCTCTGGCGATTTGTTAGTCTTGCATTCTACCCACCAGAGAGCACCAGGAGATGAGCATCTCAAACTGTGCGTCAGGCCCCCAAGCCACCTACCTGCTGACTTATCCCTAACTAACTACACAGGACAGGAGCCAGGTTGTCTTAATTAAATAGAAATAACTAGCTGGTATCAATTCGTATTAAATAGAAGACCTTAAATTACTTCGTAAGTATGTTTAAGATGTAAGTGTGCTATAAAAAGAAATAGAAACTGAAGACATAAAATTTTCTGTTCTCTAGCTAGGTAGACATAATATAATAATATAATATAATATAATATAATATAATATAATATAATATAATATAATATAATATAATATAATATAATATAATATAATATAATATAATATAATATAATATAATATAACATAATTAATATAATTAATATAATTAATATAATATAATATAATATAATACAATATAAATAGTCTTTACAGCCTGTCATAATTGCTTCTTCTGAAGACTGCCTCTTTCTCAGAGCCCTATTAGAGACAAAGCAGGGACATGGTAAGGGAATCACTCATCAGGCAGATCTGCTGTCTGGACCACGGTGCAAATGATGGCTGTGGGGCAAAGCATCGACAGTCCCAAGAGCTTATGAAATATACCTGTTATATAATACACACATTTATATATTATACATGTATATAATATACATATTTTTATTTTGTTTCTTGCTCTTATCTGGATAAAGCATATATGCTACAGGCTTAAGACTAGCATTTGATATAGAACTCTAGTTCCCCAGGGTCCAGGGAGCTGATGTGTGAATGCAAGATGCTAATGCCTACACATTTAATGAGTAGAGTCTCTCAAACTGTATAATTTTAATGTCTGCATCAGCTTAATGAATAGGAGCTCAACATGTTCATATATAATTGGCTGAATTTCAGAGAATTTAAAAAGCTCGTTCTCCCTGCCCCTGCCCCTGCCCCCTTTCTCCCTGCATGCACTTTCCTGCAGGGTCCAGGAGAGGGTGTTGGATCTGCTGAAGCTGGAGTTTCAGGCTGCTATGAGCTGCCTGAGATAGGTTCTGAGAATTGAATTTAGGTCTTCTAGAAGAGCAACAAGTGCCCTTACCCATGGGGTCATCTCTACAGCCTTAATTCCTGAGAATTTTAAGGAAAGGAACCCAGTTTAATTAATTCAGTTAGGCCATGTATTACACTACTTATTTATTTAACTGTACCTTAGGGGTTGAAATTTCATAGGAGACCTTAGGCATTAATGACTTGTTCAATAGTTGTTGATTTTAGCTGCTATTCCTGTTTTGTTTTTGTTCCCCGAGACAAGGTTTCTCTGTGTAGCTTTGCGCCTTTCCTGGAACTCACTTGGTAGTCCAGACTGGCCTCGAACTCACAGAGATCCGCCTGGCTTTGCCTCCCAAGTGCTGGGATTAAAGGCGTGCGCCACCACTGCCTGGCAGCTATTCCTGTTTTTAATTCTAACATGCTTAATAAAGACAGATTATAATTTTTTGAATTAAAAATGTGTGTATCAAAAATATCAGTGCTGGTGTTATTACCATGAAGAACTTCTGTGGTGACCGCAGCTCTCTCCTCAACATTTGTTTCCTTGACCAAACACACTCCTAAGTTGGCATGAACAGGTCATTCAGATGAAATGTCTTTGCTATTTTCTTTCAGAAAAGAAAGCTTTCCCCAGTTACTGCTTCTGTGACATGAAAAGATGCCCCGAGAGCAGCACAATCCGTAACCAAATCATGTCAATCATGAAGACTTCGATGTGAACCCTTGTGGAACATTTTTTGGTATTTTCAATTTATAGTAGACATTTGACTCAACCTAGCCAAGTAGAGATCTGCAGAGTTCTTTTTTTTTCCTCCGGAAGTTTACATACTGCCCCAGAAGGAAGAATTATTTCCTGGTTAGTTACTAAGGTTATGAGTGTTGTTTCCTGTCTGGAAAGCAAGGCCACTCTGGATTCTGAGTGTCGGCTTGAGCAGGCAGGGCTGCCAAAGATGCTCCTTGGGCGGTGAGAAGTAGGGGCATGAAAACAGCGACGGCCTCTCTCAGTGGTGCGATATTTAACATCGCCGTTGTTTTCGGCTGAAGGACTTCGCCACGTCCGATCGGACTTGCTCATTTTACAGATGGGGAAATAAGACACAGCAGGGTGAGATCAGTTTCCTTACGATTCTGACAGCCAATGAGAAGAGACAGAACCAGACCTAGCCGATAAGTTTGTTCTACAGCGCTAGTCTATTCTTCTAGCCCTTCGTGAGGCTGCCATGCTCGTGCTCAAGCTAAAGAAGGGCGGGCAAGTTGGATCAGAGAGTAAAGGTGCTTGTGCAAGCCCGAGGTCCTGAGCTCCACCGCTGCAGCTCACATAAGGGTGGAAGGCCTCCACATGTGCTGTAGCACACACACAGCTGTGACTGACGTGCGTGCACACACATCCCTTGCTGTGCTCTGGAACACTTAAAGAGGCATTCTCTATTTAGCTCTCTCCCTTTGTTACCCACACACGGCAGGAAGATCACGCACCGTTTATGTCGTATTCACACCTGAGAAAGTGGAACACTTCAGTTATGACAAAACCCATTAGCATGGCTTCTTATCGGGCATGTCATAAACGCCTGTGTCACTGTAGAGGACAAACAAGTTCCTTTCCTCCGTACAGTAGAGTCCCTGGGAATTTGGACAAATTGATTAAACTAAGATTGAAAGCTGGGCATGGGGGTGCCTGCCTGTGATCACAGCATGCTGGAGGCTGAGACAGGAAGACTTGAGTCTGAGATTGGCCTGGGGACATAGTGAGAACCCATCTCAACCCCTCCCCCATAAAAAGATGGACGGTTTCCCCTCTTTCAATATAAGATGCTCCCAGCTGCCACAGCTGCTTGTCTTGACAGGAAATTTGCACCAGTCGGGCATCCTTTTGAGAAACTCATGTTTCTGACTTCCCCAAACTGGAAAGCCTCAGGAAATTGTCTATTGCACATAGAAAATTCTGTTTTTAAGTATATTATTTATTGTTGGCAAGTCCTCAATGACTGTTTTCTATCAATCAGCATAATTGATGTAAACGTGTTTCATGAGTGTAGAATAATATTTTAATTTTATTGCTTGTTTTTTTTTTTTTTTCTGCTTGACATGAAGTAAAATAAAAGTTCCTGATGATTTGGGATTTAATTTGTATTCTTGTGCTAAACACACATCTCTTCTGAGCTTTACATGTTCCTTCGACGTGTGTGTGTGTGTGTGTGTGTGTGTGTGTGTGTGTGTGTGTGTGTGTGTGTTCAGGCTCTTGCCACTGTGCATGTGTGGAGGTCAGAGGATGACCTTGGGCAATGCTCATTGCCTTTGGTCTTGTTTGACACGGGTCTTCTGTTCCTTGCTACTGTATATGGCAGACTAGCTGGCTTTGGAGCTTTTGGGGGATTTTCTTGTCCCCACTTATCACAATGTAGAAGCCCTGGGATTCCAGTTGTGCCTCATCACATCTGGCTTTTATGCAGGTTTTAGAGATCAGAACCCAGGTCCTCACACTTGCCCACTGTACTCTACCCACTGAGCCATCTCTTCGGTTCCCAACCTCTCCCCTCTTCTCTCACAGGTCTAAAGCACACCCATAGCATCTAATCAAAGACACAATATGTCCGCTGGATTAACATTTCATGAGAATGGAGATTAGGGAAGTGTCTAAAAGAGTCCTTAGGGGAATGATAATGAAAAAAATAATTTGAGAAACACTAGTCTGAGGTAATGATAAATGGAATTTCATATGACATATCAGGCATTCTATAAACCGGCTGGACACTATCGGCTAAAGGGCAAACCCGTTCTTGGACTCTGTCCTGGCAGGGAGAAGCCGTTACCTCTTCCAGAGTGGATGAAATTTGATGGTTCTAATTCACTGGTTGGTCTTTTGGAGGGATGGTAACAGATCTAGAGTTCAGCCCCGGAACAGATGATCAGCAGGAGATCACAGTGGGTCCGTGGAGGGTGGTTGTATAATCTCATTTCTCTAACCACGGCCTTTCTGTTCATGGGTCTAGTGTGGAAGCACTGGGGTGGCCAAGGACAGTGTGCAGAGCAGTCTACTGGAGGAGTTATCCCAGCCACGCAGTTCTGCATCTCCCCTGCAGTAGAGGTGGCGATTCCCTTGTAGGCACTAGGAAGCACGTTTTTTTTTTTGTTCTTGTTGTTGCTTATTTGCATAAACCCACCCACTCACTTCTTTCCTAGCTCTCTGCCTTCAATCTCCAAACCTTCTTCCCTGTCTGGTCCATGGGTCCATGCATCATTTGCCTTGGGCTGCATCTCCCCTCACAGTGTGTTGGTGACCAGCTGGAATGATTGACGTAGTACCTACCGGGAGGCCTTCTCTCCGTCCGTTTCAGTCTTGAGTTTTGCGGTGTGGCAGTAGGCCACATCCACATAAACGAGGCATGCAGAGCTGAGCTGTTCTTGAACCATGCCTGAGCTTTCCCCTTTTCTGTCAGCTGGGCTGAAGGAATCTTTTATGAGACCACAAGTGTGAGGAAGAGAGGCACAGGTCCAAGAAAGGAAGGTAATTGATGTGTGTGCCTCACCAGGTGAAGTAATGTACCCAAGCCTTCTAGAATCAGAATGTACCATTTTATTTTCTCATTCCTTGCCCCAACCCCCACTTTGGGAAGCGGGTTCTTGCTGTGTATCTGAGACTGACCTTGAACACAGGATCTTCCCACCTCTGCCTCCTGAGAGCTGAGGTTACAGCTAAGTACCACCACACACAGGCAGAATGCACCATTTCCACTGCATGACGGATAGCTGACAGGCCTGCCTGATGTGGGACTCATGGGAGCTGAAGAAAGTTAAGCAGTGTAGAAGAGACATCATTCTTTTCATATTCCTATTGACTTTATGCTCTTACACAATGCATTTCTTCATTGGGTTTTGTTCATCTCTGTAAATGCTGCTACAGCAGCTTTCTGGCTCCTCAGTCATTCTCCGAGTGTCCCCAGCTCCCGATTTCCATCAGTGTAGGGACAGCAGCTGGTTATAACCAGCTTACACTGCGGTCCTTAGAATTATGCTTGCCCCATGTTTTTACATGCTAATGATGCTGCATAAGCTCTTTTACCTGAATTCCTCCCTGATGATACAGGAGAGGCCTAAGTGATGGTGAGGCTGTAACTCAGACAACACCACCATTCTCCTCGAGAACCTTGTCTTCTGGCTGGGGGGGAGCAACAGTAACGACCTGTCCTGACACCTTCAAGGACCATTTCTGGTGTTGGCTGTCTTAGCTTGAAGTGACCTAGAAGGAGATCCGAAGAGAAAGATTTGAGATCACATAGTGTGTTTAGGAAGTGAGTACGTAAGACAGCAGTAGAAGAGGAAGTGAAATAGGGATGAAAGGGAAATGGATAAAGAATGTGCTTTAAAAGGCTGGGGAGCTGCTTGAGTCCGGAAGGGTGTTTGCCAAGCCAGTCTGAGGACTGGGGTTTGACCCTTGGAACTTATGTCAAAGGAAAGAATTGATTCCTGAAAGCTGCCCTCTGAGCTCTGTGCACATAGATGGTGCCCCTGCAAACACACACACACACACACACACACACACACACACACACACCCTTGAAAATGTGCTGTTAAGTCAGTTGCCATGGTGGGAGACTGGGCTTTTATTTCCCTGAAGGAAACTGGAAAACAGCACAAAGACAGAGTTGAGTTAGTCTGAGCACAGGATGGCAGTGCTGGGTGTTTGGACTAGAAAGCTGAAACCCCGAAGGACTATAAACTGGGTGACTTAAACAAGAGAACCTGTCACAGTTCTAGGACTGGAAGACAGAAAGCAAGGTGTAGACTGGTTCAGTCTGAGCACAGTCATGGACGGGTGCGTCGTGGGCCTTTCTCCTTGAACTGTCGATGGCCTTCTTTTCTCTGTTCTCTTCTCAGTGTTTTCCTTCTATGCCCGCCTCTTCCTCCTCCTCCTCCTCCTGTAAGGACACCGTTGTACTGAAGGTTCATTCTTAGAGTCTCATTTTACCTCATTCACCTTTCTAAAGACCCCATCTCCGAGGTCTCATTCTGAGGTCCAGGGGGTTTGGACTTCAATGTTAGAGTTTGGGGAGGGGACATAACTTAGCTCATAGTTGTTCTTATGTGCCAACTCCCAATGTCATCAGTCGAGGGTGGGTCTCGGTTTGCCTTATTTTCCTGACACATCCAGCCTGTCACGCACGTGGCCGAAGCTGGCTCTGAGGCAGGGTGGTTGGATTAGGTACTGCACACTCAGAAATGTGAGTGCTAGCTGAGTGTGGTGGCTGTTGCTTGTCATGCCAGCATTTGGGAGGCTGAGGCAGGAAGATCAGTAGTTCAAGGCCAGTCTCATCTACTAAGGAAGTTCAAGGTCAAATTGGGCTTCACAAAACCGTGTCTAGTGAGAGAGACGGGGTGGGGGATAGAGAGCTGGCTTTGGAGCTTGGTTGGTAGAGTGCTTGCCTAGCATGCACGAAGCCCTGGCTTTGATTCCTACCGTCAGCATGGTGGTACAGGCCTACACTGTCAGCATTTGGGATGAGGAGGTGGAAGGTTCAGAGGTTCATGGTCTTCCTTTGCTACATAGTGAGTCTGAGGCCAGCCTGGGGTAGATTGAGAGAGAGGTACTTGCTGTCTCTGTCCCATGTTTGATGTTTTGAGGATGTAAATAACTAATTCGATGACCTAACTTCTTTCCTATTTTTTTTTAGTGGAGAAGGTTGTGAAAGGGAGGTTAGTAGAAGGATACTTTTGTATGTTTTTCTTCCCGTAGAAACAAAAGTCTTTTAATGGAAGAGATCACATCTGTGCAAGAGTCCGCTAAAATAAGTATGTAAGCTGGACATTTTTAGTTTACATGCTGATTGACTCCAGACACTGAAATAATTTTAGCTTAAATTAGTCAGATCCCACATCAATTTCACAACATGTATTTAGTAACCAGGAATGATAAAATAAGGCCTCCTACAGGGTGCTGTGCAGGAAGTAATTGATAACAGGAATGATTAACTTCTCCAACATCCTCAGTAGAAATTGTCACTACTGGGGAATGACCACCAGAGGACAACAGAGATCCTGGCATGGGCTCACGTAGAGGCCTTCAGGAAGGTCCACCCAGGCATCAATCAGGAACACAGTAGCTTTCCTTTGAACTTTCATAACAAGCCCTGTTCCAGACACTGGGTGACTTCTACATCATTCTCATATTAAAATTTGCAATGCCATAACATGAGAATTATAGTCCTTTTATGAATGACTAACTCCTGTTTTCAATTGGTTGGAGTTTTTCTCTTGAAGTGAAACATGTTTTACTGTCTCAAAATTGCCATGGAAATCAATTCAGCCTATTAGAAGGAATTTTGAAAACTATTTATAAAAAATTAAGAACAACACCATCTCTTTGATGAACATTTTTTAATCTATGTCTATCTTATACACATGCAGACTAGGTATGATGACACAAGCTTGTAATCTGAGTACTTGGGAGGCAGAGGTAGTAGGATTTTTGTGAGTTCAAGGCCAACATGGTCTACATACATAATGAAACCCTGTCTCAAAACAAAGCAAACAAACCAACAAACAACACACACACACACATGTACATACATAATGCATGTATATATTTGTATACACACACACACACACTCCAACACACAGGAAAGTGGGAGGATTATTTGGGAAGTGGAAAGTGATCATTACACTTAGTTCCGCTTTGCAGAACAAGTAGTAGGTGGCACTCAGAGAACTTTAAGACCAAAAAGAACTGTGGAAGGCAGTGGGGGTGTCCCAGACTGGGAGATGACCAAGCAAACGCTATGGATAGTGGCCAGAAATGGTGACATCTGCATGGAATTGCAGGTACTCAGGAAGCTGAGGCAGGAGGATGACTTGAGCTTGGGGAAATGATGAAAAGTTTTAGATAAGTATGTCTACCTTAACCAAAGTGTCACATGGCATCCCATAAACAGACAATTGTATGAATCAATAAAATAAGGAAAACAGAATATGTAGATGGATTGGCATAAGTTACATGAGATATTATGTCATTTATATAAGGGATCTGAGCATCTGCATTTTGGTATTCTCGAAGGTAGAGTGTCAGAGGTGTGATGCGGTGTGTGGGTCCTGGAATCAATTCTCCAAAGACTAGTATATACAAATGCGAGGACTACCAAGTCCATCCACGTTCTAGGGAACTTGGTAACTTTTGTTGTTGTTGAGGATTTGGGCTCACTAAACTGGGGATGTAGCTTTACTGTGCAGCACTTGCCTAGCTGCTGACCTGGGTTCAGTCCTTAGCACTGTGAAATGAAACAACTGTCTCCTCCAAATCCCCACTCCAATCCACCAAACCATCTTACATGACCAGGAACAAGACACCGTGCAAGGACCAACGTAGCTCAGCTGAAGAGTACTTGCTTGTCATATACAAGGCCCCAAGTTCAGTTCCTAACATCACACAAGACACTAAATAAAGATTTACCTATAGAAAAAAAGATACAGGGAAAAGTGGCACATGCCTTTAATCCCAATACTCAGAGGCAGAGGCAGGTGGATCTCTGAGTTCAAGGCCAGCTTGGTTTACAAGGTGAGTTCCAAGACAGCCAGGACTACATAGAGGAACCCTATCTCAAAAAAACCAAAAAAAAAAAAAAAAAAAAAAAAAAAAAAAAAAAAAAAAAGAAAGAAAGAAAAAGAAAGATACCATACAGACTGATTTCTGAAGTCCTTTTCTTCCTCCTCCCCTTGTTTTGGACAGGGTTTCTCTGTTTAGTCCTGGTTGTCCTGGAACTCGCTCTGTAGACCAGGCTGTCCTGTAACTCAGAGATCCACCTGCCTCTGCTGGAATTAGAGGCGTGTGCCACCATGCCTAGGCCTTCCCATTTTCATGCCATATCCTGAGATTTTCATTTTAGGGTACCCGCAGAGTGGGTGACTAGTCTTTTCCTCCATCCTGTAGACTCCATGTGTTCCACCCCCTCAACCCCTCCAACTCCCCCCCCCCCCCCCCGCCCCTACAAAACAACTCATATCTATTCGTTCCATTCATCGGATATTTTCTATGTGCTGGCTGTTGTTTTGGAGGTCCTTGGGGATACATCAGAGGAGCTGATCTTCCAGGAGGGTTGACAGACCCTACCAATCAACACAAACGCAAAGTATATATACTTTAAACAAATTTGTATAGTAACGATAATATAGAGATGCCCGCTGTTTTCAGGTGCCTTTCACGACTAACTCATGACACCGGAGATGGAAGTATCATCATCCCCTTCTACAGAACAGCAGACTGGAGTGCACCTTGGGTGGGCATCAGGTTTCTTTCCGGAAACGTAATGTAGACGTAGGCTGGAATTGGTTATCTAGGGATCAAAGCCAGATTGCCAAGGCCTCTCTCTAGCACTTCCTAGTCCAGTCTGACCACCTCTCTGCAGAGCTGCGGAGGCAGAGGGCTGCTCTGAGTGCCACCCTGCGGAGGGCGGCGGAGGCACAGGCCGCGGCTCAGAGGGCGGGACCGGAGGCGGGAGGAGGGCTGGGCCGGGGCGGGGTCTGAGCGGGGATGGGCGTGGCCTTCCCCGGCGCGAGTCGTCCCTAGCTAGTTTGTTCCAAGTCGCAGCCCGTACGGACTCCTGTTGCCGCCTCCCTTCCCCAAATGGTGGAGAATCTGTCACGTGACAGCCAGGAGGCCGGAACTAGGCGGTTTGCGTGAATTGCAGGAGTTTGACAGAAACAGACGGCGACGTCTCGGAGGCAGAGTGTATGGCCGAGGCCGTGAAGCCCCGCCGGGCCAAGGCCAAGGCCAGCCGGACCAAAGGCAAGGTGAGGATGCTGTCGCTCGTACGCGAGCCCTCTGCTCCCCGCGCGGAGCCGCGGGGCCGGGCGGCTGTCAGGGCCACTTGGCCGCCTCCCAGTCCTGACCTCACTGGGCTTTTATCTTCTGCTCATTTCCTTGACTTCCCACACCAAAGCCTTTTCCTCCTAAGCCCCCGTCTTTGACTTCCTATCGTATCCTTTGTGACATGGGAGCATTCCCAGCCCCTGGAAATGCACGGAGAAGGGACTTCCTTCGCTTGGGAGGAATGGTTTGTGGATAGCAGTGATGGGTCGGTCCTTCGTTTTCAGAATTCAGGGCGACGGTGTTATCTCCCGATGAACCTGGTTGTTTACAGCGTGGCACGAATATCCAGGAATTGTCTCAGGGCAGAGCCCACCCAGTAGGGATGAGTTTGAGTTTTCTGTTTTCTGGATTGTTGCATGTCATTAGTGTGGTTTTAAATTGACTTGTTTTTAGGTACATTTTGGATTTTTAACTTTGCTCCTATATATTTGTTGCCGTGAACAAATTAAATCTTATAGATAGGTGGTCAGACCTATTTATATCTATGTATTTAAACAGTGTTTTTTAACCTGCTTCTGCCTTTAGATTGCTGGGGTTAAAGACATGCCACCATCCCTGGCCACTGGGTCTAGATAACTTTGCCTTATACTAAGCCCAAAGTATAACTTTGTGTGTGTGTGCCAACAAGTTTTAATAGTGATTTATGGGAACTTTATTTAATAGAGTGTAAATGAAGTGTGTGGATCCCTTTCTGTAAGGTAGTATGGAATTAGGCACATCAGTCAGAAATTTCTTTTATCTTTAGAGACAAGAATGTGTGTGTGTGTGTGTGTGTGTGTGTGTGTGTGTGTGTATGTGTGTACACACACACACACACACACACACACACACATATATATACATATCTCCCAAGCTGACCTCACTATGTAGCCCCAAGCTGAGCTTGAACCTGTGCCTCCTACCTCAGTCTAGAAACATAACTTTCTGACACACCTTTTATGGGTACTGTGACCATTTAAAAACTAGAGAAACTCTGTGTGTATGGTGAGGGAGCATGAGTGCAGATTTGGGTGGACATTGTAATGGTGAGTGTGTGTGGCCCTGAGGTCGGTCATTCTTGGGCAGTGCTCTTCAGAAGGAGCTGGTCCCTTGCTTTTTGAGACAGAGTCTCTGGCTGGGACCTGGGGACTGCTGTTTAGCTTAGGCTTGTTGGGCATCATGTCCTAGGCTCTGCTTGTGGGCTGTGGGGATGGAACCCAGTCCTCAGGTTTCCATGGCAAACACTTTACTGAGTGTACCACCTTCCTACTCCCTGTCAGAAACATTTTAAGAAAAATAAGTTTGCAGTATCTTGGTTTGATAAAGAACTATCGCAAACAAACAAACAAACAAACAAACAAACAGTTAACCAGCCATACATAACCCTTTGAGCCTGGAATATAGTAGTTTATAACATGAGTTATCTATAGAGAACAGAATCTTAAATCCTAATAATCTACTGTTTTTTTTTTCTCTAGTAAGTGATGAAACTAAAGCCTTGACAGGTTAAACGATTGTCTTAATCATGCAGTTAGCATGGTTTATCTCAGGGGAAGCCAGAAATCGTGGCTTTCAGTCCAGTAGCTTAACCATTATTTTATATATGTGTTTGTCTGTCAAAGATAGCTTATTACAGACACCTAAAACACAGTCAGTCAAGAGGAGTCTCTCTTTATTTTGTTTCATAATTTCTAAATTAAAATTTAAATCTTAAGCTTTTAAGTCTTATGAAAAATGAATTGTCTATTTTATCAACGTATTTCAGGCAGTTTTCCTACATACACATACAGTACTCTGTTTTCTCAACTGTTAAAGCTCATTTCCAAGACATTTGCTTCAGTTAGATATCTCACACACACTTTGCCCTGTCCTCCAAATTTAATCGTTCACTGAGAGTTGAATTTCCTGCCTGATCTGGTTCTTCCCATTACTCTCCATCATCAATGTCACAACTCCTGCGAGGAGGGTTTTTGCTTAACTGCCCTCACATTCACATTGCTTTCTACTGCCGTTCTCTGAACTGAAGCTAGGTTGACATATGTACACACACACACACACACACACACACACACACACACACACACACACGCACACACACACACACGTATTGACTAGAGAGAGCACACTGGCCTCACCGAGATCCACTGCTTTTGTTTGAGTACTGGTATCAAAGGTATAAACCACCATGCCTGTTGAATTATTATTATTATTATTTTTGGTTTTTTGAGACAGGGTTTCTCTGTGTAGTTTTGGTGCCTGTCTTGGCTCACTCTCTGTAGACCAGGCTGTCCTTGAACTCACAGAGATCCACCTGGCTCTGCCTCCCGAGTGTAGGATTAAAGGCGTGCACCACCACCACCGCCCGGCGAATTGCTAATTTTTAAAAACCTTTCAAAGGCCGGGCATAGGAGGCAGAGATAAGCAGATCTCTGTGAGATCAAGGCCAGCCTGGTCTACATAGTTTCAGGATAGCTAGGGATACATAGCAAGACCCTGTCTCAAAACACAGAACAAAGAAAAAAAAAGTTGCAGAGCTTTCCCATTTCGCAGAGGCTAGGATTGGAAGCACTAATTTAAGGACTCTAGCCTGGGCTTCCTCTTCAGCATCTGTCACACCCGTATTAATCTGCGTACTTTCCTGCCTTAGAGCCTCTGCCTTCCCACCTCTTTCCTCTGCCTGTTAGTGCTTGTTGTCGTGTCTGAGTTTATGTTGTCGGTGTCTGAGTTTAAGCCGCGCTTACCCAGCACTTTCCCTATCACCCTTGTGTAGCTCCCTCTGGCAGGAACGCTGTGCACTCATTTTACGTCCCTCTTCTCGATTGTAACAACTTTATCAGCCACTGTCTTCTCTCTGAGACAGTGAACTCACAGAGTGAGGGATCACTCTTGTTCCCAGTGCATTTCACAATGCCTGTAGTCACCTGATAAAGTTGGTTGAATTAAAAAAAAACAAGAGCCAACATTGAAGCACATTCCCAAGCTTTGCCACTGAGGAATTTAATAATTTTTTTTCACAACTAGTACAAGAAAACAAATAGAAAATGTCCATGATACCAGTAGGACCCTCATACTTGCCAGTCTAAGGAAATTAATTTGCTTTAGGGTTAGCAGAGACATTTGTTAATGCTGGCTGTTGTTTGGCCATGGTTATAAAGTCCTATATCATTGAAACTTTACAGTGATGTGTTTTAGCATCTGTTTATGGAGCCGTGAACAGATTCTAAGGCTTAGGTGGAAGTTCAGGAAGTGGAGTGTCATGTGCTGTTGTGTTTAGATTGCTGTGGCTTCTGGATTTGTCGCAGTACCTGGCCTACATTCCTCAGGGGTAAATATTTGGTAGGTGACTTCAGGATGACAGGTTGTGGTTAGGTATCTGGTATTTACTATTGGATACCCTAATAATGTTTTTATTTTATTAGTGTGATTCTTTGTAAAAACTTGCCCCCAACTCTGAGGATCTGGACTTCATACATCTTAGAAAACTTAGGTTAAGAAGGACAGAATCTTAGATCTGGATTTTCTCAGCAGACTTAATAGATTTTATAGTAAGGCAGAGTGATGATACATGCCTGTAATCCCAGCACCTAGCAGACCGAAGGAGGAGGATTGTGAGTTTCGGGCCAGCTAGGCTACATAGTGACTTCTGGGTTAGTTTGGTGTTATGTAACAAGACCCTGTCTCAAAAAACTGTATTAAGTTCTAAATTCCAACAACCAATAAGAGCATCTCGTAATTGATAGGCTGGGTTAAGATGTTTCCTGCCGTAACCCTTCCCGCTCATCCCTGTGGTCCTCCCTCTTGCTCTATTGCCTAGGTAATTCCTTTGTTGCTTCTAGGCATGAATTGTTACCGGAATAAAGTTGGGCAGTGCTATATACTATTATTTAGTCTCTGTTTGCCTCTCAAGATCCAGTCATTATTGAATACATAATGCCCACTTATTGTTTCCCCCCAAAACGATTCTAGGAATTTGGGATATAAAGAAAATCCTCAGGCCTCAATGGTGCTTATAGTCTGGAGTAGAAACTTCCCAGGTGTGTTTCAGAACAAACATATCTACACGATTATCTTCAGATTGCTGAAAGAAGTATGTATGTGTTCGTGTGCACATGCATAGACAGAAATGGACATCCCAGAGCCGTCTCCAGGAGAGAACTGTTGGTGACAGCTTGTGGTGTGTCCTTCTAACTTAGCTTTGCCCTCCTCTGCCTTACTACAGCACTTCAGGGCATTTGACTGTGACAAGCCCAAGGTTCAGGAGTAAGTAAAAGTATTTCTAAGACCAGAAATGATGTCAAAGTTTTAAGAAACAATATAAATTGTAGACAGAAACACAGGCAAGTTCTCAGAAAGAGACAGTTGTCCCCCTCAGAGAGCACAGGGTGCAGCAGTTAAGAGACTCTACCTGGGGGCTGGAGAGATGGCTCAGTGGCAGAAGCCATGCTGCAGCCTCTGGGAACAGTGAATAAATGGAGCTCCTTGTGGCAAGGTCCTTTGGAGAATCCTGCCCACCTGGCAAGGACCCATGAAGGCGATGCTGCAGACCATAGGGTGCTGACCACAGGGAGCTCATGAGCTTCATCAGGCCTTTCTGACTCTCGATATGCTTATTCCTATGGTAATTCTGAGTTCACTCAGTTGTGATTGTGGCTGAGTTTACTGGGACAAAAGCTGATAATTTTAATAAAGTTTCTACAAGGAAATTAAGCATCTTTGCAATTGATCACAGAAACCAATCCCTTCGGTTGCCCCGACTGCCTTTGCATCCATCCTGAGTAAGCAGGAGGAACTCACTAAGGTTAATGATTCTTGCTTACTTAACTGTTCTAAAAAAGAGATAACTATATTCTAAGAACTTAAGAACTTGGGAGGCAGTTTCCTAAAAGATGACATTAAAAACTTATAGAGACATGTAAGAAAAAGATAAAGGACATGAAAAGTCTTATATCTTTCTGGTGCCAGGGAATGAATGGTTAGACATTTTTTTTTTCAATGTCAAAATATCAATAAAGGAATCTAAAACTCCTAGTTCCCTTGGAAGTAAAAGTACAAGTAGAAACTGCTAGAAAGAATAAAAGCTTGGTCCCAACAGTTCAGAGTTGGGTATTATCATTACCATTCTGAGAATGTGTGAAGAATAGGATTACAGCTGCTGTTCACATAAAAGTGATATGCAGATCATTAGAAATTGACTTACACCTGAAAAATAATATTCTAAGTATGGTATCATACTCAGAGCTGACTACAGAAATATAAGAGCATCATATTGCTAAGGACTAATCACAGGGCTTGAATGTCTCTCATTATTGTAACCACATGTTTGCTGCCAGCCTGGGCACAGTATGAATAAGATGTGCCTAGCTAGATACAATCAATCGGCTTGCAGTATAAAATTAATGCTTAGATACAGGGTAAAAGTCAGTTAGTGGCAACAAGGAAGTGGGGAAGAGGGAAAGAAACTGAAATGGGTAAATGGTAATGATTCTGGGAAAATGATTGAAAAAATGAGTTGAAACTGCTCATGCTTGAACATACTGGAACGTATATAAATAAATAAAGACAGCTCGAGCTATTTGGGACCATCTGTTTGAAAGACTCTTCACTTTTTGCCAATCTCACACCTCCATCTTCTGGCTCAGAACCCTGCTGGAGCTGGATTCCAGCAGTTCAGCAGCTAATAGCACTACCTGTTCTTGCAGAGGACCCAAGTTTGATTCCCAGCACCCACATGGCAGCTCACAACAGTCTCTAACTCCAGCCCCAAGGGATCAGACACCCTCTGCAGCATCAGGCACATACATCGTACATAGACAAAACACCCATACACATAAAAGTAAACCAGTTTTATTAAATTAAAATAATAAAAGAACTTACCTGTACTTGTCTCGTGGGTACTTGTGTGGTTCTGTGTTTGAGTAGGTAATAGGTGAGCTGCCTACTATCTTGTTGCTTGCCCTTCCTGAGGGTCATAGGCACTGGACTCTCATTATGTGCCCTGAGGATGGTCATGGGTCATAGGCGCTGGGCTCTCATCGTTTGTGTGCCCTGAGGATGGTCACGGGTCATAGGCGCTAGGCTCTCATTGTGTGCCCTGAGGATGGTCACGGGTCATAGGCGGTAGGCTCTCATTGTGTGCCCTGAGGATGGTCACGGATCATAGGCGCTGGGCTCTCATTGTTTGTGTGCCCTTCCTGAGGATGGTCACGGGTCATAGGTGCTGGGCTCTCATTGTGTTCCCTTCCTGAGGATGGTCACGGGTCATAGGTGCTGGGCTCTCATTGTGTGCCCTTCCTGAGGATGGTCACGGGTCATAGGCGCTAGGCTCTCATTGTGTGCCCTGAGGATGGTCACAGGTCATAGGCGCTGGGCTCTCATTGTGTGCCCTTCCTGAGGATGGTCATGGGCCATAGGCACTAGGCTCTCATTGTGTGCCCTTCCTGAGGATGGTCACGGATCATAGGTGCTGATCATAGGTGCTAGGCTCTCATCATTTGTGTGCCCTTCCTAAGGATGGTCACGGGTCATAGGCGCTGGGCTCTCATTGTGTGCCCTTCCTGAGGATGGTCACGGGTCATAGGCGCTGGGCTCTCAACGTTTGTGTGCCCTGAGGATGGTCATGGGTCATAGGCGCTAGGCTCTCATGGTTTGTAAGTCATCACAGACCTCCTGGGTCAGCCCCAAGTAGTTTGGGTTTGACTATTGAGAATAGAGTGGAGTTTGCTGTTGATTTGCACATTCATTTTTGGCCTTTTTGTCTCTAGTTAAGTGTGTTCTTCTGTATTCATTATTGACTTACATTTCTGTAACACTTCCAGATTTTTTTTTTTTTTGGAATGATTTTATTTTGGTTTTTATCTTTTGATTGTTCTGGGGATTGAACCCAAGTCTTTTCTTGAATATGGGTACTTTGCCACTGAGCTATATTCCCAGCCCTGGATGATTTAAAAAATTTTTTATGTGTATGCAACTTGTGTGGAGGTAAAAAAAATGAATAAATACAGATTCTTTTTAATCTGCTTGGCTGTTTTTATATATAAGACACGTTTTCTGGAGAGCTGACCCAGTGGTTAAGAACACTTGCTGCTCTTGCAGAGGACATGGGTCTTGTTCACAGCGCCCATATTGGGGGACTCACAATCTCTTGTAACTCTAGTTCCAGGAATCTGGTACCCCCTTCTGGCCTCCATGGGCACTGCATGCATGTGGTGCACATCCAGTCAGACACACATACATACACATAAATTAAAAAGAAACAAGAAAATTTCTTAAAATTACCAGAGACATGAATTTTTATGCAAGTAGCTTGATAACACTTTGAGTTGTTTAAATTTTATTTCCCTATCTGTGATGATAGTTGTATTCACAATATGTCTTCTAGTACTTTTTTTTCTTACCTCTCTAAAGTAGGCAAAGTAATTGGAAGCTGACTGTCTTTAACCAAAATGGAGTTGCAGTAGATTCGCTCTGTGGCATGAAAGTTCACTTCTGAATTTATTAGGAAGCTTACACAGAGTCATATGGGGAGGAGGAGGGGGCACCTTTGGGAGGATACATTCCTGAAAATGCACTTCATTTTAAAATTTCTGAGTATGTTCAGTTAGGGTCATAGTTCAAGAAGAAAGTATGGCAGAAAGGGACTCCCCCATCTATATTGGGTGATACTGTAAAGGTGGTGGGGAGGTTGGTTCCCTGGGTGCATGTGAGCCCACATCACAAATGCTCAACAGACTTGGGAACTTGCTGGCCGTTTTTGGTTCACATTATCAATTGCTGACAATGGTGGTGGCTGGGATTAGCACTTCAGTCTTCAGAGGAGCTTCCTTGGGCCCATCATGGTTGCCACACGCTACTGAGGAAACTGAGGTTCCCTTATTAATAAAAGAATTTAGAACTGGACTCAAGGACGCTCAAGGACAGTTTATTCGAGTTTAAGAGAAACTGAAGGACAGGTTAGGTGACAGTCCTGCCAGGAGAGACAGAGAACAGGTGATGCCTGTTAAGTTGGGCCTGAAATGGAATCAGAGAGCTATTAAGAAGGGAAAAAGTACTCCTTAGAATGGAAGTGGGTTAGCGAGCCGAGGAAAGCCCCCTGTGTCAAAATGTAGATATTTATGTATAGTTTAAACATTCTTCATCCGAAACAATCAACTATTGTTATATTTCATACCATGCTTTTAGGAAAAGAAGAAACATGAAGCACCTCAGACTTCTGATGAAGTTTCCCTTCTCGAGACTTCTAGAGAGCAGGAAATCCCGTCTCTAGCTTGTGAACTCAAAGGAGATGATCTGAAGGTGTCAGCTGATTCCCAGCTCCACAAAGATGTCAGTGGATGGAATGAAAGTGAAATGTTTGATATACCACTCACCTCCTTGACTGTAGGTGATGAAGGGTCCCTGATACGTGACACAGAGGACCTGAAAGAAAGGGGGGAGATCAGAGCCCATGATGGAGATGATGAAATCAAGATGAAGGTCGACCCTGGAGACAACGTTAGAACTACAGTTGAACCTTCCAAGAACTTTACAGAGGGAGAGGAAAGCACACTAATACAACAGGGATCTTCAGAAAGCACACCACAGTTTGATTTTCCCTGTACTCAGCAGGAAATGGGAAGTTTACAAGTCAGAGAAACTCAGACTAGGAAAGATGAAGAAGCCATTGGTTGTTCAAAGGTGCTTCAGAATGCTAGCTTGCACAGTTCTTATGAAGCCAAAGAAGTTTCTCAGTCACCTAGAGTGAGGAAATTGTATCCTGAGTTGCCAGCTGAAATTGTGGAAGTACCATCTTTGGTGGTGGTGAAGCCCTTGCTCTGTAGTGAGCGACTCTACCCAGAACTCCCTTCTCAACCAGAGCTAGTACCATTTACTAAAGAACAGCTAAAACTCTTGGAGCCTGGTTCATGGCTGGAAAATGTTGAGTCATATGTAGAAGAATTTGACAGCATTGCTCATCAGGATAGGCATGAGTTTTATGAGTTACTCTTGAACTACTCACGATGCAGGAAGCAATTGCTGTTGGCTGAAGCTGAGCTCCTTACTCTGATGTCAGATTGCCAGAACGCCAAAAGTCGACTGTGGAACTTTAAGGATGAACAAATGGCTGTACAGGTATTTTGACTGTGTGTGTGTCAAGCTTCAGGGCTTGGGAATTGGTAGTTGAGCTGCCTGTCCTGTAGTGCTGTCTGGAATTCAGTCTGTGTGTTAAACCTACACTGGTATTGGCTCCATCAATCTAGGAATCACAAGATCAGATGGCCACAGGGGCAGGCATATAATGTATAGGCAAGGGGTGAGTAGGATAGTGGTCACCAGAGAAACACATGCCAAGTCTAGAGGGGACAGCAGCTCTTGACATCTAGCTGACAGTTGTATGATTGTGATGTGCTGCATCTTAGGATTTTTCAAGAGAGGCAGGAATCTGGATTTTTGCATGAAGGATCCTAACGGGCAGTGTTAACAGCTAACTAAATACAAATATATGCAGACATATATTCTACACAGAGTCTAAGCTAGCAAACCATGTCTTAATGTAAAATTCAACCCATAGACTATTAGGGTTAGATTTTGGTGTAATGCCACAAATGTGCAGTGAGGAAAGAGTGTCCTGATTGAGAAATGATAAGAAAATAGGAAAGTCCACTAGCTGTGATGCCCTCCTGGAGGCCAGGACCATCATTACTAAGGGCCTGGAGGGATGGCAAGGAGGAGAAGGCTGTTTTGGACAGTTTGGCACTGAAGGGAAGCTGGAAGAGTAGTGGTGACACTTGTGATTTGCTGCACTACCTTTCATTTGTGCAGAGCCTTGTATATCTTTTCGTAGATTCTGTGGAAAGAGACACATCTGGAAATACTGAAAAGAAAGGGAGGGTGGAGAAAAAGCTCAGCGGAGAAATAAGAGCACTTGTTGCTCTTGCAGAGGTCCCTGGTTTGATTCCCAGCATGCATATAGCAGCTCGTAACCTAGTAACTCCAGTTCCAGAAGATCCATGGCCCTCTTCTGACCTCCATGGGCAACCAGACATGCATTTGGTACACATCCATGCATTATGCATACACATAAAATAAAATGTAGAACAAGAAAAGGAAATGAAAGGATAGACTCAAGAGTATGGTGGGAGGAATTACTATAATGGAGGATTCCTTTTGAACAGAGCCGTTAAGAGTGAGGTAGATCTAGAGGTGTTTTGGGCTACTGTGAAGTTGAGGGATAGCAGCACATTGGCCTTGGTATTCTTAGTATAGGAAGTAAATACCAGTTGTGAGAGTTTTAGGGACACACGTTACTGTTTCCCTGCCGACTTCATAGGGTTACCCTTTACAGAACTTGTCATATACTCATGATTGGCAGTGTTCTCTGACACATGGCCATCATTTGCTAGTGTGGTTTTGTATGTGTAGTGTTGGCCCCTCATGTGATTATAAGTTTTTGAAAATGGTACTGAAGCCTGTGTCTTACACCTGCTGCCTGACTGCATCAAATTCGACTGGTTTCATATTTTATCCTTTATTTACTGGTAGGGTATCTGTGCAGATCAAGTGAAAGTTTATGGCCATCACCACTACCAGAGAGTAGAGATGAATGAAAGTGTCCTGGGAGAACTGAAGAAGCTATTTGATGCCAAATCTGAGCACCTCCACCAGACGCTGGCCCTGCATTCTTACACTTCTGTGCTCTCGAGGTTGCAAGTGGAGTCGTACATCTACACGTTGCTCAATAGCTCAGCTGTTCTGAGATCTTTAGCAGTTTATCAGCAAGACCAAGGTAGGTAAATAGTGAAGCTTTCCTCTTATACTAAAATGTGGAACAGAATGGAGGGTACAACCGGTGTGAGTTGACTGGGTATTAATTCACAAGGCATCATTGTGTATTTTCTTTCCTTGCCCCCTCAACACAATGTTTACTGATGTTTCTTGAGTAGTACGAGGCCTCCCTTCCCCATGGCTGTTGTTTCTCCTCCTTTAGGAAGGCAAAAATCGGCCTCTCTTTGCCTTTGCTAAGTAGTGTCCCAGTGGCGTTTGATCCCAAAACTAACCATCCAGATATCTTTTCTTTCTTTAAAATGTATTATTATTATTTTATTATTAGACTTATCTATTTTATTATATGTGTTTGAGTGTTCTGTCTACATATATGTCTGTATACCACATGCCTGGTACCTGCAGAGGTCAGGAGATGGAGTTGGATCCTTAGGAACAGGAGTTATGGATGGTTTTAAGCTGCCTTGCGGGTGCTGGGATTCAAAACCCAGTGGATCCTCTGCGAGAACAAGTGCTTTACACACTGAGCAAGCTCTCCAGCCCCCAGAATACCTTTGTGTTTTCCTGTTTCTCTCTTGCATTTTATTATTTTTGTTTTCTCACTTCCTTGCTTCTTGAATTTGTAGCTGATGTTCTATAATGTTCTGAAGTAGAAATTCCTTTCTTTTTTCATGGTAGTTATTTGCCCTGCTCTCCCCCTGCACCATATCCTCAGACCTCTCATTCATGCTATGTAAAACATTCTGCCTATAGAGTTCATCTTCAGGATGTAGAACCTTAAGGCCAGCCCCCAGTGGCCCACTTCTTCTAATGAGGATCCACTTCCTACAGGTTCCACAACCTTCCAAAAGTCACCATCAGATAGGCACCAAGTATTGAAGTAAATTAGGGAACATTTCACATTCAAACCACAATGTTTTGCTCTTAACCTTGGCCTTCAAAATTCAATTTGCACTCACTTTAACTTCAGAAGTCCCCATAGTCTCTAACAGTCTCAGCATTGTTCATATGCCCCAAATCAGAGCCTTGAAACCTATTAAATATAACAAAAGAATAGCAGTGGTTGGTCTGGAAGAAAGCTGACATGTAATTCCCTTTGTAAGAATTCGGTTCATAAGGAGAAAGGGCCTGGAGGCCATTGTTGGCCTCTATGTGGGAGGAAGAGTGTTAGACAAACAACATAATATATGGAGATCTAAACAAGATCAGGCCTTAATGGAAAGGAGAGGCATCCCTGTAAAGCTTAGAGAGGAGCTTCATTAAGAGAATAAAGCCAGGCATGCTTTTAATCCCAGCACCCAGAAGGCAGAGGCAGAGGCAGGTGCAGCTGGATCTCTGTGAGTTCAAGTCCAGGCTGGTCTACATAGTGAGTTCTAGGACAGCCAAAGCTACATAGTGAAACCCTGTCTAAAAAACAAAAAAACAAAACAAAACAAACAAAAAAACCCCAAACCAAACCACAACAGAAGAGTGAGAGTAAGAGAGAAATGGGAGAAATGTGTGTGTGTGTGTGTGTGTGTGTGTGTGTGTGCGCGCGCGCCCACGTGCACATGTGAGTGAGAGTAAGAGAGAGATAGGAGAAATGAGAGAGAGAGAGAGAGAGAGAGAGAGAGAGGGAGGGAGGGAGGGAGGGAGGGAGGGAGGGAGGGAGGGAGAGAGAGAGAGAGAGAGAGAGAGAGAGAGAGAGAGAGAGAGAGAGAGAGAGAACCCGCACAAGAGCGTCAGCATGCCACAATGAAAGGGATGATAGAGGCCGGGGAGTACCTTCGGATCATTTCTCTGTGCAGAGTCTCCAGAAGTCTTTAGAACAATTCCAAGAACAAGAGAAAAATGTGATGTTTTGTAACACTTTAGACTGGTGGGAAGTTTCACATCATGTGATTTAGTTCAGTATAGTATGACAAAGAGTAGGGAGGAGCCAGGTATCATAAATTGAAAGCTGTCAAATCATAGCATAGATGGTTTCTTAAATCTCTGTTGCAGACAGAGCTGCAGGGAGGCATGGCCTAATTCAGGTTGTAGAATCTAGCCTGAGGGTACAGGCCCTTGTTTTAACAAAACCAACAGTATAAGCATCAATCCTGTTGCTCCATGCCTGGGCATCTGGGGCTTGAGTGAGCCATCTGCACCCCAGAAACCCTGGGTAGTCCTCCTTATCTAACTCTACTACCTACAGCACTTGTAGTCTACTCTATGCCTGGCGCTCTCCTTGGTGGATGTCCCTTGGTCCTGGCATCTTCAGTATCCTGAGGTCTTCCTTGTAACTTAGACTTTATGTTTGCAGCTTTATTTGATGGCCTTGAAGTGCCTCCCTGCAGGCAGGGAATTTGACTTTGCCCCATATTGTTCAGCCTTACTCTGCAGCTTTCAGAACCTTGGAGCAAGACACCAACACCCCCCCCCCCCCCCCCCCCCCCCTTACTGTTCCACATTTCATTCTTGCAGAACCAGGACTGTGTAGATGTGGTGATATACTGTATACCCCAGTAAAACTTATCTGGGGATCAGAAGACAAAGCCAGACACTAAATTAGACATAGAAGTCAGGCAGTGGTGGCACACACCCTTAATCCTATCATTTGGGAGACAGAGATCGATCTCTGTGAATTTAAGGCCACCCTGGGCTACATGAGATTGATCCAGTCTAGGAGAGAAACATAGCCAGGCAGTGGTGGCACACACCTTTAACCTCAGTATTTGGGAAGCACACACATCATTAATCTAGGAAGATTGAGATAGGAAGTGAAATGGCTGGGTAGAGAAGGGCATATAAGGCATGAGGAGACAGGAACTAAGCCCTCTTGGCTGAGGACTCAGGAGCATTCAGTCTGAGGATTCTTAGAGACAGGATCTCACCTCCCTTTTGGGCCTGATGATTCGGTAGAGGTGAGAAGTGGCTGTGGCTTGTTTCCTCTGATCTTTTAGCATTTATCCAATATCTGGCTCCAGGTTTTTATTATAAGACCATTTAGGATTCGTGTAATGTTTTAGTTTCTTTGCTTTAAGTAGAGAAGCTAAAAGTCCACAATACCATCAGGAGGACTCATCTAATCCTCTCTTTTTACAGTTTCTAAACTGACAGAAAGCATCCCCTCTGACGTGTGTCAGCTGAAGGAGTGCATCAGTGTCTTGTTCATGTTCACCAGGAGAGTGAGTGAAGATGCCCAGTTCCATGAAGACATCCTTCTCTGGCTGCAGAAACTAGTAAGGGAACAGATACAGACATAGAAGTCTTTCTTTGCTTGGGTAATTGAAGAAGAATTTCTTATTTTGTATTTCATAGTTTTTTCTTCTGTAGCTTCTCCAGCCAATTCATTTAATGAGTTAATGACTTTTCTTTGATGATGACACATGGTTACAAGTTATTTGTCTTATTACTCTGTGTCTCTAATGAACTCTGACTTTCAGGTCAGAGTTGAACTCAGGAGGAAATGCAGAGGGAAGTGAAGACTGACTGCTGACTCACCACGTGTCTGATCATGTTTGATGATAAACTTAGTTGTACTTACCATGGGAGGAGAGGTGTCAGGATTTGGAAAGTTTAGGTGTATTACAGAGGGGATTTATGTCTGGGCACTGTAGAAAGGTTGCATGCACCCCAGCTCACTGTGTCCGTGAGTTTATGAAATCAGGGAAACCACGAGTTCTTTGTTGTTTAGGTGTCGGTGTTACAAAGAGTTGGCTGTCCTGGAGATCACTTCTTCCTTCTCAACCACATTCTTCGCTGCCCAGCTGGCGTCAGTAAGTGGGCCGTTCCTTTCATACAGGTATGATGGTGATCTGACTCTGGGGGTGGGCAGGGGTTTATTAGTTTTCCTTAAGAAACGTCTAAAACAACCATCCCCCAAAGGCCTAATTGAGTACTATTTAAATAAAAATGTTACTTGTATGCTTTATGTGTCTGCATGGACTCATGTGCACCGTGTACATGTAGGTGTCTGCAGGGGCTAGAAGGCGTTGATCTCCTGAAACTGGAGTTAAAAGTGGTTGTGAGCTTCCTGTCTGGGTGCAGGGAACCAGACCTTCCCCTCGATCTCTTGGGGAGCAGTGAGTGCTCTTAACCACTGAGCCCTCTGTCTGGCTCCCTAAGTGAAACCTTTAAAGCAGGAGTACATGTATATAGGAGTTAGTGCCAGCGCTTTCTGGGTCATCATAGGTGAAGAAATTAGGACAGCTGCGGAAGTTCAGAAGTAACCCAGCTTGGTAGGCTCACGAGTGTTTGATTTGGTAAGAGGATGGCTCACCAGGACTGTTTTTCCTTTCTGTAGTAATTGCCACAACTCTCTAAATTAACCTCACAGTGCAGTTGGTACTGTGAGATAGAATCTGCCAGCATAGCAGGGAGGTCTTAGGCCTGCTAGCAGCTTGCATATACTTACCATAGTTTCTCCTTTGCCGAGCACCTTTTGGCCGTTTTTATTATTCATAGCAGCCACTCAGCTAGTAGGAATCAAAATGTATGTCAAGTTCAACTCAGCTCCTTCATATTTTCCTTAGTATTTCTGGTGACATGGAGCCGAAATCATTTCGAAGAGAAGAGGATGTTTTGTTTTTCTTGTTTAAAGCAGCAGTGCTGTGTTCCATCACAGCTGCTGCAGATGTTTGCCTTCAGCCGTTCATCCTCGGCTCTTAGGTAGTGTGCAGGTCGCTACTCCAGCTGTGCCTTGTGCTTCGGAGTCAGCTTGGGTAAATCAGCTTAGCTCTGTCCTCTGACTAGCATCTTGCTTGTTAGATATGTGTAAACCAGCTTGAGCTGGTTTTCTACAGTATGCTTTTTTCATTTTCTGATTTCAGATCAAAGTGTTGAATAACCCTTCAGGGGTCTTTCATTTTATGCAGTCCCTTGCCCTGCTGATGTCTCCTGTCAAGTAAGTGTGGAAGAGCTTTGTGAAACAGAAATTGAAATACTTCTACCAAAGGGTTGGTTTTCTTAACTGCCCACAGCCAAAGAGAACTGCTAAGGGAAATGTTGGTGTTCTAGAATTTAACATTGCAGATTTTCTTTGGGTTTGATACCCCTATCCCAAAGTGATATGTCTAGCTGCTTATTAACCTTTTGTGTGGTCCCCTTTTAGTGGGTTTGTCTCTCATTGTGTATGTCATTGTGAAAGAGATAGTGTGTTCCTTAGACCAGAAGGGGGACCTGATGTCAGTGTTAACTGTGGAGCTGCGTACTGCAGTAGGAGTGTGGCCAGTCAAGGGCTGAGTGATCAGAGACGTTCCACAGTGGGTGAGTCAGCTTTGAAGAGGGGACGATTTCACTAGGCGAGGGGCTGGGGAGACTAGTGTGAGCAAAGGTCCTAATCCAGGGTGTGCAGAGGACTGGGGTGTAGGTAGCTGAAAGTGATGGTAATCAAGGTGAGTAACTGCGGTGGGGGCTGGAGGGTAGAGGCCTTGAAATTAAAGCTGAAGAATCTACACTTGATATGGCTTGGCTTGTGAACAAGTGAAAGCTTGTTGAACAGGGAGCAAAAATTGTCCTTAAGGAAGATTAGGCCAGGTGTGATGGGACACACCTGTTATCACAGCACTCAGGGCTTGTAAGACTGTGTTTGGAGGATCTTCAGTTCAAGGCCAACTTAGGTTATATCAAGACCTTATTAAAAAAAAAAGTGGGGGTTTGTTTTGGGCAGACGGTGGACTGGAGGCAGAAGCGTATGCACTTTTTCATTGCTTCCTTGATGGCTACAGACATTTATGCCTCTCCTGGCTCAGGATCCCAACCAACTGCACAGCAAAAGAGCAGGCATGTTTTTGATCCAGGGAGAATGCAGGGCCTGTTTGTTGATGACCCTGAACACTGTTACTAGCAGCTAACCGGCCTCTGGGCCTGTTGACTAGGGTCATGATAGTAGATGGAGCGTGGGAACCTAGACGTCTTCTTCCTGGGAAATGATTTAGTAGCTGATTAAAGAATGCAGAGAAGGGATGTATCACTCCTAAGTCTACCTGTGTGAGCCTCAGAGACTAGGAGAAGTACAGAAAGAGGACTGTTTTCTACAGAAGAACAGCATACAAGTGACACAAACCGATGGACACCTGGAGCTCAGGACTGGGGTTTTCCCTGTTGAAAGGGAGATAGGCCGGGCGGTGGTGGCGCACGCCTTTAATCCCAGCACTCGGGAGGTAGAGCCAGGCGGATCTCTGTGAGTTCGAGGCCAGCCTGGGCTACCAAGTGAGTTCCAGAAAAGGCGCAAAGCTACACAGAGAAACCCTGTCTCGAAAAACCAAAAAAAAAAAAAAAAAAAGAAAGGGAGATAGTTGAACTCCAGAGCTGGAGTGTGTAGGAGGATTCTGGATAAGAGAGGAGTGGGTAGGTAATTTTTCAGAGAGGATTGCAAGCTAGGTCATGGTCCAAGAGGAAACTGTCCTGGTTACATTGCTCATCAGATGGAACAACTGCTTGGAAAATCCTGTTGCTGTTTTTTTTCTGTCCTCCATCCTATACTGCCTGCATGCAGAGGCTGCTCCTGAACAGGGATGTGTTTTGACTGGATGTGTTTACCTTTATGTATACCTTTTGGCCCCAAACAAGCCTCTCTACCAACTGCATACCTTTTTATTTTGTTTGTTTTTGTTAAGATACATTTTTAAAAAAGATTTATTTTTATTTTTAATCATGGATACTTGTAGATGTCTCTGTGGGGATGTGTATATGTGAGAATGGGTGCCCACGAAGGCCAAGAGGGCTCTGGATCCATGGAGCTGGAGTCACAGGTAGTTGTGAGCTGTCTGACGTGAGTGCTGGGAACTGAACTTGGGTCATGTGCAAGAACAGCAAGTGCTCTTAACCACTGAGCCATTTCTCAAGCCTTTACTTACATTTTTTTTTTTTTTTTTTGAAACAGGGTCTCATTATGTAGACCAGACTTAGAGCTTGTTATCTTCTATCGCAGGCTGGCATGTAACTAGTTATCTAGCCTAGGCTGACCTTGAGCTCAGAGAGATCTGCCTGCCTCTGCCTTCTGAGTGTTGGGATTTGAAGCTAAGTACTATTGTTCCTGGCCTTAGTTCTTACTTCTTATTTGATAGTTTAAACCATTTGACAGCTGGGCTGATTCCTGACTCTTCTTTAGGTTAGATAATCCACACATGTGCTCATGTCAGGCTTTCTGTGTTCATATGATGAGATTCATGTCTGTTGTCTTTTAGAAATCGAGCAGAGTTTATGTGCCACATGAAGCCCAGTGAGCGGAAGCCATCGTCTTCAGGGCCTGCATCTGGGAACTGGACACTCGTAGATGAGGGGGGAGAAGAGGTAACCTGGGTCTGTATTGTCCCTTTAACCAATTCTGAGCTCTCTTTCCATGCAAAGCATTGTTCTGAGCACTTGCTCTTAAATCTCGATTCAGTAACCCTCTGAGGTAGGTATTGTTGGGACCCTCGTTTTACAGACAGGGACAACTGATGTGTACAGGGGAGGTGACTTGTCTCAGGTCATGTGGTCATTAAATGCAGAACCTCTGGAGCAGGTTCCCGAGCCAGGCGCCCATCCTGCCATCCTTGGTAGATGTGTTCAGACGGCAATGCTTTGTGGAGTTTATACTAAGGTCTCATTGTGCACAGTAACAGGCTCCTGGGACTCGGGTCTCATACACAACCTGTTCTGAATAATTTTGATGAAAATTTAATGAATAAAATCAGCTTCTCAAGACAGTTTTTAAAAAGTTTTAAGATAATTCTTGTTAATTTTTCTTTCCTCCACAAGTAGTTAGTAGTGTGTGTATAGGGAATTCTTCTTTTGCTCATTAGCAGTTCCTGAGCCTGTTTCTGGCTGAGCTCCTTCCCCATTTGGCCAGCACAGTGGCTCAGCAGGTCAAGGCCTTTGCCACCAGGTGTGTGTGTGTGTGTGTGTGTGTGTGTGTGTGTGTGTGTGTGTGTGTGTGTGTGTGTATACATATAGCTTGAACTCTGCCTCAACCCCTGATTTGATGTTCTAAGATGCTAAGATGCTCATTGACCTGATTCACTAAAATCCCCTGTGTCAGAAGTCTCAGTGACGCCCACGCTGCTGTGGGGTCATGTTGATGTATTGCACCAGGGCCCATTCCGGGGCCAGTGCTCCCATTCACTGTCGCTTTGTTCTTTATCACCTCTAGTGGCTTGCAGCAGGTGGGCAGGTGGTGGGGACTGGTGTGGGCGTGCAAACACTTGTCGGGAGACTGAGTTTCTCAGCAGCTAATATAAATTATCTTTGAATGATTGTAACAAAACAATGTTTTTTGTTTGTTTGTTTGTTCATTCTTTGCTTTTTTTTTTTTTTTTAAAATGGGTTCCCTGAAGTTAACCCCAGACACAGAGCCTCCATGGTACTTGCTTCTTGGTTAGCCCTCAGTAAAACATTGAGTGACTGCAAGAACTTAGGGAGTTAGGCATCATGGTGCTTGCCTGTAATTCCAGCACTTAGTGGGGAGAGGTAGGAGGATTCTGAGATGTAGGACGGACTAAGCTAGACAGCAAGACACCTACCACCCCACCACCCCCGACAAAAAATGAGGCCAAAAGACCAACAGCAGAAAAAATAAAAGCTGCGTCCCTAACAAAACAAGTAAAAACCCAACAAAACTAGCAGTAAGCGAGGAAAACAAAAGCAAAAGCAACCCAGAAGAACTTTGTACCTGAGACTATTATGAGCTTAGTTGGATCAGAAAAGTCTGTGGGGAGGAAGGCCTGGTTCATCTACATCATGTTTCTCAGCACTAGCTCCACATAAGGCTCACTGGGCCAATTTATAAAGCTTGTCAGGCCCACACATAGATCTAAGTTTCCTAGAGCCTACCGTGTGATCTGCTGTTCAGCCAGAGTCAAGAACTATTGCTCTTAAGTATAGTTTCTGAGGCTCTTGTTAGCCACCATATACATGGTGCTATTCTATTTTGTATTACTTGGTATACTTGAAGCAAGTCAGCTTTATTAAAACAGAGGTTTAATGAGGTGACAGTTTTGGAGGCTGAGAACCCCAGTAGCATGGCACAGGTTCTGGTGGGGCCTCCATAATAGATGGCAGAGTGCAGAGAATCTCTTCTCAGAACAAGAAGTCTGGGAGCTGAATAGGTCCCGACTCGGTCCTTTCATAGCACCCTGCTTATGAGAACTTCCCTAAAGGGAAGTGCCATCAATAATTAAGGGCCTTGCACTAGGGTTCATCTCTTAAAGGTCGCACACTAACTTCCAGTACTACTAGACTTGGGACTAAGCTCCTGATACATGGATCATGGAACAAAAATATAACTAAACTGTAGCGGAAGTAGTAGATAAAGAAGAATATGCTCAGGATATTATGAATGAATTGCTGAAATGATTGATTGGTCCCTTGTTGAAATTGCTGTAATACATTCAGATTCTTTGCTTTTAATGTAATGCATATAGGGACACATGCTAACTTGATTTCTAAGATGACTTTAAGGCTCTGCATCAAAAAGACCCAGAAGTGTCCCCTGGATGATCCTTGATCACAGTTAGTTTTGTCTTGCCCACAGCAGAACCTGAGGCATCTGTAGCAAATACTAGCGGCTTCCTCAAAAGTCTGTTGAAAATGATAGTAGACTTTGAGTTTTAGTAGAAGAGAACTGTAGCTACAGATATCTTGGCCTATAGTAGAATATGGTTGTTTAATTAATTGTTAATCTGTTGTCTGAGCAGTGGGCCTCATAGTAAGGTCCTCACTCTAGAAGAGGGTTTTTTTGTTTTGTTTTGGTTTTAGTTTTTTGAAACAGGGTTTCTCCGTATAGCCTTGGCTTTCCTGGGACTTTGTCTGAAGACCAGATCAGACTGGCCTTGAACTCAGAGATCCACCTGCCTCTGCCTTCCCAGTGCTGGGATTAAAGGGGTGTGCCACCACCTCTTGGCTCTAGAAGAGTTTTTATTCTTATCTTCTTCATGATAGAAATTTAATGACCCAGATACATATAAATTATACTTGCTTTTCAGAGGACTTCCAGGATGTCTGTGGATCTAAGGCTATTTATTTAGTTCGCTGCCCTTGAGGAGGTGTCTATAAGGACCACATTATGACTTGGATGATTTAGTTCCTGTAACTCCAGACTGATTAGCTGATGTGATGTGGCATCTTCCCTTTAGGATGAAGACCCTGAGACCAGTTGGATTCTACTTAATGAAGATGACTTGGTCATCCTTTTGTCCCAGTTTCCCTTTCATGAACTCTTTCAACATCTTCTTGGGTTCAAAGCAAAAGGTAGATAATTTTTCTCGTCATAACTGAAGGGTGGTACTGGTATAAGCTCCACATAGGAAGCATCAAGTCTTGCATTTGGGTGGGCTGCTAATGGGGGGGGGGGTTTCCTGTGCCCACCTATGCAAAACCTCTTTTCTCTTGTGTTTACTTTTTTTTTTTACTTCATGCTTAAATGAAGAAGGCTGACTAGTGTACATGTTACCTAGGTTAAATATGTTGATCTTAATGTACTTTCCTTCAAGTTCCCTACTTAACTTTGATAGTGGAACCGGAGAGATGGGATTACTTCCTTCCCCTCCTGGCTTTCTCACTGAATTATACACCTGTGTTCTCTAGTGTTTTGTCATAGTAATTATGTTTTTTTCCTATCTGTTTCACTTCTAGGTGATTATTTACCTGAAACAACGAGGCCTCAAGAGATGATGAAGATTTTTGCCTTTGCCAACTCATTAGTGGAACTCCTGGCTGTGGGGTTAGAAACCTTTAACAGAGCCCGCTACAGGCAGTTTGTGAAGCGCATTGGCTACCTGATAAGGTGATGCTGCTGTTGGCTCATCATGCTGCTGTCTCCTTGCTTAGACACAGACACTGCAGAGGGATGATGGACGCTTATACTTAGGTCTTCTCATAAAAGTGAGATAGTCCTTCCATCAGCTAGATGAGGATTTCTTAAATGTTCCCAGTGAAATTATTTGATTAATTATCTCAGATCCAGTTGATTTTTTTTAAATATAATTATTGGAGTTCTGATTTTCAAAGCTGCTGCTGGAGAGAAGGGTCAAGGAAGATGCAGGCTGTCTTAGGGTTTCTGTTGCTGTGAAGAGACACCATGACTATGGCAACTTTTTTGTTTGTTTTTTTGTTTTTGTTTGTTTGTTTTCTTTGTTTTTTGAGACAGGGTTTCTCTATGTATTTTTGGTGCCTGTCTTGGATCTTGCTCTGTAGCCCAGGCTGGCCTCAAACTCACAGAGATCCGCCTGGCTTTGCCTCCTGAGGGCTGGGATTAAAGGTGTGCACCACCACCGCCCAGCCTTGGCAACTCTTATAAAGGAAAACATTTAATTGGGTGGCTTACAGTTCAGAGGTTCAGTCCATTATCATCATGGTGGGACATGGTGGCATGCAGGCAGATGTGCTGGAGAAGGAGCTGAGAGTTCTGAATCTTGCAGGCAACAGGAAGTGAACTGAGATACTGAGTGTGGCTTGAGCATATATGAAATCTCAAAGCCCACCTCCACAGTGACACACTTCCTCTGACAAGGCCATACCTAATAATGCCACTCCCTTTGGGGGCCCTTTTCTTTCATACCACCACACTAACATAAAGTCTCTTCTGAGATTTATACAATCTCTTAACTGTAATCTCCTGTAAAATCAAAATCCAAAAGTAGGTCACATACTTCCAACATGTAATGGCACAGGGTATATATACTTTACCGCTCCAAAACATAGAGAAGGGGGCATAGTGTTCCCTCTCTCCATCCACAGCCTGCTTTTCCTTGGAATTGCCACTGACTAAACTATGACGAATTGGTGGTAATCCTTTACTGCCATTATTTCCCTAGCATTCCTCTTCTATTTCTTACTGTAGTTTAAAATATTTAGAAAAGTTTCAAAGACTGAAATAAGTCATGCTCTATTTGAACTGGGAAAACTTACGTATTTAAATGAAAGATGGGTTTATGGTTTCATTAGCAAGTGTTTGAAAATTTTTTGAGTTTATATATTGCTTTTCTCTAAATCAGCTTCATACCTTTTTCTACATTTTCAGTTTTTTTCTGGATTATTCCCTATAGCATATACATAGGCTATTCTTTTTTTTTTCCAACTTCTTTTCTCAAAAAGAAGTTCATAAAAATGCAAAATCTCTCTCTTTCTCCACTTTTTTTCTCCAAGCTGAATTGGTTTACATTCATTTATTTTAGATTTCAGTCAGTGTTATGAAGATCATAGGATGTCCTCAAAGGCTGGGGTTCTTAGAAGGTTGAGATCCTAGCATGTGTCTCTGTCCTGTGCCCTGCAGCCCACATGGAGCTGAGGAGAGCTGGGAATGCAGCCTGACATGAAATGTCAGTATCAGCTGTGTGATGGATTTTACTTACTGTGGTTGTTCTTATGCCTCCTGCTAAGTACATCACCACGAGGGTTGGTTTTCACTGTTCCTGTTAGATTGCTTCAGAACTAAGCAGATAGTAGGTGCTTAGTTAATATCAGTCCTTCACGTCTAATGTCAGGTGATACTGAGTGAGTGACTGAAAAGTGCTGTGTTGTTTTCATCTCTCTCAGGATGACCCTTGGCTATGTCAGTGACCACTGGGCGCAGTATGTGAGCCATAGCACAGGCATGGGATTAACACTACAGCCCTACTCTGTGGAGAAACTGCAGATTGAATTTGATGAGCTGTTTCTCAGAGCTGTTCTACATGTCCTGAAAGCCAAAAGGTAAGAGGTAAGGGCTTCCGGCCTAGGAATGTAGAAGTGTGTCTTAGTTAGGGTTTCTATTGCTGTGAAGAGACATGACCATGGGAGCTCTGATAAAGAAAGACATTTACCTGGGGCTGGCTTACAGTTTCAGAAATTGAGTCCATTATCATCATGATGGGAAGCATGATGGCATATAGGCAGACTTGGTGCTGCAGAAGGATCTGAGAGTTCTACATCTTGATCTGCGGGCAGCAAAAGGAGACCGTGTGCTACACTGGGTGTAGCTTGAGCATAGGAGACCTCAAAGCCTGCCTCCACGGTGACCCACTTCCCCCAACAAGGCCACACCTACTTCAACAAGGTCACACTTCTTAATAGTGCCACTCCCTATGGGCCAAGCATTCAAACACATGAGTCTGTCAGGGGCATTCCTATTTAAACCACCACAAAGTGTAAGCCAAATAAACCCTTCCCAACCTGATTTGGTCATGGTGTTTCATCATAGCAATAGTAACCCTAACTAAGACAGCCTCTCTCTTATTGGGGTCTCTGGTTCAAAACCCAGCACTTTTCTTCTTCACATGTCTGAGAGGTCTCGTGTAAATTTGTGATAATAATATCGCCTTTGTTTTTGTAAGAATGGAATGAATTGATGATGTATGCAGATTGAGCATCCCCAGCACAGAAATTATTAGAAACTTCTAGTACAAATATTATGTCATAAGTGGAAAATTCCACATTTGACCTCATGTGCTGTGCCAAAATAAACATAGGCACAGTAAAAATATTGTATAAAGTTATCACTAGAGCTAGGTGTACAAAGTGCCCACAAACGTCCAGATCCAATCATTGTATCTTGCTCATATTTGCCCCTTCTACCTCTTTGTCTGTCTTCCTCCCTCTGACTGGTCTGCTTGCTCTCTCCAAATAACCCTTCTGCTAAATAAAAATTTTTTAATTTATTTTTTAATTTATTAAGAAATTTTTTATTCACTTTACATACCAACCACAGATCCTTCTCTCTTCCCTCTTCCTGCTCCCTCCCAGCCTTCCCCCTCCAACTTACCTCCCATCCCCTCCTCTGAAAAGGTAAGGTCTCCCATGGGGAGTCAGCAAAGCCAGGTATATTCATTTGAGGCAGGATCTAGCCCCTCCCCCTGCATCAAGGCTGGGCAAGGTGTCCCACCATAGGCTCCAAAGAGCTAGCTCATGCACCAGGGATAGATCTTGATCCTACTGCTTGGGGGCCCCTTAAACAGACCAAGCTACACAACTGTCTCACTTTTGCAGCGGGCCTAGTCCAGTCCCATGGAGGCTCCACAGCTGTTAGTCTAAAGTCTATGAGTTCCCATTCTGCTGAATAAAATTATATTGTATATATGTACACGTGTTTTTTGTCCATTCATCTATTAATGGACGTCTAGTTCCATATCTTGGCTGTTGTGAATCATGTAGCAGGCTTTCATGTTTAGACTTCAGTTTCCTCCATGGTACACGTTATATGTTTAAATATTCCAAAAAAATTCCAAAAATTCAAATACTTTTGGTACAAAGCACTTATGATACCTCCGTGTGTGTGTGTGTGTGTGTGTGTGTGTGTGTGTGTGTGTGTGTGTGTGTGTGTTGGAAAAGTTGTGGTAGTGTGAGAGCTGAAGTCTTGTTTCCACTTGCTTAGTGTGGTGAAGCTTAATGATACATAAAATTTTCCCTGTTGCTGTTTCAAATGTGCAGACTTGGCATTTGGCTGTTTATGTCTGAGATGCCCTTTGGCACGCTCTCGGTCCCAATGCTCTGGAAGCTCTTCTACCTCATGCACCAGGCGGAGAGTGGGAGCCTGCAGCACCTCTGTGCCTCCCTGCAGCCGGCCGAGTGCAAGAGGCAACTCCAAGGTACTTGACTGGGGCAGCCTTCTCTCCCTCTGTGTGCTGCGCTGTCAAAGTGTTAGTCTCTGCTTTTAGGAGTACTGTGGCATGATTTGGACATTCAGGAGATTGCTTCATTGTGGATGTGGTAGATAGCATATCTCAAATGCAAATTCAGTTAGGTCCAAATTCTGTGCAGTAAGCACAATGGCCTAATATTAAGACTAAAATTCTAGTCTGATCAACAAGTGATGTTAATTGGCTTGAAATTGGTTAAGGTTTGTGCCCAGTTGTTCCACTAATTTTTTTCTGTTATATTTTTCTTAGTTGTCTTGATTTTCTGAAGTAGGTAGGGGTAGACAGCAATTCTTCAAAAACTTAATTTTGTATAGCACAGTGGTATTCTGTATGTACTTTGTATGTATAATGTTCCAGGTTCAATCCTCAGCAACAAAATAAATCCCTGAAATCAAAACAACAAATATTAATTTTACTGAAAACTTGATTATGTTTTAATGCATACTAACATTGAACTGCCAGCTATTTGTGTTACATGTTAAAAAACATTCTTGCAGAGGACCAGTTTGATTTCCAGAACCTACAGGGCCAGTTCCAGGGGATTCAACACCCTCTTCTGGCCTCCTCTGGAACTGTATATATGTATTACACCAATATACATGCAGGCAAAACTACCCACACATGTAAAATAAAAATAAATGAATCTTTTTCAAAAAGAGTTTGAGCCAGGTGTGGTAGTTCATGCCTTCAATTCTGCACTTGGGAGGCAGGGAGATGGACATCTGATTCAAGGCCAGTCTGGTCTGCATAGTGAGGACAACTAGGGCTATGTAGAGAGACCCTGTCTCACAAAAACAAACAAACAAAAAACCAACCAAACAAAAAAGAATAAAAATCAGACAATCTAGTTAGATACAAAAGTATTTATCCATTACACTTAATATTAAAGAAAACATAACAGAATATGAACAGAATTAAAAACTTACCAAAATCTCTTGTAAATTTCTAGACTTCTGTATTGCTTAAAAGAAAGCATGTCTTTATTCTCAGCACTTAGGAGGCAGAGGCAGGCAGATCTCTGTGAGTTCAAAGCCAGCCTGATTAAGTGAGTTCCAGGACAGCCAGTGCTATGTAGAGAGACCCTGTCTCAAAAAAAGAAAAAAAAAGAAAGAAAAAATAAAGAAAAGAAGAAGGAAAGAAAGAAAACCACACTTTATAAAACTAAAAAAACAAACATTATTTGTGATTTTTTGCAGACATTAATTTTTTTCATTTTTCTCTGTTTTCATTCTCTGTGTGTGTGTGTATGTTCTACACAAATCTATTTTTGTTTATCTTCTGTTTTGAGTTTTGTTTTTGTTTTATTTCTCTGCTTCATAAACTGCTTCAGCACTGTCCTGGGGAAGTGCTTGCATTACTGTTTCCATAGTTGAGTGTGAGCTGCCAGCTCTGAGTGTGTTTCACAGCCTGTTCCCTGACTGCCAGTTCTGTGGGTGAAATCCTAGACACAGCTGAGGGACAGTCCTTTGCAGGGGCCTGGGGTGATTAGCAGGCTGTGTGATGCAGGTAGTCCTGTAGGTTTCCTTTGTAAAGCTGTCTTCCATTCCAAGGACTTCCTGTCCTCAGTCTGGAATGTAGTTCATAAATGGTTTTTTTTCCCATATATTTTCATAAAATTTTTGCATTCAGCATTTGGTTCCTACATGTATTATAGAGTTATCAAAACTGTCTATAGTGACAAAGTGTAATATTGCTTACACAGTGTCCTCTGAGAATGGGGCAGGACGGATTATATACTGTTTGTTATAGCTGGTTTCTTGTCCTTAATCTTTGTTTGTGAGCTAATCTCTTTTATTTGGAGTGCCATGCTTGTGCTGAGCGATTGCTGGCCACGACAGTGTGCATTCATAGTATCTGCATTCCTGTGGCTGAAAATGAGCACAGTTGATTCACAGGTGCTGGTGAGGTTGACAGTTCAATGACAGTGACACCTGGTGACAGTAGTCGTGCTTTGTAGTGATACATAATTTCATCTTTTGGGTTAGTCTCCAGAGTAGTGATTTGTACCACATTCTCTGCCTCATTCAATCCTTTAAAATCCCTTTTTAGAGAGGAGGCATAGTTTACTGTTAACCTTTTGCTCTGAGTCTACATTATATTTGTGTTTTTTCAACTCTTGGAGGTCAATTGATTGAGCTTTCTTTCTGAACCTGTAGGAATCCATTTTGGGAAGGGGAAGATCCTTTTTATCTTTAAATATTTGTAGATTTTTAATTTTTTTTTTTTTTTTTTTTTTTTTTTTTTTTTTTTTTTTTTTTTTTTTTTTTTTTTAAAGATTTATTTATTATGTATACAGCATGTATGACCAGAAGAGGGCACCAGACCTATTACAGATGGTTGTGAGCCACCATGTGGTTGCTGGGAATTGAACTCAGGACCTCTGGAAGAGCAGTCAGTGCTCTTAACCTCTGAGCCATCTCTCCAGCCCAGATTTTTAATTTTTATGTTGTCTTTCTTTCTGGTAGTGTGACTAAATATATGAACCTATTTCTCCACTTTAATTTTTTTGATATGAACTTGCAGACCCAGAACATTTTGTGAACTTGGAGAAGTATCTTTCTTCCATGAACAGCTCAGAAGAGATTTGCCTTCTGACGACCTTTGCTCAGATGGCTCGGGCCAGAAGAACCAATGTAGATGAGGACTTCATAAAAATTATTGTTCTGGAGATATATGAGGTTAGAATGTAAAGTTTTGTGAATGCTTTCTTCTGGCTGTCCATTCATTCTTGGGTATTGCTTTAAAAAATGTGACTTACTGAGTTCTTGCCTGCCCTTATGGATGGGATGGAGAATCAAATGATCATCTTTTGCCTTAGGGAATTTTGAAACCCTGTATTTTATTATTTTATTTCCCACTACTATCTCTTGACATTCGATGCAAACTTTTGGTAAGGAATGGACAGTCTGGCACAGCCTGGCGTCGCAGCTTCATTACTACAGCCTCACACCAAATGTCCTTCCTCTCCTTTTGCCAGTAACACGGAGAATGACTTCCAAGTCACTTGAAATGAGATCGTAGAGCAAACATTGAACTTGGAAGAGAAGTTTGGGTTTAGCTCTGTTATTAGTTGTCCATCGTAAACAGAAAAGGTAACTTGCCAGTCATTTTTCCTCACTACACGTGACAGGCTGGGGTAAGATCCTTATAGTTCTTAGTTTTATCTGCTTCTTTTCTAACGGAGGAGAAAAGTAAGGATTGCAAGGCTCTCCTTGAGATCCCAGACCCTGGCGTCATGAGCAGTTAGGGCAAAACGGCATAGAAATGGCTGGATTCTCAGGTGAGGGTCCAAGAAATCTTTCTCTCCTCTCCTCCTCTGAGGGAATGGCAGTTGAACCAGTACACCCAGCTGTGATGATCACGTGTAAGCAGGAGCAGTGACCTCCTGAAGATGGTAGTGGTTTGTCTGGGAGGACAGTCCTGGACACACTGAGGGTTTAGGAACCTTACTTAGGGTTTCATTTTGTAGGAGAGATTGTCTATTTCTATGAAATGTTTTTTCAAAAAAATAGGGTAGACTGGGCATGGTGGTGCATGCTTTAATCCCAGCACTTGGGAGGTAGAGACAAGTGAATCTCTGTGAGTACAAGGCCAGCCTGGTCTACAGAGTGTGTCAGGACAGCCAGAGATACACAGAGAAACCCTGTCTTTAAAAAAAAAAAAATTTCAATGTGAATGAGAAACTTTCTTTTTGAGGTGAGATCTTTCTTCGTTGCCTAAAGGCCTCCATTTCCTGGACTCAAACGATCTTTTTGGTTCAGGCTTCCAAGTGTCTGTGGCTTCAGGCTCATGGCCACTGTGCATTGCAGGGATATACTTTTTGAACCCAGTACTTGAACTCATGTCTATAAATAATTGCCATTTTTTCCTGTTCTCTCCCTACCACCTTCCGGTCTCAAGGTGGATAGTTTGCTAGCTCAAGTTCTGACATAGTTTTGAATGTGGTGTGAGCTGATGCTCAGTGTGAGATTATGTTTTGTGGGAAAAAAACTATGAAAATGTGTTCTGATTGGTAATTACATTAAAAGTGCCATTTCTTCCCCCACCTCTCATTTAGGTATCTTATGTCACCCTGTCCACCAGAGAGACTTTTTCAAAGGTTGGTCGAGAACTTTTGGGGGCCATCACAGCTGTTCACCCTGAGATTATTTCTGTCCTTTTGGATAGAGTGCAAGAAACCATTGACCAAGTTGGAATGGTAAGAATGCTGACTATTTGTTATTTTGAAAGAATTCTGAAGTAGCCAGGAATGGTGCCACATGCCTTTAATCCCAGCACTCGGATGCAAATGTAGGTGAGGGCAGCCTGGTCTATAAAGCCAGTTACAGAACAACCAGGGGCTGTTCCACCGAGAAAGCCTGTCCTGAAAAACCAAAATAAGTGAGTAAGTAAATGAAGATTTCTGAATTAACAGGAACAGGAACACTGTTGGAAATGACTCTTATAAATAAAACCCTAACTATGTTTCTGAAATGTCAGTGTGTGAACAGTACTGCCTCCACCTTCTGTTGTAGTCAGGCCTTTTTGCAATCCTTCCATAGTTTTAAAGAAGGCTTTGGTGAATGTAATTCATTGCTATAACATGTACCTGTTGAAGGTGTGCATGCCAGTGATCTTAGTATAACCACAGATAGGTGCAGCCACTAATGCAGCTGCTTTTGAGCATTTTTGTCATCTTACAAAGAAACCTTCTTCCCAAGATTTCCCAGACCCTTAGCTGTTACTCCTTATTCCTCCTCCTTGGCCCCAGCAGCCGCTAATTTGCTTTCTGTCTCCATAAAGCTGCCTGTTTCCGACATTTTATGTAAGTGTTGCCATAGTGCGTGGTCTCTTGTGTCTGGCTTATTTCTCTTTGCAAAATGTGTTGTAGTAGTCCTTCAGAATTTCCTTCCTTTTAAATATTGGGTAATATTTCATTGAATCTCTCTATCACATTTTGTTTTTATCTATATCCATTTGTCAGCTGATAGGCATTTGGCTTGCTTACACCTTTGGTATTATGAGTGTTGCTGTTATGAACGTAATTGCCAAGGAATATATTTTTGAGAGACTGGTTTCAGTTCTTACTAAGTTTTTGTTTATTTATTATTTAGTGCATGTATGTGTGTGGGTGCACATGTACTTTGAATTTGTCATGCATGTGTGCGGAGATCAAAGGGCAACTGGTGAGGGCTTGTTTTCTCTTCCACCTTGTGCATTCTAGGGATCAAACTCAGGTTGTTAGGCTTGGTGGCCAGTGCCCTTACCCACTAAGCACAGAACCCAGAAGTGTGTTTGATGACAATCTTCAGATCGGTACCAGATTTTATACTTTTATACACACACACACACACACACACACACCCACACACACACACACACCACACATTTGCCAGTTTGCAGTTTCATAGATTGGCTCATTTTCAGAATGCATATTTTACTTTTGTTTATGAAATCCATATATCATTCCTACAACCTCTTACAGTAAAGTTAGTGTTTTGGGATTTTTTTTGGTCTTACAGTAAAAGCATCAATATATTTTAAATATTTGTAAAAAAAATTGTTCAGAGTCTTGGAGTCTTGTTAGCCTAAGCTGGCCTCTAAGTTCACAGTAGTCTCTCAGCCTCCTGAGTACTGGAATTACAGGTGTTAGTGATGATGCTGGGCATTGAATTCAGGGTGTTATGCACTCTAGGCAAGCACTCTAACACTGCCATATCAGCCATATCCAGCTCTATGTACTAGAATTTTCGACTGGCTCTTCCTATGTAGTCATTAACGCCTTGCATTTCTTTTAATTGCTTTGTGGTATTGACTAGAACCTTCATTACAAAAGGGAGCGGACACTTGTCTCATTTCTGCAACAGGGGATAGTTTAGAAGTTCACTGGTGCCTAGCACCATTAGTTTATCATTTCTGTCAGATACTTACAGGCTCAGGTAGGACTTTTTCTGTTTTTAAAGTTACTGTTTTACAGCCCTGGCATACTGTGCAGATTTTAACTCCAGGATATGGGCTGTTGAGATAGGAGGATTATGAACTGGGAAGCCATTGTCAGCTAGATAGCACTAACTTGTCACAAATAAACAGACACATATTAAGCAGATTTGTCGAGGGGGGGTGGGGGGTCGCTCTAAAGCAGCAGCTCTCAACCTATGGGTTGCCATCCCACAGGGTCACATATCAAATACCCTGTATATCAGATATTTATATTACAATTCATAACAGTATCAAAATTACAGTTATGAAGTAGCAATGAAATAATTTTATGGTTGGGGGTCACTACAACATGAGGAACTATATTGAAGGGTTGCAGCCTTAGGAAGGCTGAGAACCACTGCGCTAAGGGAACAAAACTGATAGAATGACTCTATGTGGATATAAAGGGGACTGAGATTGAGTTTGAGGCTGGCCTCGAACTCACAGAGATCCTCCTGCTTCTGCCTCCGGAGTGCTGGGATTAAAGGTGAGCGCCACCACTGCCTGGCCGTTCCTGAGTCTTACATTCAATTATTGTTTTCTTTTTCTTTTTTTCAAAGGTTTCTTTATACTTGTTTAAAGAATTGCCATTGTATCTCTGGCAACCTTCTGCCTCTGAGGTAGCTGTGATTCGGGATTGGTTATTGAATTACAGCCTGACAGCAGTGAAGAACAAGTTGGCCTGTGTGATCCTAGAAGGACTGAACTGGGGATTTGCTCAACAGGTATGCCATTCCTGGGAAACAGGAGGTTTTACATGCATCATATTCAGGAAAGCATTTTCTTAAAGCATTAGCGTCTCTTTGGGCTACTTGCTGGGAGTGCAGATTCTTTCAGCTGTGTTAGAGTTCCAGCTCTCCTTGTCCTTCCTCTCTTCCTCTGGGGACTGAACCTAGGACTTTGAGCTGTATCCCCCAAAGTATCCTTCCTTCAGTTCCGTTTTATGTCATGAACATCCTCTAATGAAGGTATTCTGCATTATAAAACTATTCCGTTGGGCTGGGACTTGGCTCAGTTGGTAAAGTGCTTGCTGCCCCAGCATGAGATCCCAAGTTCTATCTCTGGAAACCACGGAAAAGCTGGGTGCAGTAGCGGGGGGCCTGTAATCTCAGCATTGGACAGGTGGACACAGACGAAGTGGAGCTTGCTAGCCAGTGGCCTTCCCATGTGCACCCAAAGAAAAAGAAAAAATATTCCCTTTCTCTTTAGGCCATTGACTGTGCTGTTTTATCTCTGGCTAGTACTTCAGTTCCTCCTCCCAACTTGTATCTGCTGCCTGGGGTCTCTCTCTTCCTCCTGCGGTTTGTCCTGTATATTGTTGCCAGAGTTGTTTCCAATGTGCCTGAATTACGAGTTTGACTTTGCTCTGATCCAGCTCTGTGACCTGACAGTGTGACTCTGAACAAGCTTCCTGAACTCTGGGCATCAATTGCCCATCTGTAGACATTGTTATTAATAGGCCTTCCCCATAGAGTTATTACACAGAGCTAGAGAAACTGTTGAGGCAGTTCCTCCACATGTTAATTCCTCAGTTTAGAATTTTTAATAGTTATTATTAAGGGTTGGTATATGTTAAGTCTCCTAAGAAACATGCTGGTGATTTCCTGCCTCCACCTGGTTCTTATTAATTAGCTTATTCATCAGAATTTGAACGTTTGGGAGGGACAAGGGGGAGAAGTTAGCTCTACAGCTATCTGGCATCTTTTGTTTTGAGCAAGTCCCTTAATGCTTGCAGTTGTCTTGTATGTTTGCACTCGTGGCATGGTGTACAGATGGGGAGACTGATGCCAGGGAGCTTTTCTCGTGCTGGTTCTGCTACCTGGTGTAGCTAGAGTTTTCCTGCCTGGCCCACAGTCAGGACAAATCTCTCTTACCCACCAGTCCCCACAGCCGCTCAAACCCGATCAAGTAAACACAGAGACTTATATTGGTTACAAACTGTATGGCCGTGGCAGGCTTCTTGCTAACTGTTCTTACAGCTTAAATTAATCCATTTTTATTAATCTATACCTTGCCACGTGGCTCGTGGCTTACCGGCATCTTCACATGCTGTTTGTCATCATGGCGGCTGGCAGTGTCTCTCTGACTCAGCCTTCCACTTCCCAGCTTTATTCTCCTCCTTGTCCCGCCTATACTTCCTGCCTAGCCAATGGCCAATCAGTGTTTTATTTATTGACCAATCAGAGCAACATATTTGTCATAAAAGAAAAGAAAAGGGGAAGTGCTGTATCTTCTGGGAAAACAAAGAAAATTTTAGGATCATGGAGTAGTCCGTGAGGCTGTATCTTCTGAGCCAGTTGCCTTGAAACGGTTTTGGATGTTGGATCATCTGGACCATGGTGTCATCGGAGACCTTTCAGGGGGTCTTGGCTGGTCAAACCTGATGTATCTTAATCTGGAACAAATCCATAGCCTCTGGCTGTCTGTGGGAACAAAAGAGACTCTTTTCCAAAGCAACATATCCTTATATCCAAATTTTGAAGTCAAGGTACCTTTAAAATATACATTTTGACATAACTCAACAGTTTTTACAATCAAATGTTTTTTTGTAGTTAAAAATCCCAAAGACAACACAATCCAGATTCTCTGTGTAATATTTATCTTTATGTGGCTTATTTTTTTATATTAATTTTACTGTCTCTTTAAAGACTTTATTTTTTAAAACTATGTATTTGTTTATATAACTGTATATATCACCTTTTTTGTCTCTTTCAAGCGTACGTATATTTTATACACATTTTAAACTATTACATCTGAATCTGTCTTATTGTGAATCTATTGTTTTAAGCTGCAGCAGCTGTGGCTGCTGGCTCTGCCCACCTCAGCTTCCCAACATGGCGTGGTACTTTACCACCAGCTCTGGGAGCTATCATGGGTCTATGCTTTTATCCAAGCAGCGTGTAGTCCAGAAACCTCTTTTTTTGTCTTGTACCAGCAAAGGCTAAATCCACCATGCAGCTTAATGTGCCACTTGCAGAGGCCACATTCCCGCCATACAGCAGGTAGAGCGCGTACACCAGGAACCCGCCAGTAGCTCGAATCAGCAGCTGCCGCTCATTTGAGAGAGACAATTAGGAACTGTTTTTAGCTCCATTTTAGAATCTTTTTTTTTTCAGTTTTTAGTTTGAAACTCTTGCCACCACGTTGGATGCCAACCTGGGATTCTGGGTCTTCTCTCACTGAAGGAGATCACCCCTGTGGCTGGTGGGTGAGAGCCACAGGGGTGAGCTCCAATTTGACATTCTCCAGCCTGCAAATGGAACACCTTAGCCTCCCATTTCCAGGATGTCTTCATCTAGATCCCTGAGTGTCTCCTCCCTCCTTTGTTTGAGCCTCTGTGGAAGGGCTGGGGAATAGAGTTTTTGAAAACTGCAAAGAAGACTATTTGGGAATACTATAGGTAACATCAGGCTTGTAAGGCAGTATTTACCCATGCTTCTGAGTGTAGTATTTTCACCGGTGATGAAGCAACAAACAGGAATGTAGACTTGATGTATTAAATATTTTCCTGTGTGATTGATAATAAGGATTTCTGTGATAGGTGGCAATGTTCTTAACCTATAATCCAGGACGGGTGCGGGGTCTTGGGGGTGACTGAGTTTCAGGCATGTCCTGGTACAGTGTACTTGTTCTTTAGAGTTGAGGGTCCTTCCTCTGTTGTCAATTATAATGTCACGTTAAAGAGATACAGTTTTGAAACATTTACCTTCTAAATCTAGTGTCCTGTTTTATTGTTCTGCTTTTGTTGTTGTTTCTAAAGGACTGTTTATTAAATATGGGATGGTGTGTTTGTAATTTTGTTCGTTTGTTTTTAAAAGGCTACCCTTCATTTGGATCAGGCATTGCACACTGAAGTAGCCTTGCTGGTTCTCGAGGCTTATCAGAAGCACCTCTCACAGAAGCCCTATGCTGGTCTTATTTCTGAAAGTATGAAACAGGTACTGATTCTTCTTATGTACTGAGGACATAAGTCTCCATTTAAAAATTGCCTGGGAAGATGAAATTATAGTTTTGATTTTTATGTTTTCTAAGAACTCTTTCTGCTAATTCAAGATACTAAATTTAATTTTTATAGTTTTTAAAGATTTTTTTTTTTTTAAAACTTGTCCTTTATTTTTGAGATAGAGTCTCGCTATGTAGCCCCTGATGTCCTGAAACTCACTATGTATCCCAGGCTGGTCTCAAACTCAGAGTGATCTACCTGACTCTGCCTCCTGAGTGCTGGGATTGAAGACCTGCCCATTCACACATGCAAAAGTAATCCTTTTGTGACCTTTAGTCTTTGAGGATTTGGGTTGAGCTAAGGGTGTGTTGGAGCTCACATGACAACTCAGGAGAACTGAGTGACATTTTTTAAACCTTTGCAGGTTGGTAGTTAAATTATCAATGGCTTGATGTTACTTTTTATACTACTGAATTGGTAAGTGCTATCAGTGAGGCCGCTAACTCTGACTTGTTCACCGTGTTTACCAGCACTGTGATCTTGAGTGTCAATCTTTATATTCATGTGCTTGAGCTGGGATCAGATTCACAAGGCCAGTCAGTGGAGAGTGGGGAACTGCGCGAGTGGGACGTTGCTTCAGCACAGTGCAGTGCACCCCAGTGAAAGGAAGTAGTGTGCCTTCTCTTCTCAGAGCGCTGTTGATCACAAACAGAGGTGGGGAGGTGAAGTTACTGTTTAATTTGCATAGGACTGACACTGTTTAAAATGAATGATTGTTGTAGGTTTCATACCTGGCCAGTATTGTTCGATATGGAGAGACTCCTGAGACCTCATTTAACCAGTGGGCCTGGAATTTGATCTTGAGGTTAAAATTACACAAAAATGATTTTGGAGCACAGCAGAATTGTCCAGTTGTTCCCTTCTCCAGCACAGTACCTGACATGACAGAATCACCCGTGTTTCATCCTCTCTTGAAGGCTGTGAAGTCAGGCATGCCCATTGGCTGCTATCTTGCCTTAGCTGTGACAGCTATTGGCCACAGGTACTGTATGTTGAACCTCCAGGGTACCTTGAAGGTAGGAGTTCTAGAATCTCATATTTTCACATCCCAATTGTGAGGCCTTCATTAAACCATAGGGAGTTAATTAGGGTCAAATAATGAGCCTTGTTATAAAGGGAGAAATCATGCCCAAATACATTTCTGTTCATTTGCCACAACAAATATGTAGTTTTAACACATCTAAAGCTTCCTTTAACACATCTAAAGACTTTTCTCGTTCCTTTGTGTGTGTATAGAACTTGCACTCAGTACACATTCAATAAATGCTGGTAGAGTGGATGAGTGTGGGAAGGCGTACCTACCTGATGGGGAGGAGGTGAGATAAGGAAAATGGGGAAATACTCTTAACTGAAGCTGAAGGTTCCTGTTGAACAGAGATGGATGTGAGTAGGGCAAATTGGAAAGTAGGTGAGAGGGTGCTCCATCTAGAATTGTTCTAGAGAAGGAGGGGTGGTTATTTAGGCTCCCGGGTTGCACTCATACATTGTTCCAGGAGCTCTAGAGCCACAATAGTTTCTTGAACCCCAGGTTCCTCACCTCTGAAATATAAATGACTGTGTTGACTGGTTTTATGAAGGTGAGTTAGACAAAACACTCATTGCGTACTCACAATAGTGTCTGGCTTGTTGATTCTTTGACTGTAGTTCTCTAAACTTGTTTCATGATTTCCCCGGATGCTATATCCATTCTGGGACTGTAGTTCTTGCTCATTGCTGGGTTCTTTCTGTACTACATACTGATTACTGATGGGAATGAAAGAGAGAATAAGTGTTTCCGTTTGGAACTAGTTCCATAGCTACAATCTGTGAATAGAAGAGATGTAACTTAAAGCAGTCTCATGGGCTGGCGCTCGGGGGTGGAGCACACAGAAACTTAGATATAGACAAGTGTAACGTTATGGGGAGTACAGGGAATAATAGTCACAAAGTCACCCAGGATCGTGGTCATGCTAAAATGCTGCTTTTAAAATATATTTCTTAAGATTTATATTAATTAAAAAAATAATATGCATATGTATGTGTATGCCATAATGTGTGTGGGTACCTGTGTAGGCCAGAATCTGTGGATCCCCTGAAGCTGGATACAGGCCTGAAGTGGCTATTGGGAATTGTCCTTCTGGAAGAGAAATGCATGAATACATGCTCTTAACCACTCCAATCCTCTATTCTGTTCAATACTTTTTCTTTTCTTTCTTTTTAGAGGTATACTTATATAAGCTCTAAAATACATGCATACATATATACACATATATACATATATATATATAATTTTGTATTTTTGTTGTTACTATTTATGTACTTCCTACATGGTAACCCTTGCAGTATTAACTTTCCTTTTTTGGAGTTTTTTTCCTCTTAGAGTTAAAGCAGTATAGGCAAAGTACAGGATGAAGAAAGTGGGAAAACCACTTGTTTCTTCTTTTCCTGTATTCTGAGCATTCTGATGTGAGGATCTCTGTCTTTTTCTCTCTATCTAACTTATTGTTCCTACTAGATATAATCAGGGGAATGTAATGTTACGTTTTTCACCCAGCTTTTTAGAATGTTGTTTTTTCATGCTGCTCTTGACCATTGTGTTTATTGTTATTATTATTATTATTTTTTGAGACAGGGTTTCTCTGTGTAGTTTTGGTGCCTGTCTGGATCTCACTCTGTAGACCAGGCTGGCCTCGAACTCACAGAGATCTGCCTGACTCTGACTCCCGAGTGCTGGGATTAAAGGTGTGTGCCACCACTGCCCAGCCATTGTGTTTATTATTATTATTTTAATTTTGGGTTTTTTTTAAAGAGTAAATGCAAACAAATTTACTTTTCAAAGTTCAAGACTCTACTACTCAACATTAATAATAATCATAAGACAAAAGCATCAGTTATTAATGACAATAATAAAGTATCTATTTTGAAATGCCAAAAACATATCCATGAAATTTTTCTTTTGATATGCATTGATTGTAATTAACCAACATGACTCAATTAAAATATACCACTATGGTCAATAATAAATGTAAACTTATGTTCCTAAATAATCACTTATTAGTGTTTCATTTCAAAACACTAAAAAAAACCATACATGATAGGATATATATATATATATATACATGAAAATCACACATTTTCTCAAAAATGAACAATAAAGTGGACATGGTAATTCTGTGTGTTGGTTAGTCATAAAATTTTTAGGAAACTGAGATAATCCGGGTATTTATTGTAAGCTTGTATTTCATTGGAGGAATACAATTTTATGAATGAGCTACTGAGTACTTACATTCCGCTTTCTTTGTAGCATTGAGAAGTTCTGTGCGGAAGGTATCCCACTGTTGGGAATTCTGGTCCAATCAAGGCATTTGAGAGCAGTGGTCCATGTCCTAGATAAGATTCTACCCATGTTCTACCCTTGCCAGTATTACCTTCTGAAGAATGAGCAGTGAGTATATTCTGCTGACAGAAACACCCAGCAAGTAGAAATGACGTTTTCTGGTTTCTAGGGTGAATTAAAAGGGAGTGGTATTTTCTTTCACTGGTTGGCTGGTCAGTCATTTTTTGCTGTTGTTTTGTTTTTCTCAGTTTGTAGAAGCACATGCATTATTTTCCAGTACATTTGAACTATGGTTTGTATTTTCTCATTTTACTGCTTTTTTAAGTTTAACTGACTGTCTGCCGCTTTTTTCTTTTTACCATTTATTTTTATTGTTAATTTCATGTACTTTGGAAGTCTGTGTGGCAGTATGGGCACGTGCTTGCAGAGGCCAGAAGAGGGTGTCAGAGATCCCTTGGAGCTTGTTGTAAGTCACCTGATGTGGCTCCTTTGCAAGAGTAGTCCATTCTCTTAACTGCTGAGCATCTTCCCAGCCCCCAAGGATGGTTTTTTGTTTGATTGTTTTTCATTTTTTTTTAAAGAGACAAAAAAAAAAACTATACTCTTGTTTAGAATGTGGTTAATGGACATTGTTTAATGATTCTAGTTTTATTGTTATAAAAGATATTTCCTATCTCACTTAATTTAGAATTGCTTAGAAAGCCTATTAGTATTTAAAAGAACAGTTGTTTCCGTAGGCTCTTGGAATAGTGTTCCTTACTTGTAGCAGCAATTGTAGCAATACCAAAACATATTGTTTTATGTAGTCTATGAGTTGTGAGCAGGTAAATGAATGGGAAAGTGGGAAGAGATGACGTGTCCAGAAGGCAGGGAGTTGATCATCTCGGATTCATGAAGAGCAATGAAAAGGGGAGGTGAAACCCAGTAATACTAGGGCAAGTAGTACGTGCAAAGGAGTACGGGTAGTATCAACTTTCTTATTGAATGCATTGACTCAGTATGTCTCAGATTTGAGGCAACTAATTAACTATGAATTCCCAGATGCCTGGAGATTTGACCTTAGTAGAAGGGTCAGGGTTGGGATACTTTTAAATAATTTAAATTAGCATCCTGCACACTCAGGGAAGTTTGGGAACTAAATAACTTGGAAAAATCTCTGCTTAGAGGTCTGAGATATGGAGAGATAATGGTATTTTGAAGTATTTAATTCTGGCCCCCTTTAACTTGTGTGTGTGTGAGTGTGTGTGTGTGTGTGTGTGTGTGTGTGTGTGTGTGTGTGTGTGTGTATGTATACCTTTTTTTTTTTTTTTTTTTTTTGGTTTTTCGAGACAGGGTTTCTCTGTGTAGCTTTGTGCCTTTCCTGGATCTCGCTCTGTAGACCAGGCTGGCCTCAAACTCACAAAGATCCACCTGGTTCTGCCTCCCAAGTGCTGGGATTAAAGGCCTGTGCCACCACCGCCCGGCATCTGTATTTATATTACTTGGGTGTGTTCATTATAGTGTTGTAGAGAGATATTATTCCTTTTAACCCACATTAAATATGAAGACTTTATTCTTCTGAAATCTTTGAAGATTTATCAGAATCCCTATATAGCACTGTGGAAAATGGAACCAATTTAACTTTTTTCTGTTACCTCATTGGTAATGAAAAGAGCTTTGGGCATATAACCTAGTGGGAGAGCACTTGCCTAGCATGCTTTCAGCCCTCCCTAGACACCAACTACCCATTGCCCAAAGTCTACTATGGTGGTACATGTCTATAATCCCAGCATTTCAGGAGGTCTGCTGTTCCAAGGGCAGTTTCAGCAACATAACAGGTCAGAGGCTAGTGGGCTCCATGAGACTCTGTGTCAAAATAGCAAGAGAAAAACAAACAAACAGAACCCCACACAGAACTGCTTGAAATTCTGCTTGATTGGAAGGTAAAGGGTGTGATCCTTTGCACTCCACAGGTTTATGTCAAACCTCCTCCTCTTCCTACACTTGGACAGTGGTGTTCCTCAGGGTGTCACGCAGCAGGTTACCCACAAGGTGGCGCAGCATCTGACAGGAACCAGCCATGGGGACAACGTGAAGCTTCTTAATAGCATGATCCAGGTCAGGGCTTTTACAGATCCTCAATATGCTCTTCCTCCTCTTCCCACAGAACTCTCATGATATGGGCATTCCAATCTCTTGGTAGAGGAAGGCTGTTAGAGTTGGACTTTCATGGAAGTAGATAGCATTTCGTGTGTTTTAGCAGTGGGAGGGAGGGAGGTTGTTAACCTTCCACATCACTGAGCTGCTGCTGCTTCTTCTTCACAGGCACACATCGGTGTGAGCACGCAGCCTAATGAAGTGGGTCCTGTGGCTGTGTTGGAGTTCTGGGTCCAGGCTCTCATTAGCCAGCATCTCTGGTACCGAGAACAGCCTGTTCTCTTCCTCATGGACCACTTGTGTAAAGCAGCTTTTCAGTTGACACAGGAAGACTGTGTGCAGAAATTGCTCTACCAACAGCACAAGGTAACTGAGAAACTATGTTTCAGCCATTGGCTAGATACGAGCTGCTAAAAGGATCTCTTAAGTATACAGTTCCTGGTAATAATCTGTGGCAGCTCATTTTTTAAATTATAGATTATGCCTTAATGTTGTCTCATCTCAGTAGCCATAGTCCACTGGCACAGATCCCAGGGAATGCCTAGAGGAGTATACCAAGGGGGTTTGTAATGCTCATTACATGTTTCTGTGGTGCACCCTGGTTTTACTGCAGTGGACAGTCCCATTCTGGAAATCTTTTTTTTTCAATTAATATTGTATACATTGTCATGGCATTCAGGATAATATTTTCATACCTGTACATCATGTACTTTGTTCATGACTGGGTCATTACTCAACTCTCCCAGCCTTTTAAAGAACTAACTGCAATGCCCTCCAGACTGTTCCTCAAATTAAAAAGCCGTGTTACTCTGATACTAAGAATGGTTAAGGAGACGATGAAGAAAGAAAACCATAGGCAAACTTCTCTGATGAACATAGAGCCAAATTCTGAATGAAACACTTGAAACTGAATTCAGCGACACCATGACACCTCTGTCCTGTTAGAATCTTCCCATGTGGAGGCAACTGCTAATACCCGAGTCCGTGAGAGGGTTTTCAAAGACTCTGTTGCTCCTCTTCCCCCATGTAGAACGCTTTGGGTTACCACTGTGACCGAAGTCTGCTCTCTTCTTTGGTGAACTGGATTGTGGCAGGCAACATCACGCCTTCCTTTGTGGAGGGCTTGTCCATGTCCACGCAGGTATGAAGCCTACTGAGGACCATTTGTTACCATCCTTACTGAGGTTGGGTTGGGGCTGGAGAGAGATCAAGTGTGGGTGTTAGGGGTATGTGGCCCAGGTTTCAGAGTGATTCTGCCATTGGCTAGTTCTGTGCCTTGGGCTGTTTGCTTATATCTCTGTCTTCAGTTTCCTCATTCTCAGATGAGACTGTAATGGAACCTGTATGTAAAGCACTCAGACCTTAATCAGTGCTCACTATGTGTTAGTGCTCATCGTTACAGCCGATCTCAGACTGTATAAGGTCATATCTGTTTCATCCCTTAAGCCAGTAGTAACATCCTTCAGTCTATTAGCCTGGTCTTCCTGGGATTGAGTTGACACTAGTTCCTCACTGCTACATAGACTGATGCCTGCCTCTCCACCTCTGATTTTCTGCCTCACTGAGACTCTGAAAGGCCATCTTTCCTACCTAGCTCTAGAACATTCTCTGGGATAGCACTCTACCCCCAAACGCAATCCTCATCATTTTCCCCCAGAAGAATTTAATACTTTTCAGTTACTTGTTTTGTCTAATTGTATACCTGTGACAGGAACATAGACACATAAGAAGTACATGGGAAGTTTAGAAGCTCAATATTTGTTGCCTGACATCTGCATGTGTGTGTTTTGCAGTGCTATTTTGATCAAATCCAGGGACTTGCATGCACAAGCTAGACAAATGCTGTACACTGAGCCATACCTCCAGCCCTAAAAAAGATTTAAACTTGTGAGCAGGGTATGTTCATCACCTGGAATTAGTGGCTTCTTTCCTTCCCCTTTGCTTGGTGTTATAGGTTTGGTTTGCATGGACTGTGCTGAACATGGAATCCATCTTTGAAGAGGACTCTCAGCTCCGAAGAGTTGTTGAAGGGGAATTGGTTATAAATGCTTTTACCCCTGACCAAGCTCTAAAGGTACAGTAGTGGTTCTGCATTTGAGTTACAGGGGGTGCTTACACTCCTGACTGAGCCATTCACTGCAGCCTGTTAACTCCTCCATTCAGCATCTAAAATCCTGTGGAACCGAAGGCTGTGTTGGCTTCTCAGAGTCCCCACCTGTCATGGAGGAGGGTCTTTCTAGTCTGAATGTAGGGGATTGCTTTTGCTGTGAAGTGGCTGTCCTTATGTCCCAAGTATATCCCAAATCCCTTGTTAAAACTTGTTACAAATCAGATTTCTGGTGCTTGCTTCAGAGATTTTGAATCTCTGAACCTGGGTTGGAAAGAGGAATTTCTTTTAAAAGCTTGTGATGACCAGTGTGTGAAATAGGCTGGGCTAAAGCTTCCGATTTTAGATCTACTATAGGACCATAGTGGGGGCTTTGCTGTGAGGTTACAGAGCCTGTCCAGTAATTCTTCAGTTCCAGAAAGCCCTATTCAAATCTGGATTTTCAGCCGGGAGGTGGCAGCCTACTCCTTTAACCCCAGCACGTGGGAGTCAAAGGCAGGCACATTTCTGTGACTCTGAGGCCAGGCTGGTCCACAGAATGAGTTCCAGGACAGCCAGAGCTGTTATACAGAGTTACCCTTGGAAAAAAAAAATCTAGATTTTCAGGATTGATAAAATTTGACTGATTCATTTTTGGTTTCTCTGTCATTCGACTGCTTTGCTCTATGAAGTTAAAATTTTATTTAAGTTTTTGCTAACATGTACTAGTGATCATAGTAGATGTCTCATATGTACCTATATACGGTAATATTCTTCCCATTACTTTCATCCTCCTTCTATCCTACTGATCCCTTCTGCTTACCAGCTGGTTCCTTTCCATTTTACCATCCTTTTTTCTCCCCGTGATCTCATAAGTTTAATTAGGTTTGCTTACAGGAGCTTACAGGAGTTCAACTGAAGAAGCCCCCCCCCCCCCCAAAAAAAAAAAAAACAGGTTTCTTTCTTTCTCTCCCTTCATCCACAGGGAAGGATGGGCCTTCTGAGCCTCTCCTCCTTCTATGATAGGGTGTTTTTGGACCCAATGTTATACAAATTGTGTACAATATGCTAATGTAGGTTCTAGAATGCCAGAGCCATGTCATGACTGGAAGATAGTATTGTAAGGGACTTTTCTTTCCCACCTGCCAGGTCCCAAATAACCAACATGGAGACTTAATATGAATTACAAGTGGTCGGCCGATAGCTCAGGTTTATTACTAACTAGCTCTTACAACTTAAATTAACCCATTTCTGTTAATCTATGTATTACTATGTGGCTTGTGACTTTACCTGTCTTGCTCCTTCTGTGTCTCCTGGCAACTCCTGTGACTCTGCCCTTCTTCCTCCCAGCATTCTCTCTGCCCCCAAAATCCTAGCTATCGGCCAATCAGCTTTATTAACAATGAGAGCAACACATTTTACAGTATACAGAAGAATTATTCCACAGCATTTCCCCCTTTTTGTCTAAATAAAAGGGAAGGTTTTTAAGTTTAACATAGCTAAGTTATATACAACAAAACAGTTTTCAAGTAAGAATTACAGTTACAATATCCAGTCCATTTGTATTTGGCAAATTTAGAGAAAATACTCCACTATCTATCCTATCTTGGTGAGCCAAAGTGTTGTACCTAATCCACTTTCTATCCTAACTTGCATTACCAACCCAAAACTATCTTTTTATGTCTCTCAACCTTATATACTTTACACCTCTTTTGTGAGTTTCTTTTCTGAATTTGTTAACAAGGAAAACTATAACTATCTAGTCTTCAACTCCACCAGAGACTTGAGAAAGATATAATATTACCTGAGTAAGCAGAAAGTGTAGAGCAAACAACTTCCAAAACTAAGAAATGACAAAAACAACTGGCTGCCTAGACAGTCATCCTAGGTTCTTCTTTAATGTTGAGGCATCCATCTTTGGCCTACAGGCCTAGAATATCTGACAGACTTTTCTGTGAAGCAGGAATTTTGAAGGACTGTCCCGCCTTGCCTTGGCAAAGTTTGGAAGTCATTTTCTTTTGTGTTCTGCTTGTCCAATTTGGACAGTGTGCTGTCAGCAGTTGAGGCAAAGGCAGTTTTTTGACTGGTGGCTAATTTTTGCCATAAAGAAAGCAAAATCCATACAAAGGTTCTTCAATACTCATCATCTTCTTTTGAAGTAAATTGGTGCTGTATGACTGTCATGAAAAGCCTTAGGGCCGGGCGGTGGTGGCGCACGCCTTTAATCCCAGCACTCGGGAGGCAGAGCCAGGCGGATCTCTGTGAGTTCGAGGCCAGCCTGGGTTACCAAGTGAGTTCCAGGAGAGGCGCAAAGCTACACAGAGAAACCCTGTCTCGAAAAACAAAAAAAAAAGAAAAGCCTTAGGTTATTAAACATATTAAATGCCATATTCTATAGGTCTTTGAAGTGTTTGAAGACCAGCTAGCTATCTAAACATATCTATCTGTTTATGACCTTGAAAACATACCCAACATGACTAGTTTGACTATTATAGATGACTGTTAATCTGTATTTTTAAATTATACATTTCATTTTTAAATGAGTTGCATAAACACAATACCCTAGACAAGAGTAGAAGCATACATATAGTATAGCAAAAATAATTTTAAAATTGTATCAATAAACCAAAATCCATACTAATGTAAAATATTTTGAGATTAATAGTTGTTTTTGGTTAAAGTAGATTCAATAATCTACCCTTTTATCTCATAATTTCTCTATTATATCCCCCTTTTTTCCTTTAGAAAGAGATCTTTGAATTTAACTCCTTTGTCTAGCTTTTTTTTTAACTATGACCAATAATAAGTTGTAATCAACCTCCCTTAAATGATAACAAACATCCATAAACCAATATTTTGAGAATGCAGACATCATTCTCTAGACATCTTCCTATTGTTTGGGGGCATTGACATCTTTAGGGGAACCTTGAGACAATTGGGATAATAATGAAGTCCTTGCTAGAGTAGCATGAGGTTGGACTATCTCAGCCAGCAGCCTTGAAGCTGTTTTGGATGCAGAATTTTGAGGAGAGTGTAACAGAGTCTTGAGCAGACTGCAACAGCATTTTAAAATGCTGGATCACCTGGGCCATCTGTTTTTATTGGTGTCTGGTCCCCTTGTTCTGAAAATAGATAAACTTTTAAAGGTAACATATATTACAAGTATGCAATATGTGGTGTGCACAAGTCAGTTAAAGATGATTTTTTGTTTTATGTTTGAGCAAATATACGTTACATCTCTTGTAGTTCTTCTAGGTTTATTATTATTATTTTTTTTTTATGTTTGTAGCCAGGATCAGGGTGTCTTCTCTAATCACATCTGATCTTCTTTAACCTGGAATGAATCTACAGCTTCTCATTTCCTGTAGCAATAAAAGCATAACCTCTCCCACAAAGCAACACACCTTTGACTTAAATTTTGAAGTCAAGATATTTTTAAAATATATAGGTTGGTTTAATCTAGCAGCTTTTATAATATGGTATCTCTTAGCCGCCAAAAAATTCAAAGACAACACAATAACATATAGGATCCAGACTCTCTGTGTATTTCCCATCTTTATGTGACTTTTTTTCTTTTCTATTTACTCCCTTTTTAAGGACTCTATTATTTTAAAACTATGCTTTCTTTTTTTATGACTGTATATATCTTTTTTCTTTTCTCCCCCAAGCCTCTGTACATTTTTAAACACACTGTAACCCATTTAGGGACCCGTCCCCCACATCTGAATCTGTCTTTACTGCATATCTGTAATCTTTTCTGTCTACATGAGCAAAACCTCAAACCTGCCATGAAGTGAGCTGGTAGAGCTCATGCTGGCAGCTCAAGTCCGCAGGCAGCAGCTGGAAGATGCTTCTCTGTACCATGGCCCATGTGAGATACTGTGGGAACCTGCCATGTGACTTAGCTCATGGCATGCTGGCAGCTGTCAGGAGACACATCTCTGTACTGCAGCCTGCGTGAGAGACATGAGACTAGGAAACCACATTTGGCTCCATTTTTGTGTGTTTAGAACCTTCTTAAAGCATTCTTAGTTCTTATGTGGATTTAGGTGCTGGACGTTTGGGTGCCATTTAGGTGGACTTTTCTTTCCTGCCTGCCATTTCCCAAATAACCAACACAGATACTTAATATTAATTATAAATGCTCGGCTGATAGTTGAGGCTTATTACTAACTAGCTCTTACAACTTAAATTAACCCATATTTTCTATCTAAGTTCTACCATGTGGTTTATAGTTTGTTACCTCATTTTGTACAATCCTGCTTCCTCTGTGTCTGACTCATGACTCCTCTGACTCCACCCTTCTTCTTCTCAGCATTCTTTCTGCCCTGAAAATCCTGCCTAGCTATTGGCCAATCAGCTTTTTATTAACAATGAGAGCAATACATTTTTACAATGTACAGAAGGATTATTCCACAGCATTGTATTATATTTTATATGCAAAGGAATTTCAGACATTGACATGAGGCTAGTTTTAGAATTTTTTGTTTGTTTGTTTGAGACAGGGTCTTAGGTATTCCCAGGCTGTTCTCCAATTTACAATGCAATTGAAAATGATATTGAAGTTCTGATCCTCCTTCTCCTATGGCTTAGTTCACTACAGTACTGGAATTGAATGCAGTCTCCAGCATGCTAAGCAAATGCTCTTAACTGAGCTCTATCCATGTGCTTTAGATGACTCCTCAGGTAGATTTTGATTCTGGGGTCTTTGACATATCTTCACAGTAGAAAACTGGGCCCCAGGTCTTGTTGCCAAAGAGGTTAAAATGCCAGCTAGAGGGCTTGGAAAACTATTTTGGTAACTTTTTTTTTTTTTAACTGCAGTGAAAGCAAAATGCTTAACTTTAGAGCAAAGTGTTTTGATCGTGTTTATTTGGGGGTTGCTAAAGTTCTGTTCTCTTGTAGAAAGCCCAGCTCCAGCTGAAGCTGCCCATCGTCCCATCCCTGCCGAGAATGATGATTTATCGCTGGGCCCACCAGGCTCTGGCCACACCTTCTGATCATCCTCTTCTGCCACTCATTTGGCAGAAGTTCTTCCTCCTGTATCTTCACCGCCCAGGACCACAATATGGGTATGGTACCCAGTCCTGTAGTAAGTCTCTGTTAGCTGACTTCTGAGTCAGTATGCTGTGGAGTGTGAGTTAGAGTCATTCTCTTCTGACAGAGCTGGAATTCCGTGTTCAGTACTTATTAGACTTGAGCTTAACAGAGTTTGGAGTATCTGTGGCAGCTTCTCTTTACCCTCCTCTGTTCCTAACATGTCAAGGACAACACCTGGGAACTGGGAAAGGTTCAGCAGAGAACCTCTGGAGGTGCACAGAGAGAGAAGATGCTCCAAACTGAGGCTACATCTGTGACCTCCCTGAGGCCTGCAAGGGGACCTTACACAGAGTAGTGATATAGGAATGCAGCCCTTGGCTATGCATGGGGATGTTGCATGGTTCTGTTGAATAGCAAGGTAATCTGGCCTGTCCAAGCTGTGCACTGGTACCAAGCACTGCTCTTCAACTCCTAGTTCATTCCCAGATCCACAACCTTCCTTTACTCCTTTGAAACATAAAGAAAGAGGAGGACTTTTGGATTTCCAGTTCTTCATGAACGAGACTGATGCCCTGACTTTGTAGCGTTTCATTGTTTTTAAGGCCACTTTCCTGTAGCAGTTTTCCCTTATCTCTAGGGACACGTTTCAAGATGCCCTGTAGATGTTTGAAGACTCAGTTGGTACCACACTCTACATACTCTGCATACATACCTATGATAAAGTTTAGTTGATAAAATTAGGCCTAGTAAGAGATAAACAGCGTAACTAGTAATGTGATAAACAGTTACAACAGTATACTAGTTTAGTATATGTGCTGCCAAAGAAAGCTCAGTATAGCAGTATTCTGTGATAAAAGTTGATTAAAACATACATTGGTAGGGCTGGCAAGATGGCTCAGTGGGTAGCGGTGTCTGCTGTGCAAGCCTGATAACTTGAGTTTGACCCCAGAAACTCAGAGTGGAAGGAGAAAGGCCAATTCCTAAAAGGTGCCCTCTGGCTTTACACTAATGACATGGCATGTGTGCACTTGTACTTAGGCGCACACACGCACGCACGCACACACGCACACTAAATGGAATAAAAAGTAAAACCAAGTATGTATTGCTTATTTCTAGAGTTTTCTGTTTGTACCATGGTTGACTATGGGTAATTAGAACCATAGAAATGGACTCAGCTGAGTGGAACTCTTTATTTACTATCTCTTTGGAGTCTCAAAATAGCTTTGAGGTATAACAAGGTAACTTGCTAATTGACTGCTGTGTTATACCACTTAGAACAATTTCTGCTCAAAGGTTATAGGCTCTCTTTATACCTCTTAAGGTTACCCGTAGACGGTTGTATTGGAAGAAGGTTTTTTCAAAGTCCCTCGCATATCAATTTGTTGAAAGACATGAAGAGACGCCTGACTGAAGTGGCTGACTTCCACTATGCTGCAAGCAAGGCCCTCCGTGTTCCAGCAGAGGGCAGCGAAGGGACAGCAGAGCAGCAGGCTGGTACCCCTGGTTACCTGACTTCTCCAGAGCTGCACAGGGAGCTAGTGAGGTAAGGTGGCACAGACACAATGCTGGAGTAGTTAGCTTTGATATAGAGCTCAGATGTTACTCTTAAATTGTTGGATTGTATTTGGGATGTAGCTTTGACACTTATTCATACCTGGAAATGTTTTTCATGAGAAGTAAGTCAGCAGTTTGGATGTAGCTTTGTTGAGTGTGAATAATAACCCAGAAGGCTGGTGGTACCCTTCTCTTTCTTATGTGAAAATAGAAGTAAGCCAAAACAAATTGATTGTAACAGGCATACAACTTCCAGAGCCTTTTAAACAGCTGTTAAAAGAAATGACCAAGGCAGGGTTCTTTAGTGCTGATCCTTGACAGGTTCTAGGGGCTTATCAGTGCAGGCACAGACTGGCCTGTCCCTAAGTGTTTGGAACTTCAGAGTGAGCCAGGATTGGTTAGTGTGGTTTCTGCCTGTAAATTTAACTTAGTCCAATGGTTGTCTTCAAGCAAGATCTCATAAACATGGCTGTTAAGCATTGTCCTCAATTACAGAACACCTTGGTGAGTGAGGAAACCCAGGTCTCAGGCTTGCTTTGACCCTGGGGCCCCAGAGCTTATCTTGAGTGGTTAAAGGACTCTCATGCCCCATTTTATTTTGAACCACTTTTACTAGAAGGTTTTCTCTTGGAACATTTTAAGTCTTTGATACTCCCTCTCCCTCTTTCAAACTCCCTCTATGGGTGTTTAGAAAGTACCTGTCTTCCCGAGTCAGGAGCTGGAAGAGAAATCTGTGCATACACCAGCCTTGTTTGTAGCTCTCTTCCTTGACACACTGTACTGCTGGTAAAGGAGGTAATTTTCCATTTTGCTGACCAGAGTTACCCCAGGCTGCCTTTTGGTCATCTGTGTCTGCCAGCCACTTCTCCATGCTGTTATTCAAACAATGCCCTGGATACCAGTGGTCTTAGCTAATAGATGGCTCTGTTCTCTGAAAAAGCAAAACAGAAACAAGCTGTTAAAATATATTTAAAATTAAAGGCATACTTTGTAAGCCTGGCTTTTAAAAATATTCCTGTTTAATGAGAACAAGGTGCACATATCCATGGTTTTATTTATGATTTCCTTGAGACAGGAGTGGCCATTGCTGTTAAGCTGACAAGTGCTTGCAATTGGATAGAAACTAGTTTTTGGTATTTTCCAAGCACTAAGACTGGCCATGTCTGACTCAACCAGGATAGCAAAGCTCTGAGTTCAGATCCTAGGGCTGTGGTATAAACACTCCTCCAGGTATGTCTCTGCATTTACTCCTTCATCTATAACATGGCTCCCAGAACCCCCTTTCAGACATTTTATGTAAGCTGGATCCTTTTTTAATGGCATGTGAGGTCTCTCATTGCGAGTTTCTTAGGAGAATCAGTGGCTGCTAGACACATTTCTTCATGGAAGCCTTTCTTTACTCTCACATGGTGGTGCCAGAGTTCTTAGTAATATAAGAAATGACATTTGATTGCACATCTTTTTACTTCTATGTAATTGTGTTTTTATCTTTTAGGCTCTTCAATGTATATATATTATGGCTAGAAGATGAAAATTTTCAAAAAGGAGATACCTATATTCCTTCTTTACCAAAGCATTATGATATTCACAGGCTAGCAAAAGTAATGCAGAATCAGCAGGTAAAACTATGACAATACCTTTTTTTTTTCATTTCTAAATGTAAATTGAACTACATAGTCATCACCCAATAGTAAAACTGCTTACTGATACAGAATGGTGATCATACACAGTCATTTTGATGGGTTTTGTCAGTGTGTGTGTGTGTGTGTGTGTGTGTGTGTGTGTGTGTGTGTATGAATCTTTTGACAGGATATTCCCTCTTAAATCCCCAGCTCTGTAATGCCCTCACTTGAAGGCCTGAAGCTTGTTCTAGGGCTTTTTGTAGCCTGAGTTCGAAGAAACACAGCCTTTGTCTGACTGTTATTTGAAGTGTGACCAGCTGAACACTTCAGCAGCCATCTCTACCATCAGAAGCACAGGAATGAATTTTAAGTCCATGTATGACATAGGTCAGCCCGGGGAGGTGATGGAGAGGCTTTCTGGTCAGGGTCTAGCTCTGACTGTCTGTCTGTCTAGAGCCACTTGATTCGACTTGCTGTGTGTCCTGACAGGTCTTCTTTCTGGCACACACCAACGCCTTTGACCCTGTTTTAGCCCTGACTTGTAGTCCCAGTCTTCTTCAGGTCTCTGTAGCTAGCCTGGAGGAGGCATGAAAGCAGCAAAGAAGTCCTCTCTCGGGGATGTTTTCATCTAGGGGCTGAATTCTGGAGGTTGTTGACCCTACACTGGATATGGTTTAGTAGCTTCTAAGCCATGAGGGATTTTCATTTGGTTCCTGAAGCCTGTCTATTTCCACACTGTACCTAGAATTGCATCTCCAGTAGACATATTTGTCTTTCTTTCCTCCCTTTATTCTTCTCTTTCTTACACCAGTGTTTATTGAGTGCCAGGTAACTAGTGCCAAAGATAGTAAAAGAAATCTGATGCAGTCCCTGCCTGTCAGGTGGGAGAGCTAACGTGCAATGATCCCATCTGTGATCCAGACTGGGAGTAAAATGCCAGTGGTGTTCTGTGAACCCATTGAGACCCAGCCTGAAGTGGTAACTTGTGAGCCAAGCTCTGAACGACAGTGGGAGCTTGGTGAGGTTTGGAGGAAACACATGGTGATTGAGAGTGACAGAGAAGGTGTCAGGTGATAAAAGACCAATCCATGCCAAACCACAACATGCCCACAGTGGTGTGGCCAGGATGTAGCAGCCGAGCAGGACAGGTAGAAAGAACTACAGATGCCAACTAGGGTGAAATCATTACCGCCATGAATAGCTTTGTAAAGAACTTGGGTTTTATTTTGAAGCCTTTAGAGAACTATGGCAATGGTTAAGTAGATGGAGTAGCCTTTTAAAAAATGATTTATTATTTATATGTATGTGTGCCTGAGTGAGTTTAAGAGTGCCATGTGTGGGCAGGTACCACCGTTGGAGGTCACAGGGTATCGGATCCCCTGGAACTGGAGTTATAGGCAATTGTGAACTACCTGATGTAGGTGCTGGAAACTGTAAAAGCGGTTAGTGCTCTTACCCACTGAGCAATCTCACTTGAACCCCAGAGGAAGGATTTTGAATTGATTACATGTATAAGAATGTCTAGTCTTCCCAACATCAACTTGGGTTATCTGGAAGAGCCATTTACCAAGGAAAGGAATGTGAGAAGAGGAAATGCCTGTAGCCTTCAAATGAGAGCTCTGTCAGGGAAGCAACCTGGAGGGAGATAAGAGATGGAGAATTCAGGACTGGGCCAGGTAGAGAAAGTGGGCTTAATGGTAGGAGAATGTTAAGTTAGGAAACAGACTAAAGGTGTAACAACCCGGAGAGAGGATGTGTAAGCCTCAGAGATAAGGCTGGCAGTAAAAGGCAGGGGAGCAGGAGAAGTGAGTTTGGTGGCCTGAGTCTGGAGTGCTGCCCTCACTCATTTCTTCTAGTGCTCTGCATTCTAAATCTTCACCCAAGCCTTACAAATGGTAGAAACACGGGTGCTTTAAAGACAGTAACCTTGTGGGCTCCTAACCAGTGAGCTATTTCTGTAGCTCACTGGTTAGGAGCCCAAGCTGTTCTTGCAGAGAACCTGAATTTAATCCCTAGCCCCATGTCAGGTGACTCATAACTACCTGTGACTCTAGCTCTGGGGGATCCTGAACTCATGTGCACATACCCACCAGACAGATACACATTAATTATGAAATAAAGTATTTTAAAAATGCCATAACTTTCTTGGTTCCTCAGCCTCCAGACAAGGGATGGTTTCTGCTGCCTCCTTTCCTCTTTAAGATACTGTGGCTAGAACCCAGAACTTTGGGCAAGGCAAGGACTTTCCCAGTGAGCTGCGCTAGCAGCCTCATCCTCTCTCCTGAAATCAGTCTTTGCTTACTGTTAGACATACGACTCCTTTTTTGTCTAAGTTCAAGCTCTGGGCTGTTTTGTGTCTTAGTTACTTGCCTCTGTCAGGTGTTCTCAGCATGGGTGCAGACAGGGTGACAGAGCCACTCCATTTAAGCCACTCCATTTAGGACAGAATTCTACACAGTAACAGGGTCTGCCACAGTTGGGTGCAGCAGGACTGCTGTGAGCAGGACCTCAGTGGAGCTGTAGCATCTTGTCTTGCAGTCTGCTTGGAATTAGTGATTTGGGACTTGGTAGCAATGCCTGATTGAGAAGCTTGAGCATAGAGACATCCTTAGGACATTTGAAGTTCAGAAAGAGCAAGTAAGTCATGAGCCACATAACCACATTGTTAGTATATTTTGTTTCTGGCTTCTTGTTTCTGGAAGAGTGCCTGTTCTAATGTGAGCGACCCCTGGGGATCTGTGGAGTACAGAACTTGGAAGAACAGCCCACTATTGCACCTTTTTATTTTTAGGTTTTTTTTTTTTTTTTTTTAATTTTTGAGATAGGATTTCCTTTGTGTAGCCCAGGCTAGCCTCAAACTTGGGGCAATCCTCTTATCTCAGCCTCTTGGTTGGTGAGAATCCAGGTGTGTGCCACCATGCCCAGCCTATTTTCCCTTTTTAATGACTATATTTTATCATGTGGAAAAATAGAATGCTTCAATGAATGTACCTGTCCATCCCCTCACATTCCTATGCACCCATAGACACAGAAACACACACATACACACAGACGCCTAATTAAGTATAAATTTAAATAAAAAATAATTAAAAATAACAAAATTAAATCTTAAGAATGTTTTTAAAAAATAAAGACAGATGTAAATGTTGAGTTATGGTATCCCTTATCTTTTAAAATCTTTATATATCAGATGTTCTCCAGATTTAGTCTACAGATAACTTCTGGTAGAGAAGCAGATAAGCTATAGGGGAAACCAGACTTAGAGCCTGTTAAATTGTTGTCTCATAAATGTCATTAAGGTTTATCTATCTATCTATCTATCTATCTATCTATCTATCTATCTATCTATCTAACTATTTATATTTTCTGGTTATGAGTCCTTTGCCTGCATATTAGTCTGTGTGCCCACAGAGGCCAGAAGAGGGTGATGGATCCCTTGGAACTGGAGTTGCAGACAATTGTGATCCACCACGTGGTACACTTAGGTTCTGGGTACCAAACCTAAGTCCTCTGCAAGTGTGCTTAGTGGATAATCCATCTCTCTAGCTCTGTAGGTTTTGTTTTTATTTATTTTGCAGTTTGAATCAGGGCCCACATTTTGAGAGTAGTTGATGGGTCTGTTTAATCTATAGGTTTTCTTACTCTTTCTTTGTTTCCCTTTACAGTTTATCTGTTGAAGAGACTGGCTTGTTCTGTCCATTGAGTTTGCACATTCTAATTTTTGCTGATTTTACCTTCATGGTGTAGTTTAACATATTTTTCTCTCTCCTGTATTTCTTGTAAATTTGCATTAATTTCATCTGGTTTAATCTAACCCAGATTAATTTATCATTCATTTAAATCATTCACTGTCTTGCTCTATAGCTCAGGTGGACTGTCGCTTACTATGTAGACCACAGGCCTTGAATTTGCAGGAATCCTCTTGCCTTAGCCTCCTGAGAGCTGAGATTACAGGCCTGAGCTGTTGTGCCTAGCTTCAGTGTCTTTATTTTCTTTTAAACATTTTAAAGATTTAATTTTATTATTTTTAATTATTTTAAATTTAAATTCATTTTTATTTGTGTGTCCCTCTCTGTGTATGTCTGTGTGTCTGTGGGAGGGTATGTGCCCATATGCAGCTGCCCACTGAGGCCAGAGGTTTTAGCTTCCCTCGAGCTGGATTGAGAGGTGCTTGTGAGCTGTATAACATGGGTGCTGGGAACTGAGCTCAGGTTTTCTGCATGAGCAGTATGCATTCTTAACTGCTGCAATCTAGCTCCTGTATTTATTTTAAAATCTTACTTTAAAAATGTTCTGTTTTCTTTATATGCTCATAATGCACATAACTTAGTAGCTTAGTAGTGTGTGTATGTTTACAATTAATATGCACATAGTCTTTTTCTGATCATGGTATGTATATAAGCTGTGAAGATTGTTGGTGGTCATTTGCAGTGCAGCTCATGCTCATGTTGGAAGCCTAGTGGATCACGTCATTGAAACTGAGAGGCTCACTGAGGTGAATCCATAGTTGTATGAGTGAACACGCTTTGGCTCTACTCTAGGACCTGTGGATGGAGTATTTGAATATGGAGCGCATACATCATGAGTTCCAGGAGACAGTTGGTCAGTGGACACAGGCCAAGCTCCAGTCGCCTTCGCCATCCTGCAGCTCTTCAGCACAACTGGATTTCACTGATCCTTTGCTGGGTGAGTCCTGTGGCATCAGCGCCTTTGAAAGAAAGAAAGTTTGAGTCAGAGCCTTCGAGGGTTAAGATTTCCACACTTATCTCTCCAATGAGAATTGTTCGTTAAGGGTTCCTGGTTTGAAAAAAATCAATAAAAATAAAGAACAAGCAAATACATTTTAAGTTGCTGGGGAAAAAGTTCCATGTTTACTTGTCTGCCACTGAGGGGTAGAACCCATGCCCTGAATGGCATACACAAGAGTGGTAATGAGTTATCTCTCAGGAAGGAAGTTTGGAGGCAGGTGACTCAGAGTAGTAGGACGGCCGAATGACTCATGAACCTTTCAAGCACGTCCGTTCCCTTATCTTGCTGCCTCAGTGTTCTGAAGTGGCATCTACCTCCAAATCAAGGTGGCCACTTACGTTGTCCTCTTGCTCATACATTGCGTACCCTGGAAGGGGAAGTCTCCCTCCATAAAAGAATTGTTCCATGAAGGTGCTCATAGACTGTAGTTACTCTGCCTGCAGCTGAAAATCAGGCTCATGGTTCACTTCTTTTGCAATGCTCTAAAAATGTACTTTAACTACAAAACTATTTTTAAAGTGCAACTTCAAACGTAGTTACTTTGGGTTTGCAATTTTAACATTCAGAAGTTATTTTTTTTTTCTTTCAAAATTCTTTCTCTGTATCTGAAACCCTTACCATGGAATACAAATGCTTTAGATTAATTTTTTTCTTTTTCTTTTTTTTTTTTTTTTTTTTTTGAGACCTAGTCTCACTCTGTAGCTCTGGCTGGCCTGGAGCTTCTATGTAGATCAGGAGATCCTCCTTCCTCTGTCCCCCAGTGCTGAGATTACAGGCATGCTTCTGTAAAGGCTGCTTGTTTCTTGCAGCTCATTTTCCTAGAAAGACAATGCATTTAAATTATCAGTTAGTGCTCCAGGCCAGGCCAGAAAGGCCATTTAAGCTACAGAGTTGCTGGCTATGCCCAATTTTAAAACATGGAAAGTTGTATCTGAGCTTACGTTTAACATTAATTATGGAATATATTTTTAGAATGTAAGATGTATAATAAAATTATAAATTGCTGCTAACATTGCAATTACAGTGTAGTAAAATGGAGAGGCAGAAATACTCTTTTATTTCAACTTTGCCCCAATCAACTTGTTAAGAGAAAAAAAAAAGACCCTCTCTGGGTTTCGGTTCACTCATTTGCTGAACAGTTTTGTTTAAGGCGCCAACATTTTCTGAAATTCCAACAGTTTTTTCCTTGTTTGTCCTCCAGAAGCATTGTGTGATTATAAAACTTATGTGTGCACATCAGAAAGCACTGTGGGAAGGTACAGAGGAAGATAGGAAGCTGCCCTCAGCTTGGCCGTACACATAGTGAGTCGTCTATTGCTGGGTGTTTGCTGAACAAGGAGCACCAGGCCAGCGCTGCAAGGGCCAGCGCTCCTGTTCACGCTGCCTGAAAAATATTCCCTCTGTGTGAACTCAGTCCTCACTGCAACCCAGTGCAGGCCCTCTCCATGGAGCTGTGAGGGAGCCTGGGCGGGGTGGTGAGTGACTGTCCGCGTGGCTCACAGAGCTGGGAAGTGGCACTGTCTGGCTGTAGAGATCCCGCTCACAGTCAGTGCCCTATTTCTTGGTTCTAAGTAATCATTACAGTTTGAAATTCCAAAAAAATGCTTGGGTTTATAGATAAATTGAAGTTTTTTCTCATATAAGATTATGGTTGCATAATCAAATGTGATTTATCAAATGATTAAACATATATTTGAAATTGTAGGAAAGATTTTACCAGTGCTTTTGTGATGCCAGGATCTTTTTCTCAAATTTGTTTTGTAGACTTCAGTATTTCCACCAGTTTTGATCGAGAGTGGTGATTATAGTTAAATATACCCTGAATTTATTTTTTTTCTCTTTTGTTCAAAAAATTCACTTGGCTAGGTGTGGAGGTTTTAGCCTTTAGCCCCAGCATCTGGGAGGCAGAGACAGATGGGTCTGTGTGAGTTTGAGACCAGCCTGGTCTATATAGAGTTGCAGGCCAACCAGGACTGCAGAGTGAGAGCCTGTCTCTAAACCAACAGGAGATAATAATAAGTGAGGAGGATGATATATGCGTATATGTTATCCTTGACTTTTCTTTTATGATAAGTTACAGTGGATTTGAAAGAGCCTCTAGTTTTTCTCTTAACGTCATAACCTATGATGTCACAAATCTTATCAAATGGTAACTCTCCAACTTTACCAAATCTGTGCAAGCAATGGTAGTTTTAGTGGACCCAATACAAGCTATACACTCAGTGCTGCTCTTGACCTTTTTGGAATGCTAATTCCATCTGTTGGGGTGCACGCAATACAAATGTCATTATGCAAATCATGGCTGTTAACTTTAGTTTTACTTTTCAACAAGAATAGAAAACTCACTGTTATATTTGGAACAAAACTGTAAATTCACAGCAGTCCCTTAAGGTTTTGTTGACGACTTACTGACTTGAAGTTCCCTTGACCTTTCCCTTTCTTTTCTGTCGCAGTGAAAGGGATTGGGAGGTGACAGCATCGGTCTTCATGTTCTTCAGTTCCCCACTTACTGCTGGTGGTTTGTGTGTAGTGTGGTGAAGAGAGGGAAGTGGGAATTTGTATGAGCTTTCTATTTGGAATGGAAGCATTTCGGTTTGATGAGTCAGTCTGAGATGGTGCGATCACTGCAGAGTTGTACGGTTCCAACACCTTTAGTTTTCTTTCAGAGCACTAGACTGCTGCTTATTTGGACTCTATAAGTCGTTTTATGAGTAAGTCGTGCTCACTGTCTGACTGTGTAAGTGTAGGCTATATAGGACTTTATGAACATTTCATTCCTCACACTTTCCACTCTCCTGTTTAAAATTTGATGGAATCTCAGATTTTTCTTCTGCTCTGTTCCGTAATGCCCAGTCCCTTCTCACTTATTTCTCAGGATAGTTGTATTAAACTACATACCTCTGAACTGACCCCATTCATTACCCAGAGGCTAACTGCTTAAATTTGCTCAGTAGATCACCACATGCTAACATGAAGTTCAAGCTAACATGTCATGCAAGACTGTCTAGAGTAGTTGTTTAAGATCGTGAGCCTTTGCTCTTTAACCAGTAGATGATAAATTCTGTATGTGTTGGGGAGGGGGCAAGAGTGTGCATGTGTGTGTTAGTGCTCATGCACACATGTAGAAGCAGAGGTCCATCTTGAATGTGAGTCTTTGAACCTTGCTTTTTGAGACAAGTCTCCTGTTGGCCTGGAGCTGCTGGCTAGCAAGTGCCAGGGATCTAGCTGTTTTCTGCCTTGCCATCCCTGGGATTACAGATGTGAGCCACTGGGCCCAGTCCTATGTTTTGATGTAGGTTCTCTGTGTTGGACTCAGGTCGTACTGAGTCATGCTCCTGATACCTAGCTCCTCGTACCCTATTATTGGGCTTGTGGGGACTTCCTCAAAACTCGAAAGAAACCCAAATTTAACCATCCATTTAGGCTTCCTTTGCCTAAGGAACTATTCTGAAAATCTCTACCGGTCTTTATCAGAGTAATATACCAGGGCTTTGTATCTATTTAGTGCATTACCACCCCTTGGTACCCATTTCTGAGTAAATACGGCTTTTCTTTCAGCTAAAGAAAGGGTTCTAAGTAACTTACGGAAGCATGAGGCCCCCCATCCTCCTCTTGTTTTGCACCCCGTGAGGCCTCCTGTGCCTCTCATTCCCTCCGCTGTGCTGTTGAGTCAGAAGGACACCACCCAGCTCATGTACACAGACCTGAACCTGTTGCAGCAGCACGCCAGGTAAGACCGCGAGGCCTTGCGGATCAGACTTCCTGCTTGTTGCGTCGTCAGCTGTGACGATTTAGTGTTTGGGTTGGCGTTCTCCTCAGCGTTCTCACACTGCACTACTCCACACTGCACTACTCCACACTGCACTACTCCACACTGCACTACTCCTCACTGCACTACTCCACACTGCACTACTCCTCACTGCACTACTCCTCACTGCACTACTCCTCACTGCACTACTCCTCACTGCACTACTCCTCACTGCACTACTCCTCACTGCACTACTCCTCACTGCACTACTCCTCACTGCACTGCTCCTCACTGCACTACTCCACACTGCACTACTCCTCACTGCACTACTCCACACTGCACTACTCCATACTGCACTACTCCTCACTGCACTACTCCACACTGCACTACTCCACACTGCACTACTCCACACTGCACTACTCCTCACTGCACTACTCCATACTGCACTACTCCTCACTGCACTACTCCACACTGCACTGCTCCTCACTGCACTACTCCTCACTGCACTACTCCATACTGCACTACTCCACACTGCACTACTCCACACTGCACTACTCCTCACTGCACTACTCCTCACTGCACTACTCCTCACTGCACTACTCCACTAGTCCAGGTCGCTTACTTAACTGAGTCATGACAAGCCTTTTTTTTCAGTTTCATGTCTGTGTGTGTTTCAGTGTGTGGGAATAAGCATGAGCACAAGCATGCACAAAGGCCAGAAATGTTGATCCCCTGCAGCTGGAGTTACAGGCAGTGTGAGCCATAGGAAATGGGTGCTGGGAACCAAACTTGGGTGCTGTGGAAGCACAGTACATGCTCTTACTGAACCATCTCTTCAGTCCCTGTGACAGGTTTTTTAATTTCATGCTCTGTGATACTCTCAGACTATCAATCTCATATATTTCCTGTGGGGTTGTTTCTGAGGTCAGTAGTTCTGGCTGAGACATTTTATGATTTCTCTCAGAAAATTATCTGATACTAGAAAGATGGTGTTCGAAGAGGCCAACATGAAGTTTACATTCTTGTATCATTGCTTTGCTCTCCACCTCAGTTTTTAGTAAATTGATATAGGTGCTTGGTCAAGGGGTAGGGAAGTCATTTGAAGTTCACATGGTACATACAGAGTAATCAACTGTTTAGAGTTTGGTTCTTAATTATACTCTTGAGGAGTATATGTGGGCAAGACTGTTTTTTTTAACAACAAACAAGCTTAGTTTTACAAATCCCTTGTGAATCATTTCTCTTATTGACAGTTTTCTTTGGATAGATTTGATTCAGGCATTTGATGCTTATATATTATATGCATACATGAGTAATTGCCTGCCAATATGTTATTGACATGCTATGTATATTACCTGTCAATATATTATTGACATGCTATGACCCTCTCTCCTTGGTAATGGGGTATTGAACCAGAAGTTGCAGAAGGTTGTGAGCTGCTGTGAGGATGCTGGGTATTGATGCTGAGTATTGTGCCTAGGTCCTCTGGAAGACCAACTAGTACTCTTGAGTCCTGAACCATCTCTCGAGTCCCAACCCCTTGATCACTTCTTATATAACCTTCCTTGACTTTGTTTTCTCACATGGGTTGCTTTTCAGAACTGCTGCTCTCCGAGAGTCTCAGCAGGTTGCCCTGGACGGCGAGCTGTTGGAGACCATGCCCAAACAGTACGTTAACCGAGAAGAGCAGACCACCCTGCATTTGGAGTGCAGAGGCAGTGCTGGGAAGAAGTGCCAAGGAGCAGCAGTCGTGACAGTCCAGGTGAGAGTGTTAATTTCTTCATAATCTAGAGAACTTTAATGGAGTCCCTTATATTGGCATTTTGCTGAGAAAGATCCAAAGGAGGAGAACATGTGTCCTGTGTCCCAAAACAGTTTTAGAGTTTTAGGGAGAGTGAAAATACACAGAGAGCAAAATAAGTTGTCCTCAATTTCCCACAGCCAACAAAAGGACTTATTTTTGTGCAAATGTAGCCCCAGAACACATTCTGTGACAGGTGTGGCCTGCAAGAAGGTATTCAATGAGGAATTCCAAAAAGGAAAATCATTTGGAAGGTTCCCAGGATGCTTAAATGATTCCTCCTAAGATTTGATGATAGTGTTTTGGGTATAGTTAGAAGAAATAATAGGATGGCTTTCTGTGCTGCTGTGGAGGCCCAGTTAGAGCAGTCAGTGTCAGCTGCTCTGGGGACTAGTGGCCAGGGTCCCATGGGGAAGGCTGAACCTGCTGGTATGGGCAGCAGGCAGCTACTGAGGACGAGTCTGGGAAGCAGAGCTTGCCAGGAGGTAAATGAGATATGTTGCAATCTGTCTAAAAAATTCAACTGCCTGTCATCTTGTTACAGCAGCTATAGACAGAAGTTGGTTCTGACATATCCTTAGAGCAGAATTGAAACTGAGCCTAACCTAGCCTATGCAGCACTTACTTCAAACCTGACTCTGTCTAAACATTTTATGTAGCTTATTTGATTATCTTGATTTTCCCATATAGTGGGGGTACCTCTCCCCTGTGCAGATGAACTCAGCAGTATTTCCTGAGCTGGAGGAGGGACATTTGGAGATAGGCCTACCTGCTGCCTGACTCCATTTGCACAATAGTACTTTTTGTTAGTTGTGAGCAATTGAGTCATTTATTTGCTCATCCTTGATTATCTCTTAGAAATCCCCACCCCTAACTAGTTTATTCTATATTGCTTTCTGTGGAGCACTGCTTCCTCTAAAACACCTTTTCTAAAATAACCTGTTAGACTTCTGTGTTTTTCAATCCTTTGAAGTTTATTTCAGATTTTTGTCTATATTATGTGCATCTAATGGTAAAGGATTGACTTGTAAGTCAAGACAACTTCAGCTGATGTTCTCACCTTGTACTGAGGCAGGTCAGACTCCAAAAAGTCTTCCAAAGGTTAGTTTTCCTTCAGTGAGTTTCCCCTCAATTATCAATGCTGACTGACTGGGTAGAGGTATTTAAAAGAAAGGTCATTCACTGAAGTTGTGAAGCTGGGAGAAAAGCCATTAGCCCAGGGTGGAGTTAGACAGGATAGGAAGAAGTTGAGATGTAGCTGGTCATAATAAAAGGGAGATGTTTTATTACCAAGCTCGGGGTTTTGTTTGTTTTTCGTTTATTTGTTTTTATTTTTTGAGACAGGGTCTCACTTTGTAGCCATGGCTGTCCTGGAATCCATTCTGTAGACCAGGCTGGCCTTAGACTCACAGAGATCCACCTGCCTCTGCTCCTGAGTGCTGGGATGAAAAGCCTGGGTGTCTTGCCCTGGCCTGTGAACTCCAGAGTCTGGCAGTGGGTAATAGCACCAGGAGGAGCAGGGCTTAGCCGTGATCATAGTCTTTTATATCTGAACCCCTGAATTGAAATTTCTTTTGTAAATTGGTGTTTTGTTAATTTTGAGATGAAAAGGAATCCCTTCTAAAAATACCTTCAAAGTAACTTTCCACGGGAGGGAAGTTATTATGCACATGTGTGCCTTCTTTTCTCAGAAGAATGGCAGTTGCTAATATTTTAATAAAAGAGGGCAGAGGGTTCCCTAGAATAAAGCAAGGTTGGGGATGAAGGGGGGGTTCAGAGGATGCCAGGTGCAGTGGCACATGTCTGTAATCCCAGCACTTGAGAGGCTGAGGCCGGAGCACTGAGCGTTTGAAGCCAGCCTGAGCTATGGAAGAAGAACTTGCTTCAAGAGAGAAGAGAAGAGGGGAGGTTGTGGGAAAGCGCATACAAGAAAGGAGAAAGGGCGAAGGCGTTTGTGTTAAGCCTTGGGAAAGTTGCTGTCTGTGGCCATAACCTCATGGGAAATACTCTAGTTCTCTTAAAGCACGTTTTAGTTTTCTGCTGGTTGCACACTAGTGGCCTGACTGTGGTTCAGTTTGGGAAAACCCAGAAGTGGAGAATTTCCCTTCCGGGCTCCTGTGACAACTTATTGTCTACAGTGGCAAATTTGCTTGATAATGCAGATGTGCCAGGGAATTAAAGCATGCAGATAGCAAGCAACTTTGTAGTCTGAGACTTGAAATTAATTTATTTTTGATAGTTATATAACCGTTCCTAATTGTCTCTGCATAATACTTGCTGGCTGATATTTTTAGGAATTGAAGATAAAATTATTTTTCTTGTGTACTCATTAACAGCTAAGAGCAAGGTTCTAGAATAAAATGGAAACCCACAGTCATGAAGTTTAGGCATACTGATGAGCCTAGTCAAGGATTCTCTTCCAGTTCCACATCGAGATGTCTACCTGCCCAGTTCTAGATAACCTCGCAGGTCCCACACTAATCTAATTCTACCTTCCAAACCTGTTCTGCCTGCAGTCCTCCTACCTGGTCTCAAAGAGGGAAGTCTGGCCATGTTGTCGTCCCTTCCCCATACTTCACCCCATACCACACTTCCTGTGCCACATTTCCTGTCTTGTTCCTTTCCAAACATATTGGTTTGGCCTGTGGAACTGATTTAAAGTGATTTCCTTCTCTTTGTTTTTATTACTGCTGCCTTCCAGTAGCCCGCCACAGGCCTGCTGAGCTACCATGCTAGGCCTTCTGCCTACAGCCCTCTCTCTACTGTCCATTCTTTTACCATTCATCTCTCTAGTCTTAGTTCTGACTGCATTTCCAGACTTTAAACCCACAGTGGCTCTCCAGTGTCCAACAGCCCTCCGTAGCCTGCTTTTGGTCTTTTTATAGGTGAGGAATTCGCTTTTGAAAACTCTAGACCTCTTCTCAAGCAGTCTGTTTTTTAGCCACTTAGACTTTATCCGTTCTCTGATATACATGTGGTCACACTGTTCCCCTGACTCTGCTGCATCTGTCCTCCATGTTCCTGTCCTAGCCTCCACACTTGTGGTGGAGCTGCATTTGAGAAGTCTTTTCCTCTCATAGCAGCTTGTACTCAGTGTGTTTTCTACACTTTTTTTTCCCCTGCCAGACAGAGTTCTGTGGGAATAGTTTTTTTACTCATGCATATGTCATCTATCTAGATCGTTTAGGGCACCTTCCAGTGCATGGTAGATACCTGGAGTAAATCAGCAAAAGCCACTGGCTTACGACTTGTCAGGGTTCTGTTAATGATGCTGTATGTTGTTGTTGTTAATTCTATAGCTGTTGGTAGGTTTTGAGTCACAGGAGATCAGGGACATTGTCTTATTTGTGTTTGTATTGTCAGTGCTTCATGGTCAGGGATGTGTTCGTAGGAAGCTGTAGATTATAAACTTCCCAGTACATTCTTCAGTGTTTCAGGAGCTCCGTGGATAGTGTTTGACTATGAATGATATGGACATTGAAACTTTTCCTAGTCAGTTGTAGTCATTCTTTCCTTATGGTTACTTTTTGGTCCGTTTAAGCATCTTAATGCTTAGCGTACAAACCTCAACTGACCTTTGCACTTGAATACAGGTTTTTCCCTAGTGCTCATTCTTGAAGAGCAGAAGGGATGTTGCATTGTATGATACCACTGCCTTTTCCAACCTGTGAGAGTCCTTCATGTCCCTTATACACTGGAATTCTCTGAGGCGCTTTGCTTACAGTATCTCACTTAACTTTTACAGAATGAAGATGAGTTAGAGAAACAGGTTCACATTTACTAACAGACATTCCAGGTCTCACAGCTGCATTGTTAGAAATCAGGTAGCCATCAAAGGTCAGTTTTTTTTTTATGTTGCTGAGGATTGAACCCAGAACCTTATACATGGGCAGGTGCTTTATCACCAAGCTGTGTCTCCAAGCCTCATACCCACCTCATTCAGGACCTGTGCTTTGCACATTCAGTATTGCCAGGCCCCCATTTCGTTTTAACTGCTTCAGCTCTCCTTTTTGAAGACGAGCAGTGTGTTCTGAGGGCATTGGTAATGACAGTAAGGCTCACTTTAAACAAGCACAGATACTGCTTTCTCTCTGAGTCTGAGTCACTATAGAATCCATGATCTTAACTGAACATTTTGTTGGGAATCAGTTTCTAAATGTTAGTTTCATGGGAAAATCATTCTACAGTGAATTTTACAAATATAATTTTTAATGGTTCATTTATAAAGATTTCATATTACCTCATTTTCTTACTTAAAAATTTTCTGGATTTTCTAGCTGTCTGTAAGTCTTTGAACTTGTATAACTTATTTGGAGTATTCAAAAGTGGAATGTGTTTTATGAGAAGTGAGACGTGTTTCTTCTGTGGTCTCTAGTCCCAGCAGCAGCCTTTCATCGTTCAGGGATATTCCCTGAGGAAATGGAGTGATTTATGAATGATTCTTTTTGTTGTAGTTGGTATTGTAGGGCATGTTTGCTAGACCCAGGATTGATTTATTTTCAAGTGAACAATTTTCCATTCCTAGAAATAAAAGGTGGAAAAGACCCACTGAGGGCCTCCCATTTTGTAAAACCTTGTGAAAGGACATGCTTTGCCCAGCTTTTTCTTTGTCTCATTAAAATGACTCAAATGGAGGGGCTCCACATGCTGCTTTGATCTATTTTCTCCAGTTTCTTGGTGTTTGGAGCTGGAGTCTTCCAGTCTTTCTCATACCTATTCTTAGTAAGAAAAGAGTCTTTCAGCAGTGGTGGGAAAGTGTGAAGACTTTTATGCCACACTGGTAAGTACGATATAACAAAGTTATTGTGATAGTAAAAAAAAATATGTATACTCAGAGATGCACTGTGTGAAACAGGCAGGACCATTGCCCTTCAAGACTTTAAATGTAGCATTTATGAGGGCCTCATTCAAATAAGTTGATAGGTTAGGTTATATTTACATTATTCACATAGGGTATATAA